TAAAGAGGAGGAGTCAGCTGAGGCTGCTCAGGCATCTGGTTAGGATGCCTTCTGGACGCCTCCTGTTAGAGGTGTTCTGTCCCACTGGGAGGAGACGTTGCCAACCCAGGACCAGGTGGAGGGATTATGTCTCTCGCCTGGCCTGGGAGCGCCTGGGAATCCCCCCGGAGGAGCTAGTGGAAGTGGCTGGGGTGAGGGCTGTCTGGGCTTCCCTCCTGAAGCTGCTGCCCCCATGACCAGGACCCGGATAAGCAGAAGAAAGCGAACCAACTAACCAACCAATGAACTAATGAATGAACAGACTATAACTTCCAGGTGATTTCATGAGTTTGGAGCTGTGTGACAAGCTGTGTCTGACTTCCTGTCAGGGAAAAGCAGCCAAAAAAAGGAGGTGCAGAAGGAGGAGAGTGAGGAGTTTCTGGAGCTGCTAATTAGTCAAAGCTGCTCTGTAGGGGTCCAAGGAAGACTACAGAAAGAGGGTTTAGTATGTATTAACACTCAGTCCACCTTCACCTGGCCTGGGGGGACAGCGGATCCAGGAGTGGCGAGATCAATTATTGATAGATCGATAATATGGAGATGGACACACAGGGGGATAACTGTTTTTTATGACCAATTTACTACCTAGTAGCTTCCATACATGTATTTTGGTCAATATTAACCTCTAGCTTCTGCCGAGGTAAAAGCTGAAGGCCCCAGCTCCTTATTTTTATTAGAGAAAAAGGGAATGTAAGAAAAATGACAGGAAAGGCAGAGTCAGGTGAAAAGCCTGTTAGGGTCAGAAATATCTGCTGCTGAGTGCAGCTGTACGCTCCACCTCCCCTCACCTCCTTATTGTCACTATTTCCATAAAGGAGGAGAAACAAGAGGGAGTTAAAGAAATCTATGTCAGGACTGAGGGAACAATCTCACCTCCTGCTCATGCTCCTCTGATCTGAAAATGAACCCTCTTTATTCTTTGGTCATATTTTCTCCTCTCTCTATAATTTACTTCATTTTTGTAAATATTTATATATTTTATAGTTAAGAGGTTAAACTGAAAGCTCTGTAGTTAAAAAAAATTATCTCATAACAACATTTAATTCCACTGACTTCAGGACACATTGGTCCTTGCACTAGAGATCTGAATTGCAGTTCTTGAGTGTGCCAGCAGGGGGCAGCCTTAGCTCAGTGATGAGCTGGTTAGGTCAACACATTAATGTGATTTCAGGCTGCACTGACGCGCTTTAACCGGGTTTGACACTGAAACAACACAAATATGTTATAAGTAATATGTTTACAAAGATTTAAAACCTTAAAAAATAATATGATTCTGCAATTTAGCAGTGGTTGAGTTATTTTCATGTTTTTTTTCCTGTAATTTTTCTTAAGTTTGTCTTTTAACATGTGATTTTATTATCATATAATTCTTAACTCTTTTTATTATAATAAGTTTTTATTTATCTGTCATGTTTACATTTATTTCTATACCATCTTTAATCTGTTTTGATGAGGCCACATTTCATCAATACGGCCTGTTTAGTTTCTGATTTCCTTCATTGTTGTGATGATTTTATCTTTCAATTAAAAAGCTTTCAGAAAATTTTATCCTGATGATTTTATGTCCTTTTTGTTTTTTAAGGCCTTTTTTTAACATTTTCATTTTATAACTGTTTCATCCTTTTGTATGACATTTATTATATTTACTTTGATCACTCTTTTCTCAAAATGAATATTTTTCTGCGTGATGATGATTCAGTTTTTAAAATTAATCAAGTTTTTATTATATAATTTAGGAAGACATAAAATCAGGCGTGCGTGGTTTGTCTGGAACTGCTGGAACCGAGAGTTGCTTGTGTGTGTGTGTGTGTGTGTGTGTGTGTGTGTGTGGTCATGAATATAGAGGACAGTCTATTGAAGGCAGCAGTCTGAATACCATGACAACTCCCAGCAGCCTCACATGTATTCCCTGCAGTGTGTGTGTGTGTGTGTGTGTGTGTGTGTGTGTGTGTATGTGTGTGTGTGTGTGTGGCCATTATAAAGTGTTCAGGGGGAATAAATGGGATAAATGCAGAGGCTGTGCAGTCTTTGTGGCCACCACCTCGTCGTGTGTTTGTTTGCGGAGTTCGACCACCCAGCAGGACCCAACACACACTCACACACATGCACGCACACAAAAACACACAAATACACTCACACACACACAGCTCAGTTCATTGTCACACACATCACACTCAAAGTGGAGACCAAAACGAGTGCAAACACCAGAAACTTTTGCAAAAAGTTTTCTGCAAACGATCAGAAAATCTGGACATGTTCGATTTTTGTTTGTTGTTTATTTTTTCACACATTTTACTCATTTGTGTTTTTTTGTATTAAATGGGAGAAAATTCTCTCATGACAGGATCTCAGTGCTTTTAAAGGCAGCCTGTGTTTCTGGGTTAGAGACAGAAAAAGAGGATGAGGAGGGGGATTGATGTAGGAGGGTGAAGAGAAAAATCCTCTCTAAGAGCATCTTAAAGAAAGTTTGGGGGATTTCTTCCCAAAGAAAAAATTGAAAAAAGAGTGCAACATAAAAAAACACACTAATTTCTTTGTGTTTATATATCATAAAACAGACTGTGTATAACTGCAGTCTTAGACTGCTGATTGTCATGTAACTACATATGTTGAGTAAAGTCTGTATAATAATGTTGTTTAATCTCCTTATTGTGAATGGTTGCAGAGCTGATACGACAGAAACATCTTTAAATCAACAGGGATCTTTTTTTTTTTTTTTTTTACTACAAAAGGACTCCTCATATAGGGTCTTAATCTGTTCCTGAAGTAAAATGTGACATTTTCTGGTGAGAGGACCAAATATCTTCAGGAAATGAGGGTGAAAAATCTAAATGTTTCACATCAGATGTTGAAACTGAAAATGTTTTTTGTTTTATGAAAAATCTCAGTGCTTTTTACTTTGATTTCTGTTTGTAAAAAGTAGTTCAAGATTCATGTTTCTTATCATGTGTCCTCAGCTCTTCCTTCACCAACCCTATATAAATCTTAGTGAATCCAGTAGACCAGGTTCTGGAGTCTTAAAGTGAAATGTTGTGCATTTCTTGCCCGACAAGATTTCAGCTGCTTAACAGTTCAGGGTCTCTTTTGTCTTGTTTTTGGTGTCTCGATGCTCCAAATGTTTTCAAAAAGTGACAATTCAGGACTGCAGGTAGACCAGTTTATTCAGCAGGACTCTTCTACTACAGAGCCATGCTGTTGTAATCCCTGCAGAACGGTGATTTGTCATTGTCTTACTGAAATATGAAAATCTTCTCTGAAAAAGTCTTTGTCTGGATGGCAGCAGATGTTGCTCCTAAACCTGAAGATATTGTTCAGTATTAATGGAGCCTTCACAGATGTGGAAGATACCCATGACATGGACTTTGATGATCTTCATACTATCAGGGATGCTGGATTTGGACTGGGAGCTGAGAACAATAGGTGGACCCTCTACTTTTAGAGTTCCTCGAACAATTTTTTTATGAACATGATGCTGAAGTTAAATCTCAAACAAGCATTTATTTTAATGATCCAAGTATCAGTTTTCACTGATCTTTGCACTATTTTCAGTTAAAGACTTTTTGAATTCATTAAATTCTGTATTTATTCATATTTTAGCATCTAAACTATTTTTTGAGGTAATACTGATTTTCCTTTGAAAAACAGTAAAATAAAAAAGTCTGGATTAAAATAATCAAATTAAAACAATGACCTGAACATTTTTAAGTTCAGGTTAGGTAGCTCTTTCCTCATGTAATTTCTCGGTGTCAGGCCATTTCTCTTTAACAGCATATCTTAAATTCTCACTTTGTGTGTGCATGTGTGTGTAAGTGAGGGTGGGTGCGTGTCTGTGAGTCCATGGGTGGGTGTGTGGGTGAGAGGGTCAGTTTTTATTGTTGTTTAATTGTTGTTTTTAGCCTCTGTGAGGCACTTTGAACTACATGTTTTGTCTGAAAAGTGCCTTACAAATAAAGTGGAATTTGGATTTGAAGTTTCACTCAGTGTTTTATTAACTGAGTGGGAATGATCGATATGCTGTTGGTCAATAAAGATGTGAACAGACTGAGTTAGTGTGTGTGTGAGAAGAGAGAGAGAGTGAGTGAATCAGCTGGTGTGTAAACACTTTCACTCCACCTAATCCTCACAACAAACACTGACACCCCCCCCCCCCCACACACACACACTCTGTACAGAGATTTTTGAGATTCATTGTATTCAATTATTTACACATAGAGTCTAAGTTTTTAAGATATTTTAATGACTTTTAAATAACCTGTAAGTTTCAGTTTGAACAACTATAGTCTTACCTTCTAATTTTAAAGCGTTTTGGGCCAAACAGTTGCATTTTCAACCAATATTTAATTGGAACAGCATAAAAACACACAAGGTCTGTATTAATTCATTTCTATTAAATATGGAAGAATATTAAAGTTCAAAGTTGGGACGCCCAGATGATTAAATCCCGTTATTAAAATTGACTGAAATGCTCAAATTTGAGAATTTAATGAACTTTTTTCTGATCAACAGTTTTCATGTTTTTTATTAGTGTTCAGTCTTTAAGTATGATCTGCCATTTAACGCGTATTTGGATATTCTGAGTTAAATTAAGACTCTTTTTTTTTGGTATTTTCAGTGAAGTTTCAGCTGTTTGAGTGTCATACTGAGAGTTTTGATGTTTCCTGTTACATCTCTTAAAAACATCAAACCTGGTTTTCATTTCAAGTTACAAAAACAGGTTTCACTGTCTTTACTTTGACTCATTCTGCTTCATATTTTCGCAGTAAGCGGATCAGTGACTCTAATAAATGTAAATGAGGCTCCTCTTCCTCTCTAATCCTCCTTCGTTTAACACCTCCTCCTCCCCCCTGCACCTCCCTCCACCTCCCCTAACGCGTTGCTCCGGGTTTTTTTTTACACCCTCATCCTCTTGACCCCCGGGACCCGCCTCCGTCCTTTTTAACGACTCACGTACACTCACAAACACACACGCACACACATACACACACGCTCCTCATGTATTTTTCATGCTGTTGAATCCTCCCCCGGTCGGCCCGCGCAGCTCCGGGCTCGCGCCCCGTTTAACGGCATTCATGGCCCGGATCCCTCCGCTGTGAGCTCCTCTCTGCCGGGCTGCAACGGCCGAAGCTCCGCGGAACTTTTTCCTCTTTCTCTCTCTGCGTCATTCTGAGTCTCCAAAAGCGCACCATGTCACTTGGCACGAGCACCAAAACGGGCTTTTCCGTGAGGGACATCCTGGATCTCCCAAATCCAGCGGGGAGATGCGGGTCCGGCACAGAGGAGACAGAGGAGGACGAGACCGAGGAGGCCTCCGCGGAAGTCTCGGGCTCTGAAAACGCGCCGGTGTTTGGATTTAACGGCTGTGGAGGGAGCTACAGCAGGTGGAGCCGGGGATCCGGGAACTTCCACTTCTCACGTGAGGAAACCAGATTTTAGATACCATAAAAAACAGTTAAATTTTATATCATAAAGTTTACAGTCAAATATTTGTCTAAACTGGATTTCTGGCGCAGTTTTCTCGTGCGTAAAATCAGGACTAAGCTACAGGCCTGTTAAAACTACTTACTTCAGTTTCTACATTACATATATTTTTTTAAAACATGTAATTTTAACGTGCAAAAATAATAACTGAATTTAACTTTAATGAAATTTTGACTTCACTATTTGTCAGTCTGATACATCCGTGCGTAAAAGGAGATTGTTCCAGACCCTTTTATTTTTATGTCTCCATCAAGACTTCTCTAAAGTCTGCGGTGTTCCTCTAAATATCATGTTGCTAAAATCTAAAATATTTCCTGTCGTCCTCCTCCGCAGTACACGGTCTCACCCTCAACTCCCGCATCGAGCCCAAATCCCCGGAGCTCTCCACGGATGAATCCCCGGACGCGGATCGGGACTCCGCGGGCGGTGCCGGGCAGAAGAGCCGCGGTAGGAAGCGGCGCGTGCTCTTCTCCAAAGCGCAGACCTTTGAGCTCGAGCGCCGCTTCAGGCAGCAGCGCTACCTGTCCGCTCCTGAGAGGGAACACCTGGCCGGGTTGATCCGCCTCACCCCGAACCAGGTGAAGATATGGTTCCAGAACCATCGGTACAAGATGAAGCGGGCCCGGGTGGAGCACAGCCTGGAGGCGCTGCAGCTGCTGCCGGCCCGCCGCGTCGCCATCCCGGTGCTGGTGCGGGACGGGAAGCCCTGCGAGAGGATCACCGCGCAGGACCTGGAGGTGACGCTCCGGTCCGGGCTCAGTCTGCCTCTGTGCGCCTACTCCCAGCTGCTGCACCCCGCGTACGGCCCCGAGCACCCCGGCCTGCCGCAGCAGCAGCACCCGGGGGTGCAGCAGCTGGCGCACATGTACCACTGGAGCTGGTGAGATGAACTCAGACTGAGGGACCCCCCCCAAAAAAGGCTGAAAAACCGGATCAGACCATGAGAGGAGCTTCTGTTCGGCCTTAAAATCATCTACCTCTCCTCCATATTTGGTCTCTTCAAACTAAACAATATTTTAGAAATTTAAAAATTTCATAAATTTTGAGCAAAGTTGGGTTTGTACTAAGATTGGATTTTAAAAGAAGTATTTTCTCCAGAAAGAATGAGTGTCTTAAAATCCGGCAGAATAAAAATGTAAGTTTGTAAATCCAGAGACTCAGCCTGAGATCTTAATCTTAATTTTAGGGTTATTTCAGTCCCTCACAGCCCGGAATAGGAGCTGATTTCATTTTTCACCTCAACAAGGAAACAAAAAAATCAAAAACTTTTTCCTTTTTTTCACTCAGACGCGCAAATCGTCTAAAACTATCCTGGTTTGGTTCCTAATATGTGGACGGAGAGGTCCAGCTGATCACCGAGGAGGAGCCAGTCTTTGGCTGATCTTTGGGACTCTGTAAGACTTTTATTGTTGATGTTTTTCTCGGTGTTTTTTCTGCTAACAAAAGAAAAAAAAGTGTCACTTTTCTCGCGAGAACATGAAGATGTTTCCTCCGTGTTTTATAAACCTATTTATAATCATGTGGACGGTGAGTTGTTTTGTAATGAAGTGGATATTTATGATGGTGAATAAAAGCTGGAGCAGGAGTCAGAGTCTTTTCATTTCAGCTGCTTATGAAGATCAATTTTGTAGTCAGAGATCCAACATTTCAAAATAAAAGAGTGACTGGAACAAATTTGAATGAAATAGGCCTAAACTGAGAAATGACTCTGAGGGTTCAATATGTAAAAAAAATTGGCTTTTACTACAAAAAAATCATGTCAAATCTGGTCAGATTTTTGAGTTTATCCTGCAGAAAAAAGTGGGTCCCTCCTCATAAAAAAGCTGAAATTCAGTTACTGTTGCTCTTAATATCTGAGCAAACTGAGGACCATCAGTGGAGTTAAACTATATTTTCCCAAACCAAAAGAGAACAAGTTCAGTTCAGTTCACTTCAGGTAGGGGGGAAGTCACAGATTTCCTTATTTAAATTCAGACACAAGTTCACAATGCTGGATCAGGTCTCCGATTGGTTAAAACTCAGGCAGAGTTTTTCAAGGTGAAGAAAAGTCTGAAATAAGATTCTCGAAGTGTTTCCAACAAGTGAAAGTGAGAGTTTAGAGTCAAGCAGAGGAGAGGTCTTAAGAGCTGTGGGTGATGATCTCCTGAAAACAGCTGAAGACTTCATCAGAATTCATTTCAAGGTTTAGAAAAAAAAAAAAAAAAACTCACCTCACAGCAGTCAGCATGTTTTCCAGGGGTGCAGATCAGAGTGGGACCCGAGTCCTTGACCTCCCTATGGACGAGGCTGAACTTGAATTTTGTCTTTCTGTGAAGGCGGTTCTTCATGGGGGTCATTTTTAGAGCAGCTCCTGGATGAACCTGAAGAAGAAGAAAACATACAGGAGTTACAATCAGCTTTTCACACAATAAGCAAGTTTAACTTTGAGGGAAAGACGAGCACTCAGAGAAATTATCGTATGTTAATAATGAGTTGGGCAGCAGTGAGGAGCTGCTGAACTTAGATAAGAATTAAAAGATGGAGAGAAGGAGAAGCAGCGAGTCTGCCTCTGTCTGAGAGAAACAGAATCAGCCTTTTAAAAAAACACTGAAAAATAATAATGCAAAACTGCAGACTGTGCAACACTGGACTGTAATAATAAGAGTTCCAGGAACATCAATCCTGATTAAAATGGGCACTGTAAATGTTGATAAAAAATAATTCTAAGGTTTGCAAATCATTTAAACTTTTTCAATTCAATTTAAGTGGTTTAAAAAGATAAAATATCAAATTTTAAAAAGGAAATTTCATTGTTCAATAAAAACAATCTGCTTATTTTTAATTTGATGCAGAAACATGTTTCAAAAAGTTCTTAGAGGAACAACCGAACAGGTAAATAGTTGCAATGCTAAAATAAAAAAACAGCTGGAGGAACATCTCCAACTAATGAGGTGAATTTCCTACAGGTTAGTAACATGAGTGAGTATAAAAAGGACATTCAAAGAGGCTGAGTCTCTCAGAGGGAAAGATGGGAAGAGGTTCACCACTCTGTGAGAGACTGCATGAGCCAATAGTTCAACAGTTTCAGTGTAATGTTCCTGGGTGTCAAATGTGAAAAAATGAGTGGATTTCATCATCTACGGAACAGAATATCATTAAAAGATTCAGAGAATCTGGAGAAACTTCTGTTCTAAAAGGGACAAGGACCAAAACCAAGACTAGATGCTCCTGATCTTCAGGCCCTCAGGCAGCACTGCAATAAAAACAGACAGGACTCTGGAGTGGAAATCACTGCATGGACTCAGAATCAACACAGATCATCACTGCATCCATGAATGAGATTAAAACTGAACCATGAAAAGAGGAAACCAGACTGAAACAAGGATCCAGAGGTGAAAATAAAAGGCTGACCCTCTGAGGGTCAGCTCTGGGGAAGGAGGGGGAGACAAGAGTGTACGGTCTTCATCAGCTGAGCTCCACTTTAAACAGTCTTCCCTCTTCAGCTCTGTCTTTCCTGTCATTGAACACCTCTCTTCAATCTCCCTCCTCTGCCTCTTTTCTCTTCTTTGAACCTGGTTTGGTGGGGATGAGGACTGGCGTAAAGCAGGCTGGTCTCAGGACACCAGAGTCCCCCTGAAGGTGTTTGAGACCAGTGTTGAGGAATCATCTCAGCGGTGTATTTACTCCACGATCATGATCTGGTTAGGACTTTTTACTGAGATGTTCTCCTTCTCATTTGAGCTCATGTACCTTTCTTCACCTGAAACTGTTGACTCTTTGACTCTTTAACAGATTGACTTTGACAGGTTTGTGTTTGTAAATGTGTCAAAAAGGACTGCACAACTTTGAAATAAAACTCATTCATGTTTGACATTATTAAAAAGAATCCGATCAAGATTGACGGCATCAGCTGTGACCCAGATTTAGAGCTCAGTCCTGCGTTTGGTGAGTTTTTCTTTCTCCTGAATTTCAGAGTTTCTGTTGCATCATGTGACGGATTAAAACATCTTTACAGCTGCAGAAACACAAGCAGCTCCTCACTGTGAGGCCACAAAGGAGAGAAAGACCCCGCTGCCTCTGTGTGTGTGTGCGTGTGTGCTGGGGGTCCTCTGAATTCATGGGGTCAGAGGTCAGCTCATCTCAGAGGGATGATGTCACAGTCAGGGGGGTGTAAGCTTTGAGACAGTTATAATGCTCCACCTGCTACAAGAAAAGAAGAAAGACAGCAGAGTTTAAAGGACTAGTCTGCTGTTTCTGGGTCTGTTTTGGTTGTTTCTTATCGATCAGGTCTGGATTGTTGTTCTTTACTTCCTGATTATCAACAAAGTCCAAAACTGAGATGTTGTTCTATTCAGAGTCCTGTGGATGCATAAAAGTGGATTCATTTCCTGCTCAAAAGTCTCTTATATTGGATAAATTTGCTCTATTTTTAATCAAAAACAGCTTTTAGACGGATTTACAAACCATTTCATAAAAACATCTGAATTATTTTAAATTGAACTGGAGAAGAAAAAGCAAAAAACATATATATAATAGTAATAATAATATAATAAAATCAAACCATAAAAGTTAAAATACAAATATACGTCCAACCCCAAATAAAATATGTTTCACAATAACTGAATACAGAGTTAGATTTTAAGTGAACCAGCAGCTCTCAGTTTGAAAGGTAAATATCAGCCAGTAAATCTTGATCATATTTAAAACAGATAAATTATTATTTTTTTATTCCTCATATTTTATCATATCTCATATTTCTCATTTCTAATCATTCTTTTTGTTTTATAATTTCAGTTTTTCTTTCATATACAGTATTTCCAATTTAGGGCATACTTAAATCTCTTTAAAGACATTTTAAAAACTCCGTTTTTTTCTTTCTTCAAACTGCAGAGCAGATATTAACTCTTCGTGTACCTGTAATGTCTGCTCCTCCTTTATTTGCTCTTCTTTGTGATCAATAATTGGATTTGATATAATTGATATATTAATAATAACTGAATCAGTTGAATTTCCTTTAGGTGATAAATAATGTTATTCTTATTCTTAAATAAACAAAGAAGTTTATTTTTGCCCTAACTATAAAATGAATGCATTAAATAAGCTCATCTCTTACTTGTTGTTCCCTCTGCAGTCAGCAGGTGGCAGCAAAAGCTTAAGCAAAACTCTTACCAACACACACACACACACACACACACACACACACACACACACACACACACACACACACACACACACACACACACACACACCGAGTCAATTGGACCCTCACTAACACGCCCCCTTTTAGTACATTAACTCTCAGTTTGACTTTAGTCTCTGTGTACTTAACAGTCAGCTCTGACGAAATGAACAAACAGCTTTGACTCACTTCTATGTCTGAGGTTCCTCTGATGGATTATTCATTTTCATTTCAGTTAGAGTGCAACTCGTCTCTACATATTTAAGTATTTATTTAAAGATGTATTTGTATATTTTATTCTGTCTCTTTTAGTCCTCCATATGTCTCTGAATCTCAGTCCTATTAACTTTTCATATTTTGCCAGAAGAAGCAGGACGAACTTGAAACATGGGTAAAACAAAACCCTTAATATTGCTCAGCGAGGTTGGATGAACTCTAAATAGACAACAGAACAGTGTACTCTGAAGTTATTCAGCACCTAGAAAACATTTAGAAAGTTAAAAAAAAGTAGGAAAACAAGAGGAAAGTGTGAGTTTGTAAGAGGAAAAGTCTGAGCTGCAGACAAGAGTTGGAAACAAACTGTATTAAAGTCAGACTCTTCCTCTGCAGCACTGATGTGATTTAAACTGGACTTAATAAAAGTGGATGATAAAGCAGGGAGAGATCATTGACTACAGTGAGCTGTGATAGGCCTACTATTAAAACACTCATCAGTGAATATACAGAATCTACCACATGTATTTCTATTCACCTCTAAACATGCTGTTGGAGTTCTGAACACCAGGATCTTTGTCCCAGGAGGAAACACAACAGCTCAGTGCACAAGTGCATCAGATCATCAACAAACAGGGAAAGTACGAAGAGGAGCCATCAACCACCCCCTACTGGACAGGAGTGGAAATGCCTCTAATTAAACATGAAGGCCTAACAATATTCCTCAAAACCCAAATCCTCACCAGCTTCACAGACACCACCTGGTGGAGCTGTAAGAGCTTTAATAACTTCCGCATTAATGTTCATGTTGGGTTTTCACTGTTTTCTTCTTAAGTCCTGTGGGGTACGACAAGCATCCAGCCTGGGACCTTCACAATTTCTAAAGCAGAAGATTTCAATCAACTCTGAATTTACTGCCTCCTCCTGCGCTGCTGCACTGTACTCTGTATATTTGAGTAAAATAAAGCTGAGCAAAATAAAATTAGAATAAAATAAACAAAATTTAACAATGTCACCAAAAACAACAGATCAGAATCAGAAGGTCAGATTTAATCGAGCTCATAAAAGAGCTGTTTTTAGTTTTATGATGCTTTTAAAGTTGATCCATAAAGATGAATCTATTTTTCTTCTTGTTTAAGATGTGGAGACATGTTTTCAACAAATGAAAGAACTAAACTGAAACCAAAACTTTAAGGCACATCTAGCTTAGAAAAAAAGTTCAATATTTATCTCTGAGAAAAATAATATAAAATAAAAGGTTTAATAAATTAAAATATTTACATTAGACACCAGTATTTACAAAAAGAGAGGACAAAATAACTTAAACTCAAAAGTTCAGTAAAGACTTTTTTTGGAGGTAAAGCTGTGAGAGTGAATCTCAGCGCTGATCTAACTACGTTAAGGAAGATGTAAATGCAGAAAAAAAAGTATAAAAATAAAAAGTTCAGGTGACGCTGATCAAGTTTTCTGTGAAGGAACAGAGAAAAAGAAACTCAAACTGACCTGGTGATGGCGCTGTGGAGCTCCAGTTTTTTCACGTCATTCAAACAGCCATTAGAGAGCACCTCAGAACACACACACACACACACACACTCTCTCTCTCTCCAACACACAGACACACACTCACTCACTCACTCACTCACTCACTCTCTCTCTCTCTCTCTCACTCACTCACTCCCTCACTCACTCACTCACACACACACACACACACACACACTCTCTCTCTCTGTCTGTCTTTTTTCTCCCTCACACACACACTCACACACTCTCATTCTCTCCCTTTTTCTCCCCTTCCTCACACACACACACACACACACACACTTACTCTCACTCTCGCACACTCTCCCTCTTTCACACACACACGCACAATCTCTCTCTCTCTCTCTCTCTCTCTCACACACACACACACACACACAGGTGTGTTTCCATGTTTCTGGTGTGTGCTGACTCTGCGTTTTTTAGCCGTTAAGTGGTGCAGAGACGGCGCCTTGACCCTCGGCTCGACCTGCAGCAGACTCTGAATGATTTCTGAAGAACCCTTCTGGACGCCTGACCTTTGACCTCTTCCATGCACAGCGTGGGGCTGCAGGTCGAGATGGAGTCTTTATTTCTGTCCAGATACAGAGCGAGGTTTGAGAGTCAGATGTGACCTTGTTTTGAAGGAGTAGATATAGAAATCAAACAGACTCGGTCTGAGGAGGTAAAGAGGTAAATCAAAATATCCTGGAAAAAAAAAACAACAAATCAAACTTACAGCTTTATTATTCACCATCAGAGAAACTGGGCAAACCTGACAGCTGCTGGATTTATCCTCCACACTCTAAACGTGCAAACTACATGAATTAAATTTCATTAAATCACAACATGAGCACAAAAAGGAAATACCTTTACTGATCGTCAGGGGGGTTTCTGGAGAGTTTTGCTGCTTTAAATACTTTTTTTTTATAAGGGACATTCATCAATCTGACGGGAATATTTGATTATAATTCACCAACACTTGACTGATAAAGGAGCCCACACATTCCCACTCAGTTGATGATGATATGTGATCTGTCCTGAACAGGTTGATGATCTATAAGACATCCGCAGCAGGAATCCAGAGAAGAAGAAGATATAATTCCTCAAGTCTTCACACAGTAAATGTCAAAGTGACATGAAAAAGATTGACTGAAAAAACAAGAAACAGCAGGAGCTGGAGGAGCAACAGGAGCAGCTTCACCCACATTGGAGAGGAGGGTTTTCCAAGGCTACACTTCTGGAGCTGGTTTGGGTTCCTTGTCTGAGCTACAAATCTGAAATGTTGACCCCTTGTGAGCCGCTCCACAGATCCTCAAGTGAAAACCTCCTGGTCTTTCCAAAATCAAGACTTCAAACTACAGAGATATTTTCTTATTTTTCCATCAGAGCTCTTTGACTTTGGAAGGACCAGCCTGAGGAGATCCTCAGGTGAGACAGAGGACGTGAAAAAGACAAGAGTGATGTTCAAGAGAGGATCAACATACATGACGACTGAAGAGGCAACAGCAACAATTTCAAAGTACGAGCCAAAATGAGCTCACGAAGTTTCAGCCTGTTTGACCCTCAGGAGAGCAAAACTACAGAGTTTAAGACGGAGCCAAAAACACGAACCATACTGGTCATTAAGAGCGATTCATTATGAAAACCGGTTTCCTCCAGTTACGAGAATCAGTTATACAGCCACCATTGACATAAAAAGTCATAACTATGAGATTTTTAAAATGAATAACTTTGAGTTAAGAGTCATTTTGGGAAAATAAGTCTTATTATATCATTAAAGACTTACTACATGAACACTTTTTTGTCCAATTTTTGTCCTTTCATTAAATAAAAAGTTTGAATTATAATTTTAAATATAAGATTAAAATCATATTCTCATATCCTCAGTCATCTGTGGCAAGTTGAAGTGTCCTAGCTTTAGTGTATGCATCTGTGTGTGTGTGTGTGTGTGTGTGTGTGAGTGTGTGAGTGCTGTTGTGTTGAATGCAGGGGGTTGGGAGGGTGGGTGGGGTTTGGAATTTGTATTTTTATTTATTTTTTTCATTGTTTTTTAATATCCTGCGTGAATGGACAGCACTTTGCGCTACATTCAATGCATGAAAAGTGCTTTGAAAATATCAAAAAAAAAAGTTGGATTGATTGATTGATTTATATGTTGAGATAAAGTCATTTAATTCAGATAAAAAGTCTCTATATATAACAAAAAGTCATAAATAACAAAAATCTGAATTTCAGGTAAAAGTCATTTTTGTGATAAAGTCTCAATTTTACCAAAATGAGATTTAAGAAAAAATCTGAATTATTAAATCATCACCGTCAAAATTAATAGATAAACAATTAAAATTATTAGCTGATGGGATCTTAAAAAAGATTAGAAGTCATTATTTTGACATTATTAATTTAAAGTCATAGTCATTAGATGTTATCCCATAACTTAAACCTTTGACCCCATTGTTGAGATGTCTATGTTATAATAATATAATGAAACTGATTTATTAATCCATCATTTTGGCTTCTATCTCACAGTATTAGGACTTCATGAAGGTCCACTCTCCTCCTCTAATTGGCAGAGTCTTCAGGTTCATTTCTTCTTTTATCAGTCCTTAAAAATCTCTGTTATGTCCCAAACCTTTTTCACTTTCATTTTTATTCCTGAAAGGATTAATAATATATCAGATTTCATATCGCGCTTTATCAGAGACCCTCAAAGCACTTTACATTGGATACATCATTCATTCACTCACACAGTCACACCTTGGTGGTGGTAAACTAACTTTGTAGTCACCAGCTGCCCTGGAGTAGACAGACGAAAACGTGGCTGCCAGTTTGAACCTATGGCCTCTCTGACCACCACCACACAACACTCACAATCATACACCAGTTGAAGACACACACTGGGAGTAAGGTGGGTTAAGTGTCTTGCCCAAGGACACAACGGACAGACTTGGGATAGGGAGGAATTGAACCGCCAACCTTCCGGGTATTGGCCAACCACTCTACCTCCTGAGCTACAGCCGCCCCATCAAAACAGATATATTACAAATAAAAAAACTATCTGTAGACGACAACACTTTCCTTCTTACTTTGAAAACATTTCTACAAATTCACCTGAAGAACGTCCAAACTTCGAGAGACTTTGAGCAGGAAGGAGTTTGAACAGTCCAACAGAAACCATCAGTTCAGACTTTTCATCCCTGAATCAGAGTCCACCTCCCGCTCATCCAGGTCTCATATGTCAATGCATTTTTTTGTGTGTGTTATGTTTCAGGAGCCAGGTGGTCTGGACGCCTCCCCCTCCTCCCCTCCTTCCCCCCCTCGCTCTCCTGGTTGGAGTGGGCTGCCTTTTCAAGAGGCGTTCAGGGGCCCCAGCTGCTTGGCCTAAAGCTCCTCCAGAGAGCTGAGGATTAAACTGAGGGGAGATGGACAGAAAGAGGGAGAGAGTCTGCAGAGCAAGAGTGAAAGGCTAGGGAGGGGGTGAGGGAGGGGTGAGGAGAACCCAAATAGAGGCTGGAGAGTCCCCCCCCACACCCTCCTCCAGCTTCGGTCACAGGTGGTTTGATCTGGGGAGATTCAGAGAAACACTGAAGGGTTAAAAACTTTTGCAGTTTGATCAGTGAGTTAAAAAAAAAACAGAGTCAGCGTTTCCTGGTTTTCACAGACGCCTTCATGATACACTCATCCTTTTGGGGGGACATTTCTCCAGATTCTCCTAGGCTGTCCCTAGACTCATGCTGCTGTAACTGTCCAGATAAAGGGGATCTAATATTTGCTGGATCAGGCTGGATCTCTGAACTAGAGGATCTAAAGCCTTGGTCCAAAATCTAATCTTTAGTGTCTGAGAAGAGTTAGACCAAAACTCTGAAAGTGAACTTGACTCAGGTAAAGGTGAGCCAACAAACCCAAGAACATGAGGATTTATTTTCTTTTTTAATCACTTTTTTTTCTCTCTGTCAAAATGTTTGAAGGCCAAACAAGAGGTTTACAGAGTCACGTTTTCTCCTGAGGCCATAATAACAAGTCAGCTCAAGGTGCTGCTGACACACCAGACTGTCCCTGGCTCATGAACTCAAGTGCAGGTGTAGGTGAGGAATCTACACATCATTTCTTTCAGAGGATGGTTTGGGACCAACCCTCGGTAAGATCAGTCCAACATTCATGTTTGATTTCTGTGAGGTCTCAAATAAAGTTTAGATAGAGTCATCTACTCACTGACAGCTGGTGTTTCTTCTGACAACAGGAGATGAACTCTGTAAGACCGTGAATCATCATTAGAGCGTCTGAGGTCGAGGACTTGGCTCGTCTTTGTTCTCTGATCTGCGGGAGGATCTTTATTTATCGATCACAGTGAAATAAAAGAGATCACTCACCTCCACAGGTCGATGACACCGGTCAGCGGAGAGTCAAGGAGCTGCAGACGATGAAAACCAGAAGAGGAAGATCTCAACGTTTCTCTGTAGGGAGAGAAGATTCAGAGTCTCTGGATGTTCTTTCTCTGATTTTTATGTTTTATCACCTCTTTCACCAACCCTCTGTAGACCTTAGTGAACCCAGCAGACCAAGTTCCTGGAGTCTGAAAGTGAAATGTTGTCCCAGTCTTACCTGAGAAAAGATTTCAGCTACTCAACAGTTGAGGGTCTCCTAAGTCCTGTTTTTGGTGTCTTGATGAAATATGAAGGTCTTCTCTCAAAACGTTATTGTCTGGATGGCAGCAGATGTTGCTCTTAAATCTGTAGATATTGTTCAGTATTAATGGAGCCTTCACAGATGGGGAATGGACTCGGATGCTCCCCATACCATCAGGGATGCTGGCTTTAGACTGGGAGCTGAGAACAAGCCAGGTGGTCCCTCTAGTCTTTAGAGAGGAGGATGCAGGTCAGATTCTTGTTCAGGAGACTCCAGGACAGTTTCCCTCTTCTCCTCAGTCCACTTTAATTGAGGCTCAGGTCCAGAATAGTCTCTGGTGTTTCTGGATCCTGTTACTAACCTGTTGGAAACTAGATGGAGATGTTCCTCCAGCTGTTTTTTTTCCCCCCTTTTTTTCACATAACACAACTTTATATCTGATTGGTTGTGTCAAATTTAAAATGATCATATTTTTAATAAAACAATATTTTATATGTTGTCTTTGCATTATTCTCAGTAAAACAAAAGCTTTAAATGAGTCAAACCATCAAATATTGGTGTTATTAATATGTTAGACCGCATATTAACTCTGTAAATGTAATTAGGGTTTTGTTTCATCTTATCAAAACATTTCTGTAAAGACTGGACTTCTAATTGAAGATCATATCGACTCTTTAAAAGTTATATTCATGAGGGGAATAATTCAGAGTGTAAAACCTCCTGAGACGGGGACGATGAGGCCTATTTGTGGTCATTATACTGAAAGAACAGTGACAGACTCAAAGCATCCTGAACAATATATTTTTTAAATCTGAATAATGTGAGACCCTGAAGTAACTATTTTATCTCTTTTTTTGTATAATTCTATAAAAAAATCCTGATTTATCATCTTATTATTTAAAACAGATTCTTTGAAGTCACAATTCAATGATAAAAGTTGTCGAGCTTGATCAAAAGGCTTTATACTTTTGATTTTTAACATTTCATCGAGGGAACCTTCCTAAAAGTACCAATTAAAATCAATGTAACCTGTTCTAATCTAATCTAATCTGATCTGATGGAAAATTAGGTTTTAGTCTGGATTAAGTGATGTAATAGAAGGAGTTAAAAACACCTTTAGACTTCACACAGACAAACATGATAAAAAAAGTCTGGAAGTCAAAAACACTCTTAAAGAAAATCTGTGGCTAAGTATCTATGTCTAAAATGAGCTCATAAGACTTTGGGAATACTGAGAAGAAGATTAAACCACAACAGAGATTTGTTATAGAAACAGAGGCTATAAATCAAACAGCAGGAGTAGCTTCAAATACAGACTGTAAATAAAATCAGTGCCTTTTCATAAACTGATAATAAACAGACTGCAACATTAAATGAAATCTCTGTAAACACAACCAGCTTTCTAGGTACCAGTCAATCGTTCACATTAAACATTATGAACAAACACAGCTCATAAAACATGAAGTCGATTCCTCTGTAACTCAGGCTGATCCATTGGGAAACTTCAGTCTCATGTTATAAAGAAAACTGAAAATGTCACTCTGTAAAAGAAAGGAACGATGAGTTTAAAAAAATCCATCCGCGCCATTAAAAGAGTTTAAACTGAATTAAATAGTTGATATAAAGTGTCTTCTTTAGTATTTAACACAGCTGTACTGATAAAGTTTTATACTCTCCGCTCTCTCCTCCTCCAGCTCCTCTCAGCGGGACTTCTCTCCCTCACAGCCGGCAGCAGCAGCTCTATCCCGGGCTGCGGCTCCGCTCCGGTCCCGGTGTGTCCTAAAGCTGAGCGGATCACTGCTTCCTTTCTTTCTTTTCTTTCTTTCTATTCTTTCCTTTTTTTTTTGAAGATCCGGGGACACGCACTGAAAAAATCTACAGAGAGGACGTGAAGTGACGCGACGAAGCGGGTCAGCAGGTGATTGGCTGCTCGGACTGTTTACAATGACGCGGCCTGAAGCTGCACGTGCAAAGGTGAAGGAAGCTGCAGACACCTGCAGAGACGGAGGACTGAGACTGTCTGAGGATTTAACATCAGCTCTGACAGTCATTAAAGTCTGTGAGGAGAAATACAATCATTTTAATCTAATGTGTCAGAACATTTTGTAACCCTGCACAAAAATCTGAACTTTAAAGTCGAAGATTTTATATCTGGAGTTTAAGAAACTTTCTCTGCAAACTTTCAACTAAACTGAAATACTTTTTTTTCAAATCAGGAGACACAGAAAAGTATATCTATGAAGAGAAGCGAATGTCATTTTACTTGAGCTGAAGTAAAACCTTCTACTGTGAATCCATTAAGTTAAAAGGAGACTACTTTATTTTTATTTTATTTTTTAGAAATATTGGAAGTATTGATCACTAACTTTGAACCTGTCAGAGGAGGAGTAAAGTTTGCTCCCAAAATTATTCAGACTCATAATTCCTCACACTAACAGTATTAACATGAGTGACTACATGCACCTCCTCACAGTGAAGTTACTGACTGTTTTTCAGAGTTGAACTTTACGCACGGTCCCTGCAGACTGAAGTCAAGGCTGATGAGTTGATATGTAAGCCATGGTTGTCATAAAAAAGACCAAATGAAGGACTTCGTCGATTGTGAGGAATAAAAACGGCTGAAATAGGGAACATTTCTGACGGAGTCTGATGGACAGAAATGTTTCAAACTGTCAGAGCAGAGTGTGTCAAATATTCTGATTTTAACTCTTCAGTCAGATTGGATTCTTTTGTTTTTTGTGTGGACACTTAATGTTTGAATTAATTTTCTCACACGGAGTGAAGCAAAAAAAAAGTACCAACTATAATATCCAACTATAATATAGAAATTACTTAAGTAGTCTAAAAGTAAAAAAAAAAAAAAAAAAAAAAAAAAAAGGAAAAGTGCCAAAAAACTTTTGAACACCTAATGAGTTTCTTTCCAGCTCTGGAAATGATGAGTATTTTTTGGGGGGATATATAAGATGAGAAAATCGATTTTTTAATCAGGTTCCTTTAATTCATTTTAAAGGTTTTCAGAATAATCAGATTTGAACAGTGTTGAGCCTTTAATCGAGATTATTATCTATGATCAGTGAAGTTAATCTGTGTTACATATTCAGAAATAATACCAATAGGCCCTCATAAACAAATGCTCTAATACTGCTGGAGTGTTTCGTTTTTTACACTATAAGCTACATAATTATTTAGTGTGTTTGACGACTGTAATGATCAGAGAGGCCTGTTCATCTCTGTGACTGAGGGGTGAAAATAAATCTAAACCATGAGGGAATTTGTCTTTAGTGTTAGAGAGGTATAGAACAAACTTCTTAAGGGGTGAAAAAGGAGGTTAAAACGAATCAATTCTGGCGTTTAAGAGGAAATTTATTCGGATTTTCAAAAGTGAGAGTGAAATCAAAACCATCCAGCTTTAAATGAGACAAACTCGCCATCATTATTTATGTGTTTTCTCAAAGAAGGAATTTAAAGGAAAAACTTCACATACTCCTGACGGACACTTCATTAGGTCACTTCGGTTTAAATCAGTGCTAAAAAGTGATGATAAAACGTTCAGATGAGACACCTCAGAGAGGGAGAGGCTGAAGTTTGTAGAGGTTTTTCATATTTCTCACTTTTGAAAGTGGAGAACATGACTCCCAAGCTCCAGATGGTGAATAACTGCGTGTTCACTCTGACAGGTGATTTCTGAGGCTCTCCATCTCCGTTAGAGCTCCTCATCACTCTCACTCATCAGATTGATTCTCTATCAGGAGAAGAACTGAAGCTCTTCTGTCAGTCTGAAGGAATTCCTGCCTCCACCTTCATATTTGGCTCAAACTTCGCAGAGCAAACAGCCCGAGCGGAAGCAGAAAGTAGGTCCAAACCATTTTCTCCACTTACCTCTCTAATGTCAATTACCATTGTTGGCTGCTGCCGCCGCCGCTGTGTCCGCGTCGCTCCGCCCCTCCGTGTGTTGGAGTCTGAGTCCGGCGGGATAAGGGCAGCTCGTCTCCTCGTGCAGCCGATCAGCTGGACTTCTTCCCAGGGACGCAGAGGAAGCAGAAAGCCGGAGGGAGGGAGGGGGAAGCAGGCAGAGAGTCGCCGGACTGACCCGACCACATCCAGCCAGAACCCGGGGGGTCCGCACCATGTCCTTCAGCCCCAAACACTCCACCCCCTTCTCAGTCTCCGACATTTTGAGCCCGATGGAGGACAGCTACCGGAGGTTCGGAGGGATGGATCACACCGCGGGGAGCCTAGGGTCCCCGCTGGGCGCCTACCGGCAGCCGCAGGTCTCCCAGCCCGGTATGCAGCATCAGCAGCAGGCGCAGCAGCACCAGCCGCCTCATCTTCACCATCATCACCACCACCATCACCATCACCACCTGTCCTCCTCCTCTTCATCCTCATCCTCCTCCTCTTCCTCAGCCTCAGCAGCAGCCGCGGCCGCGCTGGGACCCGGCGGGCCATATCACGTGCCCCACGGGGTGCCGCAGTTCTCCGGGGCCGTCGGTGGTTTCTGCAACGGGGGGATCGGGAACGTGGGAGAACTGCCGTCCTACCAGGAGACGGTGAGGGGCGGAGGGGCGGCGGCGGCGGCGTGGTACAGCAACCCGGAGCCCAGATACCCCACAAGTAAGAAGTTCTTGCAAAGAAAAGTTTGTTTTTTTTTAATTCGAGAAAAGTTTCAAAAAGATGGAAAATGAGCGCGGGGCAGTTTGGCCTCCTGATTTTAAGCACGATGGAAACAAACGGGAATGTTTTAAAACGTGTGTCTGATTTAGAGCATGTGTTTGATCATGAATTCAATTATGACAGAGACTTCTCATGACATCTTAATTTTCTCCGAATGATCTTTGAGTGTTTTATAAAATCCCTATCAAGATTTATTTTGGTGACTTTTACGCACGATGGAAACAAACGCAAAGTTTTAAAACGTGTGTCTGATTTAGATTATGTGTTTGTTCATGAATCCAATTATCATAGAAACTTCTCAATGTGTGTTTTATGACATCTGAATTTTCTCCGAATGATCTTTCTCTGAGGTGTTAAAAAAATCACCTGAAGATTTATCTTGGTGACTTTTACGCACGGTGGAAACGAACGGCGATCTTATCGTAAATCTGTCCAATTTTCAAGTTAAACGAACAAAAAGTGAATGAATTTTTACATCTTTTCTAGTGACATCTACACTTCCTCTAAAATCACAGTCTGCTTTCAATCAAGAGGTCAAAAAATCCCCCCCATAATTTGGTTTGATGGCGTTTACGCGCGTATAAAAGGCGCAATAACCAAATATTTAACCATCATGTGGTGATTTTAAAATTTTATTTCATGTAGGTCTTTATAATATTTGATTTACACGTATTTTATTTTAAAAAATTTTGTTGGAGTTTTTGCAGCACTTTGAGAAAAGATTCTTTCCAATGGGATTTGAGTGTAAAAACAAACAAACAAACAAACAAAAAACGGCAGTAAATAGATTTTATTCCGTTTATTCAAAGATGTTTTGAATATTCTTTTAAGTTTCCAGATTCATGGGCCCCTCCGCCGGGATGAACATGTCCGGGATGGTGGGCTCCCTGGCCGGGATGGACTCAAGCACCAAGTCCATGGTGACTCTGCACGCGGCGCCGCGCAGGAAGCGGCGGGTTCTCTTCTCGCAGGCTCAGGTGTACGAGCTGGAGCGGCGCTTCAAGCAGCAGAAGTATCTGTCCGCGCCGGAGAGGGAGCACCTGGCTGGACTCATCCACCTCACCCCGAACCAGGTGAAGATCTGGTTCCAGAACCACCGGTACAAACTGAAGCGGCAGGCCAAGGACAAGAGCACGCAGCAGTTGCAGGAGGGAGGCGGAGGTGGAGGTCTGTGCCGCTCCTCCTCAGTGTCCCCGGTTCTATCAAAGACCGGTAAAGGCTGCAGGACCGACTCCAGCAGCTCCAACCAGACCGGGAACAGACAGAGCAGCGCGGGGGAGGCCATGACAGGGCCTCCGCAGCAGCAGCAGCAGCAGCCTCCGCCAGCAGCAGCAGGTGAACCAGCTCTCCTCCACGGAGGAGCTCGAGGATTTGTCTCCGAGTCCGCCGCTGGGACTGCACGCGCAGATCAACATGACGCAGACGGACGCGGCGCTAATCGAGTACACAAACAGCATGATCGGCTCCAATTTACTGTACGGGAGGACTTGGTAGTCACACCGAGAGGAGGACCGGTGGGACCCGGACATGAGTTGATTTTTTGTGGACAACAGAAGTACGCTTTTTTCCCTTCTCTGTTTCCGCGCGTAAAGATCTGGCTCTTTTACGCACGCAGGGACTCAAAGGACACGCGCTGGTTTTGAGCGACAAGGTGCAAAAATATAAATGTACATTAGAGCCAGAACATGGCCTGAAGGGTTTCAATTTTTGTTCCCCCTCTGAAAGACAATTTATTGGTATTTACTTTTTTTTTTAAATCGTAAAAATGTTTGATTTTCGATGGAGGAGAAAAAACTCAGATATCCTGATATGCGCGTCCTCTGTGCTTCTTTTATTCCCAAACAAAGTCAGATTATTTCAGGGTCAAAAATGAAGCTATTTCAGCTTTTTCTTGGTTAAAATTTCTACCGGGTAATATCAGTTCATGTCTTTGTTACAGCTTTTTTAATCTTTCAGGTTTTGAATTAATTGTTTTTTGACATTTTAAATGTTTTTTGAGGCGAAATTAAAGTGTTGGTTATTTTTTAAAAACTGAGATTCTTAAATGTTGAATCAGTCTGAAGCAGATCCAAATGGATGTGGATTTAGACGGAGGTTTGTGGCGCCACTTTGATGCATGAATGTTCAGGAATATTCGCTCAGAGTTCAAACTGCAGATTTTTTCAGTGGTTCATCCAAATAATCGTTCGCTAATTTTCACTTTTTTTGTTTTGCGATTGTTTATTAAAAATGAGAGACTTTTTTTCAGAGTGTTTGCCTTTAATTTAAATTCACAGGAAACAAATGAATCCTGTCAGACAAATTTAATATGGACAATTTTATTTTTTGTCTTTTTTTTAACACTTGGACCACTTTGGAGAGACTCCTCTCAGAAATAAAGACATGAGGACTCTGTGTCCGTGACTCACTTGTATTTGACAAGTTTTACAGGCCGGCCATCTTAAAAATCACAAGTTACAGAGAGTAAGTTTTTTTTTCTTAGTCAAATAAAAATTGAGAGAAAAAAAATCATTTTACAAGAAGACAATAAAATGAAAAAATGTGACAAGTCTCCCCTACAAATACCAAACAGCCCCACCCCCTTCAAACTGAGTCCCTCAGTCCTCTTTAGTCCAGGTCTAGTTCCAGTTGTATTTTCTGGATGGAGGAGGGGGAGGGTAACCTCTGCTGGAGCCCTGAAACACACACAAATACAGAAAATGTACTCTTTTTTTTTAAACCAGGAAATACTTCAAATGTAAAAAAAATAATAAACTCTAAAATTATTTCAACACTAAAATTATTTCAACACTTTCAGATTTTTTTCCTTAAACATTCAGTTGATAATAAAGAATAATAATTAATGAAAATATAATAAATAGGGCAAATAATGCTTTATTAAATGACCTATGAACACCAGAGAATCAGCAGCTTAATTTGGGGGTTTAACCAAATATAAAAATCAAAGATCCAAAATCACAGTCAAATTAAAAAGTCAAAACTTTGGATCAAACTGTAAATGTCTTTTTACTTACCTGATGAGGTTTCACAGTAAACAGCTAATTTCAGCTTTTCAGAAACAGAGATTACAGATTTTATAGATGTATAGATTGAAAGGGTGTAGAGATTAGACACCTTTATCAAATTTCATCCTCTGTCCTCTGCAGCAGATTCACCAGACTTAGAAAACAATATTTCATTGGCACTTTTAATTGATCCTTTAGACCACCTGACACTGAAAATAAATACAAAATCACAGGTTTGAAAGGAAAAAAACATATAAAATTTAAAAGTAATTTCTCTGTGTAACTGCGGCTCACAGTTCTGAGGTTTAAAGACTAAACTGCTCCCCTTTAGTCTCTTTACTGATTACTGGGAAAGTGTGTGGTCTAATGTTTGATGGTTCGATCCCTGACTCAAACCCCAGCTATAAAAAAAGAACAGAGAAAGTCTTTATAGTAAGACAGATCCGTTTAAGAGCCGAAGATTTCTGTCAGGGACTCTAGAAACTGAAGGTAAGTGAATGAAATCTGATCAGTCCAGTTTGAGCGGACCCCAACACTCATATTACGTTTCTATAAATAAAAGCAGGAGTCTTTTCACTGACTCACTCTCACTTCTTTTATATTTAGCTGATAATCTAAATATTAAGGAGCTGATATTCAGATGATCGTCTGCTCCTGTGTTGGTCCAGAACCAGTTCAGAGTGTTTTAGCACATTTTAGAGTCTCTGAAAAAGACAAATTCAGTTTCTAATGAGTCCAGATGTCAAATGAAAGTGTTCAAATCAGTCTGAAAAAAAACCAGACCAAAGCAAGAGAGAAGAAAAAGTGCTGAATTATAATAAAAACCACTTTTAAGAGCTGAACTATTTGGAGGCCTGATAGAATCCAGCAAAGGTGGTTATTTTTCTTTAACTTTTCTATCTTGAGCTCCCCAGATTATCATCCTGTCCACACAGGATTTTATTAACTTGTTCCTAAAAGTTTATGATCATGTAGGTAAAGTTGAACCAACATTCTGTTAAAACTGTTACCTGATGCACAGAAGAGGTTTGTGTCTCAAAGATTATTGAGTTAGAAAAATAAACAAGATGAAAAGAAAGTTCAGGTTCGTCACAAACTAAATACCGTTTTCACAACATTATCTCTTAAGTGAAACATGAAACTGTGTTGTACAATAGTATATATTTTCATGACATCAATATTGAATGACAAAAAAACAACAACAAAAAAAAAACATTAAAGTTTGATTTTAAAATGGAGAACATTTACAGCCAATCACACAGTTTTACTGGTGTCAGTGAACAGATTTCAGAGCTGCAAATATGAACTCATCTGAACAAACAGGAACAGATACTGAGATTAAAACAGACTGGCAGGCTTCATCAGGTCGAAAAAATTTTATGTAAACTAAAATACGAAGTTAACCAAGCAAAAACTGAATATCTAGAGACTAAAGACTTAATTTAAATTAAAAAAATAAAAGGATTCTTTAACCAACAGAGAGTGAAGGCGTACGTCCTTCTAGTTTGAGCTTTGAACACTTTCTATGAGATGAGTGTGAAACATGCTGACGCCAACTGGGTCACATGTTACAGAGCCAAAGGAAGAATTCTGTTCAAGATTCTGACTTTGGTCTAAAAGCAAAAATCAGGATCAGATCAAACTCTGAGATCAAAGTTAAAATTTTGGGTCAAAGTTGGAATCCTGGTTTCAAACACAGAAGATCAAAGAGAAAATTTCAGAGTAAAATTAAAAGTTTTCGGATCAAAGTTGGAATGCTGAGATCAAAGTTTAAGGATGGAATTCTGAGTAAACACAATTCTCAGATCAAAGTTCAAAGGATTTTAGATTTAACTCAGAATTCTGAGTCTAAATCAGAATTCTATAATCAAAGACTGAATTCCAGGTTAGACGTCAGGATTCTAAGGTCAAAGTCTGAATCCTGGAAATTTCAAAAATTAAAATCCCAGGATCAGAATGAAGAGATGTAGTCAGAGTTTTTAAATCAAACTGAAACTTTGGCTCAAGGATTAAAATAGTTAATCAAATGAAAATTCTGGGCAAGGTCGTATTTTTTCAGTTAAGGATTCTGGGTGAAAAGAAATTAGATTTCAAAAAAAAAAAAAAAAAAAAAGAGGAAAAAACAACACATAACACATTGTACACATTTCAGGACATGCGTATATTGACGCAAAACTTTCCAGCAAGAAACAGAGTAAAAATTCTGAAGGACAATCTGCTCGCTGAGATCCAAAAATTAAAATGCTTTTACTCTGTGATTTAGGCTGTGTTTATTTTAAAAATGAATTTAGAGAATTTAAATCGCATGTTTGGATTTTACATAAATGCTGGAAATCTATATCATCTCTGTATCTTAAGACTGATGCACGAATGTTTGGGTTTTAAATCTTAAATGGGACTGTCAGGAGGTGAAGTTCCTGACAATAATCAATAAAAAAAACTGATGAATACATTGATGAGTAAAAACAGTCAGAACTCTACAGGACAGACTTTTATTCTTTAAAGCGACAGATTTACCTGATGCTGTTGGCCCCGGTTGTCACGGCGATCGTGCCAGTCATCCCTGCGTTGGTCGTAGCGCTGCTGGAAACCGCCTGGCCCCGCCCCTCCCCGGCCCCGGTTCTGCTGGTACGCCGAGTGCTGCAACTGCTGAGCTCGATCCCAGCCGTGACCCCCGCCCCCTCCGCCACCACCTCCGCCCCCCCCACTGTAATGATGCTGCTGCTGCTGCTGCTGCCTGGAAACACACACATACACACACAGTTACACACATCTGTCAGCCTCTGTTAAGTACACTCCACTGCAAGGTCTTAAATTCACACAGAGATGGTGCGGCTCAGTCCTGGTCGTGTTTTCTGTCTGAAGAGGAGGTGAGGCCTTGAAAGAACAGACACCTGCAGCCAGCTCAAACATCCAGGATCTGTACCCGACGCTGACACCACCGAACTCAGAGACGTTACCTCGGTTTATTCTCAGAGTGGTCAGGAAAACACCGGCTGAAAACAAGCTGTGCCACCAGAACGAGGCCGACATGTTGGATTAACGAGCAAGACAGAAATGTCCAGAGTGGCACAGATTCTCTGTCTCTGAGCCTGAACGCAGTAGAAAACAATAATCGATTTATCTCTTTTTATGAGGTTAAAAAAAAGACCGTTTACATCATAGAGCAGACATTACTGAGTATTTACAATCACAGCAGACAAGCCTTTTTTAAGTGTCTTTAAAGCTCTTGTTAGGAACTCATAGTTTGTGTTGATTATGGCGCCCCCTGTGGACACAACAGTCACTGATCCTTTGTGCTTCAATCAGGAATTAAAAATGACGGTAAAAAATTGTCAGTGTTGCTGCTTCTATATATCATGAAATGTTGAAATTCAGGTTGTTTTATAAACGTGGGAACTTTGAGGAATAAAAACAACAAACTTTAGAGACAAAGTGTAACATTAAACTTGTAAGGTTGACTTCATCGTCAAGGTTTTTTCTGAATATTAGATCATAGTTTTTCCTTTTTTTTTTCTTAGGTGACCAGTGTTCTGGAGTTTTGTGGGGCGTCTAGCTCACTCGCAATATTTTATCAAGTGTCAAAGTCATGTTTTAAAAGGGATTGTACTCATTTATTCAAATAATTGCTGAAATTTAATTTGACACAGTTTACAAACCAACAGGAACTTTCTGGCTCCTTTTGAAACAAAAGAGGAAATAAGTAAATGTTTTGTTCCAGTGTTAGTTTCACAGTTATTTCAGTCTTTGGTGTTCATTAAGTTTGTAGGAGAATTGTGATGACAATTATTGATTTTCTAACCAGGTTCACTTTTTCAAAACCTTTACTTCGTTATTTATTTTCATTTCACTTAAACATTTTTAAAAGAACAAATTAAAGACACAAAATAACAAAAATGTTTCCCCACATGTTCTGGTTTGAACTTCTTAACTGAGAATCTGAAATCAGGAAATCCTTTGGAAATTTAAACTTTTGGCCTCGAACATTTTATCTCAGGTTTTTAATTTACATGTGAAAATAAGAGTGGGCGGGCAAAACTAGTAAAAAAGTTTCAAAAACCAAGAAAGTTTTAGTTGGAATCAGGAGAGTTTTTGATAAATTTAGTTACTTACAAAAAACTATCTGACCTTGAATAAGTAAAAAGAGCCTTTAAGAGCTGGTCTCAGGTTTAGTATTTATGATGGTATAGTGTCCTAAGAGTGTGAATGGATCTCTTTCCTTCTAAACTCTGTTTTTACGATATTCTGATGTTTGAGTTTGTTCGTCAGAGATGCTCAGAGTCTGGATTCAGTCATTTTCGAGGGCGCATCGATTAAAAAGCTGGACTCTCAGGTGACCTCTAACCTCTCTAAAACCCCTCTCCACGGCGTTTACGGAGGAATGGAGCCCTCCAACAGATAAAACCTCCACTCCTGAGCGGACTTATCAGAGCTGCACATGAAAGAGCCCCGAGTATGAAATGAAGCATATTCACATATGGCTCGGATCTTCCTCATCCTCTGAGATGAGGTGGCTGCATTGCATCGTGGGACCAAGTGAAGAGTCGGCACGCCACGGCCCTCCAAACCTCGGCCGGACAATGTGTCCACGCTGTGCTGATATTAAAAGTCTCTTCTGAGCGACAATGAGGAGAGGGGAGAGCGAGAGCTGCAGCGCCCCATCCCTCATTACTGAACCATGTCACACTCTGGACAGAGCCGGACTTAACCGAGCGCTGGAATCCCTAATCCCTCTCCTCTCCAAGTTCCTGCTGCATTTCATTTGGTCCGTCCCGAGCAGCTAAAGAAACTGTTTCAGGCTCTGCTAATAACCACTGACCTGAGCTGACACCCCGCCACAATGGGCCTGAAAAGTTGAACCGGGGAACCTGATTAGGACTTTTGGAGAGGTCTGGAGCCTGAATCAATAGCCGGTGTGTGCAGTGCGGGGAGCTGCGCTGCCTCCAACAGCATTAGTGACGCCTCATTAAGTTGCACAAACCTCCTCGAGAGAAATTTGTTTTAGAGGGACGGAGAGAAATCTTAATTCAGCTCCCCTGACGGAGGAAGACGGAGCGCAGGAGTGAAAGACAGGGGGGAATTGGATAGAGACAAACCAGGGCCTGACATGTTTGATTCGGACTGTGACTGTATGACAGAAACAAGCCCGAGAGGAAGAGACGCGACACTGTTCCTGTAAAATCACATTGAACTGCTTCGAAAACACAAAATTAAAGCGGCTGTGCTGAGCGGTCGATAGAGTCCTTGGCTGAGTAACAAAGAGTTAATCTTTCCCCGAGTGAAGGCAGAAAAACCAACGCTGCCTCTTTATGGATCAGCGTTTTAACCAAACTCCACCACGGTCAGGACCACCAGTGCGAACTTTACGTCTCGGTGCGGCAGAAAAATCCTCCAAACGGGAGACTCACCTTGGGAACTGGGGCTGGTGGAAGGGGGGAGGCGCTCCCAGCAAACTGTTATGCTGCCTGGAATCTGCAAAAGAACAAAAGACGACATGTTCAGGAGTGCTTCAGCAGAGAGAAGTTTGAGGTTTTCACATACCAGAGAGGAGAGGGGACCATGCTGAAAACCTGCAGACCTGAGCCTCTGTGGGACTAAATAAAACCAAAGACTCCAGACCCGCTTTAATAAACTGGGTTATCGAACTCTGGCCAGCGTTTTAGGCTCATTTTCAAAGTAACACAACATTAAAACTTTTACATTTGTCTCTATTTTCTGACCTACAGCCAAACAAGGCCCGATAAAGACTGTCCACAATGAGAACAGTTTTTTTCAGACTTTTCCCCGTTAAACTCGAACACCCAAAAATCTGATTTCCAGTTTTTGCTGATTTTTAGTCTCTAACTTGTTTAGTTGGTTTGAAGGTTTTAGGACCTAAATCTTCATCTATCTCCTTGTAGCCCTTACTCTTTTCCTTTTATCTGTAAAGCACTTTGTAACCTTGTCTTCTGTAAATAAAGTTTGTTTTGTTAAAATGAAAGACAGCGGCTTTATTTCTCTGTTTTCTCTGCTCCACTTCAAACCCTGACATGGAAGAAGACAAATATTTCACATAAGCCGTGTTTGAAATCGTAAACTGTTGATTGAAAAGAAATTTCGACCTTTTCTATTAAATTAAACCAAAGGGGAGATCTTTTTTTCAGCTCGTTTTTAAACTTCAGGACATGAGTCTGTTTTCATGCCATACAGAAGAAAAAACATTATATTTGAACATTTTCATTCAACCTTTCTGAGTGATCTTGAGTTGTATGGAGCCACAGACCCCTAAAGAAAAACATTTTGTATTCACACATTTTAACTGTGATTATTGGAGAAACAAAGGGAATCTGAAGTTTGATGCTTTAGATCTGCTGAGGTCAAAATTGGAGCCTCTTTGGAGCGAAATGAACCAAAGGTTTCACTTTTTTTAAGCATGTGATTTAACAGCTCCACAGGATCATGACATGGAGACATTTTAACTTGAAGAGCTTCAGTGGGTTTTTTTTGATAAAGCCCAGAGTGGCAGGATTTGCTATATTCTTATATAATAAAATATAAACTTTCAAAACAAGGCTAGAGAAGCTGTTTCCTTCATTGTGTAGGAAGTTGTAAACAAGCCCAAAGATTGAAACTTGTCCTCTTTGGTCCAAAATGAAAGAAAAGGTTGTTTTATACTCTCTGCTGTGATTTTTCAAATTCAATTAAAATGCTTCACAAGGTGATAAAAAGAAATCTGTCCTTGCATGAAGAGCATCTTTAAGTGCTCCTTTTTTTGACCATTAAACTTAAAATGTTTAGATGACCACACAGACAGGATTTGCATCTTTGCATCAGCTGAACTAAAAGGTGGTTTTCTGCTGCAAAATTTGGGGTTTTCTCACATTTTAATATGAATCATTAAAAAAGGTGAAACATTTTCAACTTTTCGCATCCTGAGCCAAGATCAAACCTTAGATGGTCTAAGTTTTTACTGATGCGAGGCTCTAAATGGGGAGGATTTCTATTAAAGCCTCTTAGGTGGGCTTAACAGGATCACAATAAAGAAAAAATGTGAAAGAGGATCACAAAGAGAGAGAACTTTTGAGGAAGAAGGTGAATTAACTTTCCAGAGTTATGATGTGACTGAAGCTGAAGAAACCAAAAGAAAACAAAGTTTGATTGTTTCGTGATCTGAACCACCAGCATGTCTTTTTTCACGTCCTGAGCACGCTAACAGGATGTTAAAAGGAGTAAAGGTTTGACAGGATCACAAAGAGGGAGAAATATATTACATCTAAGACATTTGAGTTGATTTTCCAGTTTTAAACTACAAAAAAAAAAAATTTAACTGACGTTTATATTTTTATAACCTGACTGAGGAAGGTTTGACTTCAGAAATGAAGACAATTTATCAAAACACAAACCAGGTTTATCCTGAAGTGAGAGAAAATAGAAAAAAAAGGATGAAAATATCAACAATTTCCTCCTGTTGTTGGATAGAGGATAAACTGTTGTCCTGATAAATTGAAGCTGTGGTTGGAGGCTGGAGGCAGACGAACGAGAGCCGCAGAGCCACATTTGCATTTTAGTTCAGGAAAATGAAATAAGCATTCAGCCGGCAGCATTGTGGACGCCTCAAGTACCCTGGTTCCATCGCTGCGAGCTCTTCACAAAGACACACTTAAAAAAAAAAAAAAAAAGAAAAAAAAAAAAAAAAAAAGAGGAGCTAACGGCTTCTTCCAGATCCACTGTTGCCAAGGCGATGACCAGCTGCGAGCCGTGGACTTGTTTGTTTATCGGGGCCGGCCGGCTGAGTGGATGGGCTCAGGGCGGGTGAAGGGGCCGCGATAAAAAAATAGACCCTGATAGACTCAAATCTACAGACCTGAGAGGATTTCAGCTGATATCAGGAGACAGAGACAAGAGGAGAACGCCGCCGGGCTGGGTCACATGACTGAAAATCTAATATTGAAATAACCTGACACATTGTAGAAACTCACTTTGTTCTAATATGAAATAAAGCACAAGTCAGTAGACGAGTGAGAGCTCTTTAATTTTAATACCTGGTCCTTATTTTCATTCACTTTAGGAAAATAAGATTCGTCACATATTTTCAGGGTTCTTGATCATCTCTTGTCAGTTTACAGCCTCAGAAGAACGGTAGGAGCTAAAGCTGTGAGTGTTTTCTCTGAACCTCACAATTCAGTCCCATTCAATATCCATCCTCGTGTTATAACATGGATTCAATAATGTACATTTCTAATTAAAAAATAAAGTGTGTTTTAATTCCACTGGTTTAGAAAAACAGTGACTCAAAAAACAAGTTTCCATTCTGAATGACTTCTTCACAAAATACAGTATGTTATTAAGTATAGTGCAGTCTCTCTCTATGCTAGTGCCCCAGTATAAGTTCTGGACTCTCCCCTGTCCGGCAGCACAGAGGAAACAGTGAGACCTGACTGTGGTCAGTATGTCAGGTTTGATCAAGTAAGACTGCAGCAAAAAGACCTTTTTTTAACTAATAAAGAATGAAAGAAAACCAATCTGGACTTGAATTTCTGTACCCAGAAAGATGGTCAAAAGAAGACTCTCCTACTGGCGGATCAATGGTGAGCTACAGTTTGCTGTATGGCAGTGAATCCACAGTGTATGACGTGCAGTTTCTCGTGAACTGATCAGGATGAAGTTTGAAGGAAGCTTCAACCAAAGTAAGTGATAGGATGCGGATGTAATTCTGTATATAGTGATTGATATGTACAGGCCTGTGAGTTTAAAGGAAGGATTCATGTAGGGTGACCATATTCTGAATCCCCAAAAGAGGACACGACTGCGTGGGAGTGGAGTCATGGAGTCGCACGTAGTTAATTTTGAGAGTTTTTCGGGTCGGATTGAGTGTCTTTTACACACTTCTAGCTCAGTAAGTCCACGCGACACAAACTCGAAACTTCCATTCAAAACCCCGGACATTTGAAGGATTTTCATAAACTTCCCCGGACAGAACCTGGCAAGGCAGGACAGCTCCAAAAAAACAGGACATGTCCGGGTAAAAGAGGACACATTGTCACCCTAATGCATGTAAACTGTGTGTCTACAGGCTTTTACAATAATATTAACACAAGCAGAGGTGAGTGTTAATGAAAGTTAAACAGTGACAGTGATTGTAGAGAGGAGAGCAGGGAGAGGAGCAGGAGGAGAAGAGAGGAGAGTAGGAAAAGGGGAAGGAGAGCAGGGAGAGGAGAAAGTGGAGGAGAGAGAACAGCAGGGAGAGGTTGTAGTGATCACAATTGTGCACTTGTGCTCATGAGCATTAATGAGCAGACAGGAGCTAACAACTGAGGGGCTAAAAAGTGAGCAAGGTGGTGCTGTTGCCTGGTTTGATGCTTATGCTTTAAGTTTTTCTCAGAAATTTGGGGTCTAAACTTTGAGACCAGGAGAAAGACTTGAGGCATTTGGGGCTCATAATAAAGTGAAATAATCTGTTCATGATGTGAAATCTCACAGGGAAGTAAAACGGGAGATCTTCCTTCAGTTTTCCGCTGACTGAGCAGAAAGCAGTAAAAAGACACAATTAGCAGCCAGCAGGCAGACTGCTGTCAGGACATTATCATTTGGGTTTTGTCATTCAGTTTTCATGTTTGATTATCTCCTCCACCAACAAACTTTAAGTGGACCACCCAGCCGGGCTCCAATTATAACTCCACAACACTCGGGTCTTCTTTTCCCCGTCGCCAGCGATGCCTCAAAAGAGAGAATTACAAGTGGACACCTGTCAATCTCCTTAATTAACAATGATCTGAAAGTGTATAGACCTCCAGTCTGCGCAGCACAAAAGCCAACAAAGGATTACGCTTTAAATCCTCAAAACACGCGGCGTCCACTGTATTAACGCCGGGATTACAACCCCACTAAACAACTAAACAGCTCTCCCCGCCCTCCGCTCAATCAGCTCTGCGACTGTTTGACTCAGCTCCCGTCCAGCCGGCGCAGGACAGTAACTTTTTTTTTTTAAAGGGACGGACAAAGATGACAGACGGACACACAAAACTTCATCAAGCTCGACAGCTTAGAAAGATTACAACCTGTGAGTGAGAGGAGCTGATTCACAGCAGAGATTATTTGAATATTTTCTTAGCTGGCGGCTGTGTAATACCCACCTCAAGTGCGAATACAACATAAGTGAATGTCTTTCTTTAGTTCCCCCTTTGGAAGAATTTGGAGAAGGAAATATACAAAACTTTCCTTTAAACTACACAGATGTAGCAAAAGCAGTGAAGAATATGACACTATTAATGCTCAAATATCAGTTTTTCAAATCCTGCTCCGATAAAAAGAACCAATAAGTCACAAAAATGTGCAATGCATTAACCACTCAGTCTTTATATCCACCGCAGCTTTTCATGCGATAAACCTCCGGCCTCTCTTTCTAATCACTCCGTCCTTGGATTCATTCATGTAGCAGAAAGAAAACGATGGATTCAATAACCGATATAAAACGCGTGATTATCAGTTTGTAGAAAGATGGTTATCAAAAATACTGAGTTATTGTCCTGTCCTTTAAATTCCTTCCTCTTCAGGTTTGTGTTTGAGTGTCTGATGCAGCGTTTTGAACCTGATCTCAGAGGCTGCAGAGCGTCAATAGATGTTGGAGTGTTAACACCAAAGAGAAAGCAAACCGAAGGATCGGTGTAAGGAGAAATGACAATCTTCTGGACTGTTGAGAAGTTTTCAGCAGCTCCAAGGCAAATAAGATGTTTGAAGAGACATTTTCCAAGTCTTTTCTGACGTGAGAGAAAAGTTTGAAAAGAAATACAGAAAGCAGAAACTTCTCCAAGACCGTGTGTGTGTTTGGTGGCTCCTTGTCACTGAAGCTGCTCCTGTGGTCGGTGTTAGCAGCTATTGTGTGCGGTTGTTATTCTCGAGTGGCAGTGGAGTTTGAAGGCTTATCAGCCGCTGTGTCTGCTGGTTGAATCAGTTACTTTGCTGCCCTGGTTAAAATTTGGTGTCACCTTGTGTCAGGACAATAATGGCCACCAGCAGAGACTTGCCGGCTGGTTATTAAACACCAGCTGGTCCGGCTGTGGCGCACAAAGCCCCGCAGCACGGTTCAGAGGCGGTGTGTTGACACATCACCGCAGGAGGTAGCAGCGTCGTCAAAAGGGGAAGTTAACTTCGGTTTCAACCCTCTTCAGTGCGCATCACACAGCCCCCCCCACCACCCACCCACCCACCCATCAGCTTTTATCAGAGGGGGCCACTGAGTCCAGCCCAGCCTCTCCACAGTCTCATTACTAGCCAGGTCTCCCACAACGCTAATCAGCGACCCCCAACAAAAGCCAGAGGAGAGCAAAGCCTGCAGTGATTACTGGCCGAGCAGAGGGAAGTGTTTCCTGGACAAAGGCGAGCTGCGGCCTCCTGCTGCAAGATCAGGCCGACTGGTCTGGATAATCACATTCCTGAGGACGTCAATGTTAAAGCTCAAGGTTTATCAGTCACTATGTTTACCTGGACCACCAATCACCTGAAGAGAGTTAAGATACATGATGGAAACTAGAACTAACATCCTCCAGTCTGATGGTCCATTTTTACAACTTTAGACTTCTATTTTTCTCGCTGCTTCTTTTGTGTAACATCACTTTCAGGGCTCGACAGTGTGACCGTTTCACTCGCATTTGTGACTAAAAATAGATGTGTGGGAATGATAAAATGTATTTAGGGGCACATGTGCGCATAAAAAAAAAATCAGCCGAGGCAACAAATGTTTTTTCATGTAAATACGCGGTGAAGTTAGTTTTAGGTTGGATATCTGACGGACATTCACGGTGGATCTACTGGTGTCTTCTCACTCTCCGCAACAGCAGCACATTTAAATCTACTCGGCACCCTCACTGTCAACGTCAGGTGTTGAATAAGGGACCATCAATAAATTACCTGTTGATGTTCTCAAAAAAAGCTGTTTTCCTTCAACAGCTTCCATGTCATTGGACCAATTGACCTAAAATTGATTTCAAATAATAGTACTTATGTCGACCAATAAGACACACATTATTTGATAAATTTTGATTGTGCCTCTAAAGTTCCTTGTGTCAAGCTCTGACTTTCAATAGTTCATTCAGGTCAAGAGTCAGAAGTTATGTTTAGGGATATGAATACAGGCGGCTGCATGCTAGTAGGCTCCAAGTCTTTCTTTTTTTTATTCAGGTTTAACGAAGTTGTGATACTACGAAAAGCTTGTTATGAATGTTGACCACCAGTGCACTGGTTACACTGAGATTGACTGGTTTGATACTAAAATAATGTGCAGAGTTTTTGTCCATTAACCCCTTAATGTGTTGGTGAGTGGGTGACAGTTTGGTCGACTCAGACTGTCTTGGGTTGACTGCAGCCCTACTTGAACCTGAGAGCTCTGCTCAGGTCCACTAGGGGTGGAAATCACTAGTGGCCCAATGATACGATATTATTTGATTTTTAACATTTTGCAATTCAGTGAGTATTGCAATACCAATTATTGCGATTTATACAATTTTTTCAACTGTTTAGCTAATTTAGCATTTGGCTTTCCTTTGTCTAATTAACATAGTACAACAAATATATAAGGTTAGCAAGATGTGCTAAATAAGATTAATTACTAACTTTCTCCTGCTCTATGATGTCACCTCTGCCAACCTCACTGGACAATCAGTTGATTTTATTTTTCCATTATCATAGATTTTACTTCATATTAACAATTAATTTGAAAAATCGATACTCGGTAAATGAGACGATACAATATATCACCAGACAAAATATTGTGATACTACACTGGCTCGATTTTTTCTCCCATCCCTAAAGAAATCTCACTATTGGATATTTGGAACCACATTTATTGGTATCAATGGTATTGCTACTAGGCAGACCAGTATCGTGTTTTGGCTGGCTGATAATTGAGGAGAATATCCTGCACCATCATGTAGGTGACTTACAGGTGTTGGGTGATTTCTTTATAGTCTCAATGTGCATATCTAAGAACTTTAAACAGCAGTAGATGCATGGAGTTCTGTGTCTGAAAGCTGAAAAAAGCCCCCTTAAAAGCGTTTTCCAGGCTTGTAAACATTTGACCGTCCTCTCATGGGGAAAAATGGAAGGGCTGCACCTTTAAATGTAAAACAATCATCAGAAGTTTGATTTAAGTGCCTGCATTATTTACTCGATACTTGATATAATAAGCCTGATCTGGTAAAAATCATGCAGAAGCAGACCTGGTATTTGAGACAAACCATGCCAAAGATTCAGAAAACTTCCTGTCAGCGTAAGTAACAATTTCCTGATGATGATGATGATGATGAAAAAGAACAGAGGGAAAGAGATTAAAATAAGACTGTCCTGGAGCACTAATTGCCAAGTTTAACATTAAGAACGAGTGGCAGAGGCCAGGGGAGGTGCTGCCGCGATCCGGAGGAGCCAAAAACCCCCATTTGCATCAAGTACCACCAGAATAGCAACGACTCCCCCGCACGCCATCAGTGGGCAGATGAGATTATTCATCTACTTGCAAATTGGCACATCAAAGTCAAACTGGAGGAGAGCTGGCAGAGGACCGCGGGGCCGGGGCCGGGGCGAGCACACGGCGTGATTAGGAGCCGGGGAAGAGATTCAGCCTCCATATGTGACGAGCCCTTCAACCAGCTCGCACATGATGAACAAAATACAGATATTTAATTATTTCTCTCTGCAAAAGGGAGACAGCTGCATATACAAAGTGTACAGTTCTCGGAGAGTGACATGTTTTCTATACGTCAGTTTCATTCAGAACAATTCAATGTGTCACTGCATTCACATTATTGTGCAGGGTCTGAGGTTTGGTTAAAGGACTCTGAGGCAGGACGTGATCTGTGCTAGTATCTGAAGAAAAAGGTGTTTGTGGTCCAAAAATCACGGTTACGTTTTTCAGAGAATTTGTCAGCTAAAGATGCAGATGCAGACGGCTCCACTCTCTTCGCTGCAGGACAGAAAGGTTCGGAAGATCTTTTGTACCAACAGCCATCAGACTTTACAACTCTTTTATCAATAGTAGATAACTTTAAAGACAATTGAATTTTCCTTCGAGGATAAACAAGGTTATTCTATCAGAGGAAAGAGATCCATACTCATTTCTTAAGTCGTAAACTGGATAGCAAACTACAGCAACGCTAACACAGGGAAATCTGATTACAAAAAAACAAAAGCCAGAGCTGGACGATAAATCAACAGTAGATTTAAATATGACTTACTGCTCCTTTAGATCATAGGAGAGAAGAGAGCAAGGAGAGGAGAAGGAGGAGGAGAGAAGAGAACAGAACAGAGAGGAGCAGGAGAAGGACAAGGAGAGAGGAGAGCAGGGAGAGGAGCAGGGGGAGAGAAGAGCAGGAGAAGGAGAGAGGAGAGCAGGGAGAGGAGCAGGGGGAGAGAGAGAGGAGAAAGGAGAGCAGGGAGAGGAGCAGGAGAAGGAGAGAGGAGGGTAGAGAGAGAGGAGCAGAAGGAGGAGGAGAGCAGGTGTGCGAGTGTGAGTTAACAAGCTAAAAACTGCCAGGCTCAACATTGACAACGACCCGAATCATTATTCAATTATTATAAATTTTGAGGTCATCACAAAAAGACTTTAAAAGACTGACGAATGTGATGGATCTGAGGTCTGTGACAAAAACGCTGTTGGTATGAGAGTTCAGACTGTTTACTTTGTAACATGATACTACAAGAACAATCTGACATTTAATAAGTCTGAACCAAATTAACTTATAACTCGATAAGAGAAGTGAAAACTGAAGCACAGTCCCTTTAACACCCTTTTAATTTTTCTTTATATAGTGCATGTGGATAGACAGGCATTCTTCAGTTAACACAAAAGTTTCTTTCACTTTCAGAAAGTTCAACATGTCTGATTTTAAAAGAGTTCTTTAAATGCCTTTGATGCTGCTGTCTGATCACATTCTATCCTGTTAATAATTGTGAAGTCAGTGTAGAAATCTGAATAAACAGTCCTGCAGGGGACAGACCTGTGACTGTGAACACCTGATACCAGAGTTTAAGTTTTAATGGCTTATCTTTTTATCTTTCATGTCATATTAATTACTTTTTCCATCACAATAAACATCTTTGCACTTTAACACACAACTTTTTTTTGACACGTAACTTTTTTAACCCTAACCCTAAGTTTTATCCTTCCTGATTCTTTCCTAAAGTCTTTTTAAAATGGCGTTATTAGTGTCTCTACTTCATCACTGATGTTTCAGCACTGACGGCTAGACCTGGATGTGTTTTGTGTGAATTTGCATGAATAAATGATGTGACCTCATCAAAATCTCTATTTGACTTTCTTTTGTAGACACAGTTGGAGTTTACAGATGGAGTTGAGGATTTTAATGAACACAAAGAAAGAGGGAAACTCAGTAACACAGTTTTGATTGAGATTCGATTCTTTCAATGACCACTCTGTTCATGAAGAACTGACCTGTTTAAAACTGTGACTTAAAGAAAAGCTTTGAAAGGAATTTAACAGGACTGCTATGATAAGTAGGGTTATAATAATGGTGAACTTCATCACGCTTTGTTAAATCCAAGGCTGCAGCTCTGAATCGAATTGTCCTAAATCACCCCTTTATTCTTTGGATAGTGCTGTTTCTTCCAGACTTATTTAAAATTACTCTGGTTTCTAATAGCTGCGTTTCATCCCTTAACCAGTTTCTCTCCTCATTATTATTACTATTATATTCAATTATAATCAAAGACCAGAAATAAGCCGTGAATTTATATTTGTCGGGTTGTACATTTTTAAGAATGATGTCATAAATTAATAATTCAAAGTAAGGAATTAAGTCGTAAATAAACAAAGACGGTATCACGAATATCTGGAAATTAAAACAAATATTTAAACACTAACAGTGCTGCGTTTCTGTGTTTTTCTTTCCTAAAAAATCTCCCAGTTTCAGCCTTAAATCAGAAACTGAAGATGATTTTTTTTCCTCTTTGGATCTCCCTACACTTAATCATCACTCCCGGTTTAATCTCAGCGCTGTGTGAGTGTGTCTTACGTTGGAAACTCTGGTGTCCTCCATGCTGTCGGTAGCCTCCTTGATGGTAGCTGCTGGGTGGAGCGGTGTTGCTGTACTGTCCTCTGCCTTGTTGGTTTCTGTTCAGACTGTGACTGAAGGAAGAGAAGAAGAAGTATTCAGAATGACATGGACCTCAGGTACAACCATGTTTGACTGATTAGCAGAAAAGATCTGAAAATGAAGTTTAAGGTAAAAGATGATAAAAGAGAAATGGAAGAAAACTCAGAAACACACAAAAAAGGTTTTTCTCGACTGTTTTCTCCTCTTTATTTTCCAGCATTCTCCGAGCACCTGCCTGTTTGGCCTCATCAAAGCACATAACTGTCTGAATCACTGAATTAACGCCGTAGTTTAGTCAGAAACAGGAGTGAAAATTGGACTACACTGCGTTTCCTCAAATCCGTGCATAATTAATTCCGCAACACGCCACAGTCGGACCGAGCCAGATGTTCAATTATTCACATTTCCTTAATGATAATATCGATGTGTGGAGGAGGCAGCTCAGATCATAATCAAGCATGGCTGGTTAATGGGGAGCGTACGGGGGAGAAACAAACATTTAAACACATTTTCATTGTAAAGCACTGTAATCCTCTGAGTCACTGCAGGACCGACAGGCTTTGTTTCAGACGCCTGAATGTAAAATGAGATCATCTGATGTTTATGAAGACCGTTTGTTTGTCCAAATGGGAGACCTTTAAAATTGCAGAGAACTGTAAAAACCACCTATGTGACAGAAGGTGTGATAAAGTGATCGGCATGTTTCAGTTCAAACAGATTGGACATAAAATAAAGCCTGGACATTTTCCAGGGCTGGAGAGGTCTTTCTCTGCACAGACTAGCAAATCTAAATATGTCTGTTTGATGGATATGGAAATTTACGGCCAGAAAATCCTTTAAGATGTTTCAACGGTCCAGTTTCAGTTGACTAAAGCACTAACTTATCGTTAAACATACAGGCTAGACCAGGGGTCGGCAACCCGCGGCTCTGGAGCCGCATGCGGCTCTTTCTTCCCTAAGCTGCGGCTCCCAGTGGATTTGGAAAATAAATAATAAATACTTAATTGCATTTTATTTTATTTTATTGTTATTATTTTTTTTTGTAATTCTAAATTCAAAGATTATAATGCTCTTGTAACATTAAATAAACTATTAAGGCTGCAACAACGAATCGATTAAGTAGATTCGTCGTGACGAAAAAATCCGTTGCCAACAAATTCTGTAATCGATTCGTCGGGTCTTTATATATGACCATGGACACCGGCGTGTAAACATCAGCAGGACGCACAGAAAAGAAACAGCCATGGCCGAGGCAGCGGCTGAGAAAAACATGGACACAACCCAACCCAAATCCCGACCTAAAACATCAGTGGTGTGGGAAAACTTCACCAAGACTGAAAAGGAAGGCGTTCAGTGCAACATTTGCAAAGACCGTTTTGCATGGCTCGGGAGTACATCGATGATGCGTGAGCACAGGGCTCTCAAGTCTCACGCATTCAGCGTATGACACACGCATTCCCACTCGTTCACACGCTCACGCACCACACATTGTATTTCTCACGCATTTAAATGAACACGGTGATGTCCACCAATTTGCACTTCTTCAACTTTGGAACTGGGGGAAATCAACTGAGTTCCTCCGAGAGTTCAGAAGCTGCGTGCCACGCACAAGCCAATCAAATAAAGTATATCTACTGAACAGCCAATCAAAAAGCAGCATTGCTGTATCCGGGTAGATTTTGATATCTTGCGGTTTAACTACAGAAGAAGACAGACACTCGCCGAAATAGTTCATTTATTTCATAAATGCAACTCGCTACAGTTTTTTATATACTTTGTATAAAGGTTAAAAAAAAAAGATAAATGCAATGTTATCTTCATTTTAGATGTCTAAGAGGTTTTGCGGCTCCCTGTGTTTTCTTTTCTGTGGGAAACTGGTCCGAGTGGCTCTTTGAGTGTTTAAGGTTGCCGACCCCTGGGCTAGACAGTGGGGCCTCACAGCAAGACGGTTCCTGGTTCAAATCTCTGGCCAGGCAGGGACCTTTCTGTGCAGAGTTTGCATGTTTCTGGGTACTCTGACTTCCTCAGTCCAAAAACAGGCTTATCAGGTTCATTGGTCACTCTAGATTGCCCATGAGTGTGTGCGTGTGCATGAATGGTTGTGTCTTTACATGTCAGCCCTGTGATAGACTGGAGTCCTTTCTGAGACTAGATATCAGGAAACTTACCCCAGAGCCCGGAAACCAGACTGGTCCAGGTGAGCCTGCTGCCTGTTGGGGTTAAAACCCAGTTGAGGTCTCCAAGGTTCCCTGTTCCCTCTTTCCCAGTCCTCGGGCTTCAGGACCTTATTGGGAATCCTAAAACAACACCCGAGACATAAAAAACAGTCCAGTAAGGATTCTGTGCAGAATGTTAAACAGCTGACAGGTTTCACAAACAAACAGAAAATCAAAAAAACAATCCACCTCTTTGCTTTTTCTGTCTAATCACTCACTCTCAAGGTGGCCTCACCCTGAATTTGCCCTGTGAGAACAATGAGTGAACACCCACTCTATTTACATGCTAGTTCGTCAAACTCTATATGAGAATACTTTCAGACAAGGAATGTTTTATTCTCATCTGGAGTTAAAAACAAGTCTGCCAATTGTAAAATGTATTTAGGAGTGCTCAATCAAATCAAATGAAGACAATTGGTAGCCCAGCGAGGACATGGAGCCCCGAGAAGAGCAAAGGGCAGAGGGTTGGCGCCACATTTAATCAACAGTGTGCACTGAAAACATGATCAACGTGGTTGTTTCAAATTTGGTTTAATTAGATTAAAAAACGACTGCACGACCACATCAGTGTCTGTATGTGTTCATCTCCTGCTGAAAATAGACTCTAAAAGTTACAAAGTGATACTTTTTTATTACCATCAAACAACATAATCTAGTCATCAATTCTTCAAGACTAATGTGATCTTGTAAGAACCAGAGGGTCTGCAAAGGACGGGATTATAAGGTCAGGAAGCATTGAGAGATGGACTTACTCAGTTGGTTTTGATTTCTTTCACTGATTTGTTAACAATTAGAAAATATTGAATCGCATTCTGAGTCTTTTCATTTTGACAAGTGCGAAATGAAAGAGTCGAACGGATGAAAAGAAGCTGATAAAATGTTATCAAAGCTCTGAAGAGAAAAAATTAATCAAAGAAAGAAAGAAAGAAAAGCCTCACTTGGCTTCAGGAAGGAGGACCGCCTTGAACACAAAGTCATCTGCATACTGCGGATCCTTGAACTTCACTCTGAAAAGTAAAAGAAAAATCACTTTCAATTAACGCACAAAGCCTGTTCCATTAGCTCATCTCTTTTATTCTGAAAGGGAAATATCTGCTCTCACGCGGTGAGACTCAGAGTTTGTAATGTTCCGTGTTGAGGATGATTCTGTGATTAAGTGCTGTCATTTTCTTCTCAACCTGCCCGGTTCTACTTCACCCTGTCATTTTCTACAGGAATGTCTTTTCACCCTCACACTCGTATTATTCTAATGACAGGTGGGTGTACAGATACACACAGCTCCACTCTGCCATGTGACTGAAGATAATCGTCTGTGGAGCTGTGCTGGAAATGTCTGGATGGAAAGATGGTGGTAAACTACTGAGGAGCACAAAACACAGAAAGATTGGAGATTTCTGTACGAATAAAAAATATTAATGAGTGTTAATACAAGCCGCTGTGTAACCATCAACTTACGTACAAATCTGCGAACATTTGAAGGATTTTATAAACTTCCCTGGACAAAGCCAGACAAACCCGGACAGCCCAGACAGACCCCAAAAAAGAGGACATGTCCGGGTAAAAGAGGACGTTTGGTCACCCGACACTTCTTCACTTTTCTACAAATACCCTAAACAAGTCAAACACTCTGCTCTGAGAGTGTTCCATGGATGTTTCTTACCCAATGGCGATGTTCTGTGAAATGTCCCGTAGCATGGGGATTGGAGACGCCACTGTCCTGAGGAGTAAACATCACAGACAGCATGAATAGATACGCAGTTCAGGGTCCATGCACTGAGCTGGGTCTCCTTCAGTGGGCTGGAGTGTTAGGAGTTAGAAATACAGTAACATGGGTGAGAAAAGTGAGATTAAAGCGGGCGTTTCCTTACTTATCTGGTAGAATAGGGTCGTCGTCAAGATTTAATGTACCTTGGATTCCATGGCACAGCTCTGCAGGGATCTCAGTATCCTGAAAAAGAGGGGAGGTAGAGTTTGTATCCAAAAGTTCAGTGTGGTTAAATCAGGCAGTGTGTGTCACAGAGGGAGCATACAGCTAACTTTACTGAACAAGAAATCTACCCAGCATGCAACTGCCAACCCCTTCAACACCTATAAAACCAGCTCTCTTCCTGCCAGGCACGACTCTGAAGCTGGGGTAAAATCAACCAATGTTTTTAAAGAGAGGCCAACACTTGTGACACTACAGGGCAAAAGCTAAAAATAACCAGAAAGACGCTGTTGTGTTTCCCACCGGGTCACAGAGCCACAGCAGTGAGTGATCAATAGTCGATCATCACTTAACATGAAGAAAAAACAGGTAGGAAACACAGGCAGGAAAAGACAGGTAGGAAACAGAGGTAGGAAACACAAGTAAGAAAACACAGGCAGGAAACACAGGCAGGAAAAGACAGGAAGGAACCACAGGTAGAAACCGCAGATAGGAAACACAAGTAGGAACCACGGATAGGAAACACAGATTGAAAACACAGGTAGGATATACAGATAGGAATCACAGAAAGGAGACACAGGTAGGAAACACAGGTAAAAATCACAGGTAGGGAACACAGGAAGAAAACACAGATAGGAAACACAGATAAGAAACAAAAAGGAAACAGGTAACACGGATAGAAATCACAGAAAAGAAACACAGGAAGGAAACACAGGAAGGGAACACAGGTAGGGAACACAGGTAGGAAATACAGGTAGGGAACACAGGTAGGAAATACAGGTAGGGAACACAGGTATTGTACTGTACATTGATTTTTAGGTCAATGTTTAAGTTACGTTCTCAAAAGATAGCTGCCAAACATGAAGGTAACAGACTACAGTATGAATTCAAAGAGCGATTTTCTGAGAATAGTGATCACTAATTCAGTGAAGTCTTCGCCAACATTAGATTTGTGAGGAGCTACAAACAAATCTGAATTTTAATCTAAATTATTAAAACACTGATGAAAGTCAGTTTGTCCATGGATTTTGTTCTGCTCAGACTTCAGGAATGAGACCCAATGTCAAGTGAACATTTTACTGATCCCAGTTATTCCTTTTTTAGTTTTATCCACTGATCTGGTATTGATCCAATCTTTTTCTAGTGTTCCCTTACATTACCTTACATTAGCTTAAAACAGATTCATATTTACTCTGATTCTGAAGCCTATTTTCTCCATTTAAACCTTTATCAGATTTTAGAGTTTTAAGCATAAATACTTCTTTGTTTTAAAATCTTTTTCTATTGGCAGTTGTGCATCTTTCTCTGCAAGTCTGAGCCAAATCTGATCAGACTTGTTGATGTTTGCAGAATTAAATACTTCAGTTTTGATGCAAATTGCTGTTCAACCAGCTTATTAAGAAGTTTTCACCCAGTGAATGAAACTATGATTTCTCTAGCTTTAAAATGTATAATCAACAAACTGAACCGGCTCAGACGACACCTGCAGAGCGACACAAACACATCTGCAGCAGAGTGACGCAGCAGAAAATGCAGATCTTTATTTTAATGTGGAGATTTAACCAGCGGAGAAGACTATCATTATAGACACGTGTTGATAGAGCAGCTGACTGGAGCAGAGGGAGGGTCTCAGCTGCATGATGCATCACACCACGGTTTAGATATGATACTACATAAGTGACACAGTTCCCCGTGAAACTTTCAGATGCTGCAGGTTGTTAAGAAAACTTTATTTCCCTCCACCTCTCAAGATCCCTGTGGCTGTGAAAACAGTTTTAGTCTTAGTGGGTTACCTCCTGAGATTCTGTGCGGTAAAGTTCGTGGATGAAATCGAAGAGCGGGTGAGACTTCCCGAGAAACAGCACGTCGTTTCCCAGACTGTTTCTTTTTTCTGCAAAAGAACAAAGAAAGACAGCATCAGGATCTACTGGAGCTCTGACCCTGCAGGACTGGGTGAGAAAAGGTGAGAGGATGATGTGATGAGAGGGAAGACTAAAACAAAGAACTGCAGGGGAAAAAAAAAACCCAGATAGGAAGCCACAGTCATACAGACAAAACCATATCTACTTCAATGTTTTATGTTGCCTAATTTATTTTGTAGATTGATTTATCATTTTCTAAGCATCTTCTTCAAACAAACACATATTAAAAAACTGGATTTGATGATAACTGAAAGATAGAGAACTCCTGCCAGTTTCAATAGTTCAAATGCTTCCATAACTTGAACCCTGAAAATGAACTGCACAGCAGATTTGGCTCGAGCAGGTTAAATAAGGAATTCACAGTGAGAGCGCTCACCTTCCTCAGGTGTGAGGTCAGGGTAGACGTCAGTCAGAGCCGCCCTCAGCCGACGTTCATCCACAAAAGGCAGCAAGGCGACACCTGTACAGGTAGACCAAAAACAAGAGTTAAACCTGTAGACATCCTGATCCAGGCCAGCGAGAGACTCGTGTGAGTAAGTGTTGAAACAGGAGAAATCAGTTTCTCATCTTGGACTTGTCAGCTGCTGTCAGAGGACAGTAAACCTCTCAAGAACTCCTCAGTGTGTCTGAGCCTCGGTTTTACTGTAAACTGTAAGTTATACCGAGGTTTCAACTTGGGTGCACTCTTAATATGTCTGTGGTGAGTCACTGTCAGTGTCAATGTCAGCTTTATTTATATAGCACATATAAAACAGCCAGTGGCCTACCAAATTGCTTGACAGTTTAACTGCCAGAAACAATAAAAAAACAATAAACGCATTAAAGCTATAAAGCCAGAAAACAACAATAAAGATAAACATAGCAAATAAATAAAAGACCCAATAAAAGTTACTATCCTACCCCAAAGGCTAAAATGAACAGGCGCGTCTTTGTAAGTGTTTTAAAAGCTGAAAGGCTGTTAGCAGTGTGCACTGTCAGGGGTAAAGCGTTCCACAAAGTGGGAGCCACAACAGAAAACGCTCGATCTCCTCTAGATTTTAAAAAGGATTGAGGAACGTCTAAAACCACCTGATTAGCTGACCTGATAAAACCAAGCTTCCTGATATGGGATCCTATGTAAGGTGCCAGTGAGCCAAGGGAGCTGACAAAGACTTGAACCAGGTCAGGACGACTGAACAGGATAACCTCTGTTTTGTATTCATTTAATTTTAAGAAGTTAAGATCCACCCATGTCTTGACATAACTCATGCAGTTAAGCATGACCTGTGGAGAGTCTTTGTTAGGGACTTTAACACGTAAAAACACCTGCATAACAGTGAAAAGGAACACCATGCTTTCTCAAAATTGACCCCAAGGGTGGCATATAGAGGGAGAATAGTTGGGGACCCAGAACTGACCCCTGGGGGACCCCACATGTCAGAGGGGCCACTGTGGAAGAAAACTGGCCCATGTGCACAGAAGATCCCTCAGAGAGGTACGATCTGAACCAACTCAAAGCAGTGAGTCTCAGTTTCACTGTAACTTCAGGCCATGTGATGTACCTCCAATGAAACAGCAGGACAGTTCAAACGGATCAGACTTGGTTTGCATAATGCTGTTGGCTGTGTTGTTATGAATGCAGCTAATAGAAAATCATACTTAAAAGTGAATGCACAGTGTGCTAATCAACACAAACAACAAACATTGCTTCCCTAGGTTCATTCAAAACAGGCTGGGTTTACGTTCGGTAAACCTTTGTGGTGTTTTTTAGTAAAAAAACACCACAAAAGGTTAGATTTTTCTAGAAGTACCCCTGATTTTAGCCTGCAGATGTCCAGAAAGACTTGAGGCGAAAGGCGTTGATTTCTCTTTATTCAAAACGTTGCTGCTTTGATGGTATTGGACACGTCGGAAACCAGAGGCCTGTACTACGAAGCTGGATTTGGTCTTAGCGAGATAACTTCTGGATAACTTCTGGGTTTTCTGTACTACGAAGGTGGATCTCTTTTTATCCGGGTCTGTTGCCCCGGTAACTTACGCGGAACGCCAAACCTGCTCCGGAGCAGGTTATGTTTCAGGATAAGATCTCAGCAGGTAGTGCTGGGCGATATGGAAAAAAATGTATATCACGATATGGATCATTTTATATCACGATAACGATATATATCACGATATAGCTATGGTATGCTTTCAGTTCTATGAAAAATTTAAGTGTATACAGCTGCACAGTACCAGTACAAGACCAGCACTTAAAACTAGAAAAATGAATAAATAAATACGTGGCCGAAGTGCTTTCATGTCTGTGCTCACCCAAAGTTATGCAACACTCACAGAAAACGCTGATAGTGTGAGCCAAAGCACTCCATAATAATAATAATAATAATAATAATGATAATAATAATAATAATAATAATAATAATAAATTTAATTTGTAATGTACTTTACATTTACAAAAGATCTCAAAGTGCTACAGTACACAGTAAAAAAAGAGCAGCAACAATAAAAAAGCAATAGAATGACAGTCACAGATTGGCATAAAAAAAGAATTAAAAAAAAATATATATATAGAGTTGCAATGTAAGAGGCAAGGTAGTAAAAGCATAAAGCATAGAGGAAAACTAACCAAAGGCTTTATTAAAAAGGTAGGTCTTTAGGGCTCTTTTGAAGAGGTTGTTCACACTGCTAGATGTTTCTCCTCCAAAGCTGCTCTCTGCCTCCATCATTGTTTACTCTTGAAGCACGTAGCAAGACCCGAGCATGAATCCGAGCGCTTTATTCGCCTATCAGGGGCAGACAGGTAAGGTGATTTGATTCGACACGACTCCAGAAATGATTGAAAAACTACAGAATGTCACAAAATTACGTTTCCTCGCTGCTGGCTTGAAGGGTACAAATGCGCAGCCGCGCTCCCAGCTGACAGGAAGTCAAACCACTGTTGTAGTTCTTTTGTGTTGCTAGCGCGGTCAAGAGTGTTGGCTCTCACTGAGAGATGACTACAAAAATGGACGCACCTGTTCATCTGGTTGTTAAACACGGCCGAAAATGATCATCTTTTAATGTTGTTCCCGCTCCTGCCCACTCCCGTTGCCTTTTTTCCCGCCCCGTCCCTTCCCGATCAAGGGATTAATTAAAAAATGACTCCCATCCCGTGGGATTCCCGCGGGAATCACGTGACCCACGGGAGTTCCCGAAAAATGTCATCCTCTACAGGGAAGGTCCCGGAGCAGATGAGACAGGTGCCGGAGCGGCTGAAATAGGTCCCGGATCCGATCAAAAGAGGTCCCGGATCGCGCTCCGACTTGCTCCGGCACAAATTAAGCACTGCTTACAATGATCCCCTCACGTGTGTAACCCAGGTAACCCGCAACGGCGGGAGACGCTGGACACGAAGAGGGCACGTAAAGCGGCGTCATGTCGCAAAATCGAAAGAGAAATGCAAGCCTACATGTCAACGCATCCTTTTCTTTGAAAGAAAATATTGTTTTCTTTCCCGTTCGACACCAAATACACTTACTGAATGTGCAATTATTGTTGTTGTTACTATGAATCATCTGATGGTACAAGCCCTATGGATAAAATACAGCCTATCGCCCGAAACGATAAAAATAAAAATGGCACGATAGACATTTTCTATCGTGCCAACGATATTTATCGTCCTATCGCCCAGCACTATCAGCAGGTATAAAAAACCGCCCACTGACCAATCTGATCTCTTGGAAAATGGCTTGCCCACTTTTGCCGGATCCCGGGGACATCGTTGCACGGATAGTGAGAGGAGCGCTTCGCCGAGAGCGTTATATTCATGATCGTTCAAATCCGTTTGATTTACCTGATGACGTTCTCTATGAACGTTACAGGTTTTCCTCGGACGGCCTCAATATTCAGGTAGCATGAAGTCTAAGCAATACACTAATATTTGCCAAGCTCCAGGTTCAAATTTGTTAGTCATCTTTCAGAATTCATTGAAGCAGATTAGAAAACTCTTAACCCCAAATGTGTGCAGATGACGTGACCATCAGATGATGGAGAAAAAAAAAAGGCAGTGTGAGGAAATACGCGTTGAATAGAGGTTTACGCGTTGAAATATGTACAAATAAAATCTTCCAATAAACTTACAAACTACTTAAAAGGATGTTTTTAGATTTATTTTTATTTGCTCCCACGTACTCTTTTCCCCACTGCTGTTGTATCTGAAATAATGAGGTCAGTGATGGTGGTGATCACACACGCTGCATGACAATATATTAGGGGGCCATACATTTATGAACGCACAAATGTAATTTACACAAGCGGTGATTTTTTTTTGCCGGCAGTCCCTCCGGCTTTTAGCGGCTGTGTCTGTCTCACTGTTTAAATAAAGCTCTGTTCTTCAGCTGTGAAAAATGACGTGCAGCCTTCTCCATTGCGGAGATTGGCCCGGTGGCACTGACCCGACCCCCTTTACGTGTGCGCGCACAGATCTGAACTGGATTCAGTTATCGAGTTGATATCCTGCTTCGTACTACAGCTGATCGGGATCACGGAGATCCGGTGAAGTTGAGCGAGTTGTCGCAGAGTTATCCTGGATGTGTTAATCCAGCTTCGTAGTACAGGCCTCAGGACTTAAGTTCAAACCAGATCAACAACTCAGGAACTTAGGCAAAAAAGTTGGTGTTCGACTCGCCTACTTGGCAATTTATGTTTTTTAATGTTGTGAAACTTTTTAATTCGGGTTCTGCACGTCAACTGTGTGCTCTGGTCTAACCTGTAGCATTAACATTCCTTATCATCCAAACCAGCATTCTTCTTTTTATGAAGAATATGTAAAACAGATGACATAGTTTATAAAGCTTATTCTTTGGAGGTGTAAGGTCTCCAGTTTCTGAACAACCTTTTATACCATAAGAGGGACTATTTCATGAACTAGAGTATCTGGTGTAAAGCTGTAAAAATGTCCTCTTGATTTTCACCACAGGATTAAACACAGAGAGAAAGAGACTCACCCTGCCAGGCGTATTTCTTGCCGTTGAGGTCAATGGCGAAGTCATCGGGATAAAAGTCGATGATCGAGGAATCCTGTATTCAAAAGAAGATGAAGGACTTGAAAAACCACAGCTTACAAAAAGATGAAGACATTCATTTCAGGCTAAGGTCAACGGAAAAGTGCTCACTTTTGAAATACGTCTTGAATTATTAAAAACCAAACCTTTCTGGAAGTTGAACCTCTGATCTCTCTGAACTCGACACTTACCGGACTGCTCATGAGGCTTCTCCATGTTGGAGGCAGGAAGTTGCCGCTGGCTGCAGGAAAAACACCCATCAGCTGCTCCAAGGGCTTGAACTGCAGACAGAACCACAGGAAAGCTGTCAATACACTCAGTATACAAGTACAAAAACACACTGAGGCTGGCTGACAACACCGGTATGTGAACATGCATACTTTGATACTTATGATCTAACGCTTGTCTAATTTCAGGGGAGATCCGATCCCTCAAGCTGTCCCACTGAGACTAGGGATGCACCAACGTGATATTCAGATCAGATATTGGCTCTGATATTGACAAATTAACTGGATTGGATATCTGATGAATGATGCCGATCCAGTGTTCCGATCCAGTCTTTTTTTTTAATAATATATCTATATAGTATATCTTTTTTAATTAATATCACAGTCAGCAACTATATTTTATATCTGTCCATCCTTTTGCACTAAATGTTTACATGGAAGTCTTACTTCTTACTGCTGTGTGCTAATGTGCAATTTGTTATTTCTTAATAAAAATTAAATTTATATCTGTGTTAATTTGTTCCCTTTTTTTAACAAGCCTGATGCCTTCACCCACAGGACAATGTATACAGTTCATTCATTCAACAGGAGGATTGGATCGGATATTGGCTGATACGCTCTATTATCGGATAGGATCGGAAAAAATGGGTCAGTGCATCTCTAACTGAGACCATTATCTGTCACCTGTTTAATGTGGAGCATGTTAACAGTCTAGCCTGCTTTCTTTCGTTCTGTTACGTCTGTGCATGACTCTAAAAAAATGGTGGATAAAGTCAAATATCTCAGGAATGACTTCTGTGATGAGGATTATGACAATGATGTGCAGCCTCAGCGCTGTTGGCTTTGACGTTTCCCAAATACAACAATAATGTTAAACAGCTTTCTAGAGCTTTCTCTTCTCCATGTGTCTCTGCTCATATTTATATAACTGACAGTGAAGCTAACAGGAGGAAAAATTCAGGTAGGATATGATGATCAAAAAGAAACTTTCTCAAATCAGCAAGATGGACGAGTGGAAGATTGTTAATCTGAGTTTGCTATAAGGTTTAAAGTTTAAGCTCATTTTTGTAATAAAAGCCATAGAAGCAAAGTCCTGAAGATTCAGTATAAAGTTTAAAAACTATTGATGAAGGGTTTATGAAGATTTGCAGGATTTCAATATACTTGGTACTTGCTGCAGTAATCAGAGCAACAAATTCAAGAGCCGATTCAAATGAGCCCAAACGATTTGTTATTGAATGAGCCTCCATACTCAAGCTGTGTCACAGGCAACAAAAGAAGAAGATGCAGAGGTAAACGTTCATCAGTTCTTACAGGTTTGGTGTCCTTCTCGAAATCGGTGAACATGTCTTTGATGTCTTTGAAGTCGGAGGCGAATGGAGCGTAGTGGAACGGGAAATACCACTTCCAGGAGGCACAGCCCTGCAGAGCAACACAGAAACAACCATCAGCTTAAGTAGGACTTTACAACAACTTTGACACACAGAAAACAAGAAAACAACCACAAACTTCGGGCTCATTCACTCAGAATGAGCACCTCCTGGAGAATTGTGATCATTTGTAGTTATCGTGGAGGTCATCTGTGTTCTCAGTCCTGTAGAAATTGACCACAGTAAAAACTGTGGGGCTTCTATTCATGGAAGCACTGACAGCAGAGGTGAGCGCCCAAAGAGTAAAATAAATAAAGCTCTGTCACGAATCAAACCATCACAGTGAGAGGAGCAGAGAGCTATGACATTTCACACAAATGTTCACCTCCCTTTTTTAGGTTTTAATGTTCAGATTTTCTTTCATTGTCTTCTTTTTTGTTCAAACTTCATGTCAGACTTCTATTTTGTGTTTCATGAACCATAGCGCAGGTGAAATTCCCTGTAATATAGAGATTATTCCGTGATAAATCTGATCCTGAAACGGACAAAAGCAGCAGAATTTTTCTGTTTCAGACTGTGATTGTAGTTAGTCAGCCTCTCATCATTACTTTGTCATTTCCAGGTGTTACTATTCAATTTATTTCCTGCTGATTAAGCTAAAGAAAGCTTTAAAAATGACAGGGAAATGAAAATAAAAGCTTTTCTTTGCCCTTTTTCTGCTGCGGTCTCTCTGCAGAGCGAAGCTTAAAATTCGATCAGAGCAGACTAACAGAGCTCAGCTGACATTTCAAAAGCCCCACATGTCTGAATCCTGCTCGGACGGACCTAGAGTTGTAACCAAATCTGAGATTTTTTTCTCTTCTTGGACTTGTTAGTGACTAAAATGAAGGAAAAACTGATCCAGGACTTGAAAAAATTGGTGGCTGTCACATCTGGAAATAAATCTTCCCGGACACCCGCTGAGAGGCTCTCTCACCTCCAGAATAATCTGCTTCCTGAGCTCAGAGTTGGTGAAATATTTTTGTAACAGTGAAGAAAATGAGTAAGAGGAGAAAAAACCTAATCCTGCAGATCCAGCGTTTGGAGCACTTATCCTTCTTGAACAAACACGTCTCACACCAAAGAACGACCTTCACTTCCCACAATCCACCTCTGAGAAAACAAGGCCCTCTGATAAATCCTCACATCTCAGCCAGTCTCAGCACTCCATTATTAAAGATGCTCATTCAAATGATAATACGGGACTTTACCATGATAAAAGCCAGAGGAGGCTCCCATCTCCACATTCAATAATGGCACAAATCGTTTATGTTAATACGCCGAGATGTTTCGCCTCCACGAGAGATTCATGTGTGACTGCAGCCGCCGGGGTCAAAGACCAGGACGGAGAAAAAAATTAAATTCACTGTCTTTTGTCAGAACCATCCACACATTATGGAGCATCTCCTCTTTTTGTGTCACCTGATCAGGAGACTGAATTCAGTCACTGAATTTAAAATATGCTTGTCTTAGATTTTGTGCTGCAAAAAAACAACATTTTCTTTTTGTTGTTTATTTGTGAAGGACTGAAAACAGCCTTTGGATGCAAGTGTAGAGTTCAGACTTGCTTCAGATGCTGATTCGGAAGACAAGTCACATGAAGGGCCTTCACTAAAATAACAGGTTACAATGTGAAAATGTAAAACCTGTTTTATGAGACTGTGATTTATCCTAACAGATGACACATTTCTGATATTGTTTTAAGTACTTGAGGTTTTAAATCAGGGTTCCTACACAGTTGGAATTTCCTTACTTTTCCATACTCTACTTTTTAGAATAATTTTTGGAAATACCCACTTTTCCATTTTAGAAAACAGAATTTTAGAACTGTTATAATAGTTTGGAAACATAGATATTTTTCCATACGTTATTTTCCATTTTCCATACTTTTTAAGACCTGGAAATTGACCAAATTTATTTCCATACTGTTCTATACTTATGTAGGAACCCTGTTACATGTCTGATTTCTCCAACAGAAGCTACTATTTTATATCTTTTGGAAAATGTTCTGTCAAGTTTGTGTCAAGCACTCAAGAAATGAAAAACAATGTGCAACTTTTTAATAATTAAGTAGATATTAAAGTAGTCCTTTAAAACTTTGAATTTAATTTTTCAGACTTATCTTTTAAAAACTTCTGTTAGCCGGAGCTTTTATTAGTTTTTATCTATTATCTCAGCCTGCTTTTATTTGGGGCGGGTATTAAATTAGTGAGAGGCTTTATATCTTTTATTTATTCTAAACTAATGTGTGCACGGCAAAGTTACCGGAAGAAGAAGAGGGAAGATTTAAAGCAGCAAAACTATCAATCTGCTCCAAAACTAAATAATAAATACCAAAATGCAATAAAAAAACTGTGATTCTATTCATGCACATCAGTCCAGTCTGCTGAAACTTTGAAACATGTTTTCTTTGTTGTAAAACTTTATTTTGTTTCAGACTCTTTTTTTCCCCCCTCAGTTACATTTTACTGACAGCTTTCTCATTTGACTTGAGAAGGCTTTAAGAGTTTTTTTGGCTCCTCCTGCTCATTTCTCGTCTTTAAAAGATTGTGGCTCTTGATTTGTGGAAAAACATGTAGTTTGAATTTTTATCTTTCTACAAAAATAGTACAAATAAGAATCAAGATGGAAGACTTGCTCAGCCAGTCTGCATCGTAAAGATTTGAATACATGTTGTAATTGAGAAAGTATCTGATCTAGCTTGTTTTTGCTTTTGTTAATTTCTCAATTTTACAATTTCTGTCGAGTTTTAACTTGTTTTATATTTGTTATTCACTTTGTAGCTTATATTTTAGAGAAATGTAAAGTAAGTTCTTTATATGTGCAGTGCAGACAAACAGATTAATCTGGGCGTTTATTAACATTTTGAGAAGATTTGCACATATTTGCATCTGAGCTCATGAGGCCGATATCACCGTCATCTCCTCTAAATCCCTCCATTTTTCCCACTTAATAGCAGCATCTTCATGTTAAACACCCACTGAGAGCTCCATTTAAATTCTGTTTTCATTTATAGAATAATGCAGTTTAATTTAGCCTCTGATATGAACATCAGTCATGCTCTAAAAATCTTTAGCATAACTCAGAAAATTCATTTGAAATCTATCTGAAACATGAAACCAGCTCACATGACCATGTATACTACATTATTGTGTTAATAAAATCTGAGAGTTATGAATTACTTTCTCTCTCTTCATTGTTTTCCTTAATATTCACTTTATATTTTTCTATTTGAATTAAATTTTAAAAATTAAAAAAAAACTGAAATCCAGAGGTCTCTTGCAGCTTAATTTTGCAGAACCAAATATTCTCTAGTTTGGAATTATCTGAGAAAATGTTCATTTTGATTTAGCAAATTTCTGTTCCTCATTTTTAAACGGTTGTATTTGATCAAAAGCCAAAAAAGAATAAACCTATATCAGCATCAAGAATCAGCCATCGGCCGACCTTCTCTGTCATTATTGGCAAAGACATCAGATCTTGAAAACTGATACTGGATGACGGCTAACATGCAGGAGACGCACCAAATTTTTTTCAGGTACATTTGAACAAACATAACCCAGAAAATAAAGTGAGTTGAGACATTTCTGCAATACCATCCACCACTTTCAGACTCATGACTTTAAACTGAGGAGTAAAGGGAGATGAAATGCATTAAAGAGAGATTTACGAATCCTCCTAACAGGCCAAAGAGGTGGACCGACTGCACTTCAAAACCTGCACAAACACAGATTTTACTGCACGCTCGTTTTTGACAGCTAGTTCTGGAGCTAAAAGATCAGACTGATGTCTGCACTGTGAACGTGATGGTTTATTATTACTAAATTTGTTAAACTGAGATAAAGAAGAAATCGTTTGATTTTCTTGAACCTTTTCAGCTCAACCTCTTCCAATATCTTGGTTGACTTGTTCGAATCAAGTAAATGTCTGAGGCAAAAAGCCGTGACTATCAGCTGTCTGAAATAATAAGTCAAAATGAAACAGACTGCCCTCAGTCCAGAGCTCTGATGGAGCTACGAGTGAAATTTTTTTTTCCATTCCTGTTTTGGATAAATCCAGCTCAGCGCTCCCTGATCACTCGGTGAGGTGTGCGTGATCATAACTCTACAGCAGCGGCGACGGTGGCGGACAGAAGCGTGAATGTGTGGCAGCGCAGAGCAGACACGTCCCTCCGTCCGCCAAGGGCCCGTTAATGAATTCATGCAGAACAGCCCCCTGAGACGGGCTTTGGATTGGCGAGCGTGTGGAGTCAACACAGAGCACGCTACACACGGCTCACAATCAGCCCCGACAAATCCCCCCCGGCTCTGCTGAAGAGGGCCCACAGCTGATTATTTCATTTCAAGATAAAGATCAATATTTTACAACAATAAAATGATTTAGTGTTTAATCACACCGCAAACAATGAGAGGAGAGACCAAAGACGGCTACAGGGAGGTTTGTTTGACGGAGACACTCCACAGAGAGGACTTCTTGACTCCACACAATAACAAAAAAAAAAAAAAAGCTGCCGCTCGGTTTAAAAGGATTTTTTAACGCAGAGTGAGCGGTTATTATCAGAGTATAAAATAAAATACAATCAAATCAATGGGGGCTTAAACTGTTTCAACAAACCTGCGGAGGGTTTTTACTTCTCTGAGTATAGATTTTATTCTCCCCAAATGAGCTGAACATCCATCCAGTTATTAATTTTAAGAGCAGAAAGGTCAAGAAGACATGATTTAACAGTTTTTGAAGCACCTGTAGAGAGTGATAACTTTCACAGCAGCAGCACCAGATTCATTTGACTGAGAATACGACTGATTATGATCATATTTCACCTTCAGTTTGTTCTGTCTCTACGGCATTTACTGATAAATTCTGAATATAACTCACACTGGGGGATAAGACACAGTGTATTTTTGAGTGGCTCTCAGATGAAAAGGTTCAAACTGTGTTTCTGTATAATGAATTCCATCGGGTTCAGCAATGTGTTCTTTCTTTGAAGGCGTGTAGCTCTAACATACCTGCAGACTGTCAGTACAGACAGTAGGGACAGTCACATTAACACTTGTGAGGCAGGTACAGACCCACTGTCCAAACCAGGTTGTGGAGACTCACCCCTTGTCTTAAATAGAGTCTTTCAATCAAAGCAGCACTTTACAGGGTTTATGAACTACACACTGTTGTCATGGTAACCGTGTTCTTTAAATGCATGATTATCACTCTGTTATGAGAAAAAGTGAAGCTGCTGGACCGGTCCCCACCACTGTGGCCTCTGACCTCTAAAACTGGTTAGAAATATAGGGGGTGTCACTAAATAGTCAGAAATCGTCAAACTGTTTGATTTTTTTCTTCCTTTTTTTTCTTTTAATTGAAGAACTTTGAAGTTGAGAAGTTTCAAAGCTACTGATATTCAGGTTTTTCCAAAAGTCCAAATATTAGGAAACAACAATGCGTCACACAGCTCACAGCGGGAGCACAGAGCCTGCAGGTAAATAATCATGCATTGGTTAGGTGAACAATAGAAGAGCTAGCAGCGCCAGGTTAACATCCACATACCTGTGCTGGTTACTCATTTTCATGGACGGACAACGTACAACTTAATCTCCAATTCCTACATCAAGATATTGACAAACCATGCGGCGCAACTTCTGTCAGCTGTGCTTGTTTACATCCAGGTAGTAGAGCATTACACCTTTATGGCAGCAGACATTAACCAGAGCTACACAGGCAACTACACACAAGACAAATTATAACATCTAAGACCCACAAAAATAAAAACATTAAGCTTAACTGAGTCATAATTCTGATGCTGTTCAGACAATTGAGTGCACGCATCCCTTAAAACTCATCAAACCAGTGCAGAAATGCAAAAAACTGCACTTCTTTAAGATTTAACTGTCTAGCCACAAAACCAAAGGATGACTTCCAGGGCTCATTTTAAAATGTTGATTTTCAGAGCAGAAATAAACATGCTAGGCTTTTAAAAAAACAAACAAAAAAACCCCCATTAATTTCTCTGTTGTTACAAATGCTCCTGTGATTCACTTTTGAATAAGTTGAGTTGTGATAAATCAGGACCAAGAAAGGCTTCAAGTTCGGCATAATAAGGAGTTGTTACCGAGTTGACTGACAATTGTGCACATTTTTCTCATAGCACTCACAATCTTTAATCTTTATCGAGCATCTTTAGTCACCAATAGGTGGCGTCACTGAGACTACATCCATGCCGGACACAGTCCATGATATAAAGGCGTTTCGGTGTTACCTGGTAGTAGTAGCGCAGCACCCAGCAGAGACCCTCCACATACGACTTCACCACCTTCCGCCTGAAGTCTTCGTCCGTCACGTCCACGTCAAACTTGTTCTTGTAGTATCTTTGCTTCCAGCCTTCCTCCCACAACCTGAAGAGTTATCAAGTTAGTAAGTTATGACGCTGATTTCCAGAGACAAAAAGATAAGCAGCACATTTAATACTGACAGACATGAGACACATGGCAGCATCTCATCAAGACAAATCTGTTCTTTTAACAGTGATTTCTGCAGAGGTGCATGTGTTCAGGGCATATCTGCATCATAAGAATATGTCAGAATGAAACTCCATAATACTGGAGATCATTTAAATGCTTCCAGCAGACTTCAGGGCTGTTTGTCCTCAGTCAAAACTCAAGCAGGCAGTGTTAAAACGACTCATTTGAGGCGACTAGCAAAACAGCATTTACAGGAAATAACAACGACCAAGAAATTTTCCATTTCTCCAATTTTCCGTTTGTCTCTGACCTTGAAAATTAATGTATTCTGCTGCTGAAGGTGAGAGTCAGGGACTGTTTACCGGCATCTTCAGATGTTTGTAATGTAAATGTACCTAAAGGAAACACTGGCTTACTAAAATCACTAGATTGGAGGATGTTGCTCGTGTTAATCTAAAGACAGTTTAAAAAAAAATAACTTCCAGTCTGCTGCTGGAATAGTTTAATGGCTTTGACTTCTTGGTAGATTTGCAGTGGCGATGCCGTTCTGCAAACATAATCAAGTCCGTCCAGCATCTGTGAGGTGGATCCTCGGCGCGGCCCGCGGGGAGCGCTGGCTCCTGAGAGGAAAGCCTCCATGAATACCAATTTAGCCCTGTGGATTTAGCAGCTCTGACAAGTGCGTCACAGAGGAATTTACTCGAATATTCCTGCTTTCCATATTAATCACGTGCAGGAGGGTGGGAGCTAACCAGCAGAGGGGGGAGAGAGTGTGTCTGTGTACCTGAGAGTGTGTACCTGAGTGTCTGTTAGCGAGGAGGAGGCAGACAGTTAGACTGTGCTGCAGCTCAGTGGCCTTTATGAGTTTCTGGTTGTGTCTGTTAATACTCAGGTCACTGAGCAAATGTCTGTGCATAAATGAAAAAGGCCTCAGAAATTTTGTTCCTTACAATGTCCAGTGGATAAAAGCCGAGACGCCGAGTAAAATGCTGATAAAACTGAATTTTAATAGTTTTAATAAAACTGAATGATTAAAACCTAACGCTGAAAATTGTGCAAAGAAAACAAAGCAAGGGTTGCAACTAAAAATTTTTTACTGCTGTTTGAAAAATATTAGCTCATTTTAAACATTTGTTGAAGCTGTGATAGGAGCAACCAATCAGTAAAAAGTTCATTAAAGATGGACTGAGGGGACCAATCAAGGGTAGCTTCATGGGTAGCTTCCACATCTGTGAAGACTCCATTAATGCTGAACAATATCTACAGGTTTAGGAGCAACATCTACTGACATTCAACAAAGACTTTTTCAGGGAAGACCTTCATATTTCAGAGGGAAAATGCCAAACCACATTCTGCAGGGATAACAACAACATGGCTCTGTAGTAGAAGAGTCCTGCTGATAAACTGGTCTACCTGCAGTCCTGACATGTCCCCCGTTAAAAACATTTGGAGCATCATGACACCAAAAACAGGACAAAAGAGACCCTGAAGTGTTGAGCAGCTAAAATGCTAGTACCACCATTTAAGGTTTACCTGACGTTGTCTTCAGGCTCAGGCTCGCTGTCACTGTCCTCAGCCTTCCTCTTCACACCCCTGTTGTCTGTGCTGTCACTGGGACCTGCAGACGACTGGACGGGGCAGAAAATCAAGACAATATTGATCAGAAGAGTAAATGGAGTCAAACTAAAACAGTTTTAAGGGGCTAAAAGGGTCTAATTTCTCTATCAGGGTTTTTTTAAATCTTGCTTGTCCAAAGTGCTTTTAGACTTCCCCCTTTTCTGTGATTTTCTTTCATTTATGCTCCGACATATAGGTAAGTACAGCAAAGAGATATGTTTTTTTCATGTTGCCCTCTGTTGCATTATCATATATCATCAGGTGGTTGTATAATCAAAGCTTATTCCTCTGCACTTGTTTCTTATTCAGCTCGAGGCATGCCTGTTTTCTGTTCACAACCTCGGCGTAACCTTCTTTTTCCTGAAGCCTTTGTACCTTTTTCATTCATGTGCTAATGTATGGCGGCCCATTGTTGGCAGATGAGTTCAAAGCTGAACAAAAGCAAGAAATTTAACAGTCATGTTAAATAGAAAGACGGCAGTGAACCAAACCCTGAGACCTCATCCGCGTTCAGATGGCCTGGCTTTATAACACAACTTTAAATATACATAACAATAGGTGATGTGTTTAAAAAATGCACAGCGAGAAGATCTTCAACAGTCTAGAGATGTTTCAAGGTTTTTAAGCAATTTGTACAGTTCAGATGTTTCAGGTTACTGCTAGATCAAACTGAAGATAATAAAAGAAGAATTCAACTTTCAGACCGTATTTATACTATGACCTCTCCAGGTACCAGATTAGAGGCATTGTCAGAGTGCGACTCGAACCTAGTGTCCAGTCCGACTGAAGCTATGCATCTGACTAATGCCCATTATTCCTCTCAGTGTGGTGTTACAGTGAAATGATTGCCTGGCTGACTTTTGATGTGCCGATATTTTAGAAATCCCTCTGCCTGATATCAGCATGGTGCTAATTTTTAATGAAAATGATGAGAAGTTTTTTTGACACACTTACTAATGACTAATAACAGAGACAACCAGGTAGATGGTGAGCAGACTGAGGATGTTCAATAATAGTTAACGACTTACATTTCCTCCATTTCTCATTGTGGCCTTCAGGGACTGAGCGGCATCCTGGAGAGAAACAAAAACACAACCTGATCATGATTGAACTCTTACAGTTATAAAAAACTAAACGTATGCATGTTTTCATGTTACGCTGAGAAATGTGACATAACTGGAACTCAGGATTCAAAATAACCCTTATCAGCAAAATACATCACCACAGGATCCTCAAAACTCTACCATCCTGCAGTGAGGTGTGGGTAAGGTTTACATCCTCACGTTATGTGTCAGGATTCTGAAGTTTACTTACTCTTAATATTCACTTTGTTAGAGATCAAACAAGGGTGGGATATTAAAGAGCAGTGGGATCTGAAAATAAAACTAGACTTAACTATGAACATGTTTTTGAATTTACAACTAAACTCTTCAGGTCTATGGAAAAGGACACGGGTTGGTGTCACTCTAAAAACAGCATCAAATTGTGATTTTCCAGCTGTATTTTGTGATCCAGTGTCTTTAATTAAGATTTTGACTCATGAGCCAAAGCGGCAGATGGATTATAAATACATACTTTTTACTGGTTTATATCTGACTGCAGCTCACAAAGTACTGCATTAGAAGGAGTGCTTTCACTCCTGACTACGGAAACAATTTTGTGGAGGATAACCAATATTAATCATAAATGAAGTAAACTACCCAAATTCCTTTTTTTATATATTAGTTATGTGCATCAGTGTTCAGTGCCATTTACAACAAGTTTGCATGCATCAGCTCAACCCTGCAAAACTCCAACAAGCCGACAGCAGAAGAACAGGAGACAGAGTGAAAAGCTCTGGGTGAGTTTGCTGATCTGCAGAAAAAGTGGACTGTGTTTAGTTAAAAACTGCCGTACCCTGTTGGACTGCATCCTCATGTCGAAGGCCTGGTGTCGAGCATTTTGAACGGCCTCTGGTCGGTGTCCTCGCCCCAAAGCCTGAGGGGCAAACTGGCCCGTAGTCAGGTAGGCGGGGCCTTGCTGCTCCGCCTGTAATCACACAAGGGGTTTAGCGTTTTCTTTAATAGTGAAGGATTTGTCCAGTTTTATGATGGAAAATTTGTCAAAGAAAAAAAAAACAAATATTCATCCTCATCAATTTGTTTTACTCACTTTCATTCTCTTTTTCTTCTCTTTCATTCTCCTCTTGAAATTCTCCTGAAAGACAAAAGTGTGAAGACGTGATCACATGAGGGAACAAAATAAAACACACACACTCTGACCTTCGTGCTCCACAGACACTAAACTGAGACACTGTGGCAGCACAGCACTTATTAACCAGAGATAGGAAACTGCAGAAATCGTACCTCATCATCTTTGCGTTTCTTGAAGATGTTGTCCTCGGCCACGCCTACTGCCTGCATGATCATCTCCACTCGCTCTAGGTTAACGTAGCCGTTCTGTGTCAGGTAGCCCTGCAGGAAAAAAACACACAGGTCTTGTTTTAACACTGCAGCAGACGGAGCTCCTTTAAAAAGAGTTTAAATAAACTACTGATGAGACTCACTCCGGTTTTGTGCACAACGTCTTTGTAGATCCTGACGAGCCGATCGATGGCCCCCTCTCTGTAAGACACAAGACGTGAAAAGAAAAGGTCTTTGAGAGTAAATTTAAATGAGAATCAGGACAGACATTGACCTGGGCTTTCTAACACTCTCTAGCAGGTACACCACCAACATTAGCTTCATTTTTTTTGTCTTATAGAAATAAAAAACACTGAAGACGGATAAATACAAGATGAAGCTTCTCCCTCGGCTTTCATTAGGATCAGTGTCAGAGGTTAAAGTGAAGTGCTGGCAGGTTTACCATCACAGTGAAAGGAGTATTCAGCCTGTATCTGCACAGAGAGCTGAGATAACACCTGCAGAGTTAAAGAAAGACACTGTCCTGTAATTAACCCTGGTTTTTTTAAAGCTTAAATAGAGCTGAGGACTTCGCTTTAAGGTCAAGGTTTGTGTAAATTAAGAGGTGGTCAGCATTACAAACCCAGTAACCAGCTCGAACAATGAACACTACATCAATATTATCAAACCAGCTCCCAGCACACAGCGGTCGCCTGACTCTCACCTGATTTCTAAGGACGGCAGGTGAGGCAGGAAGTCGTTTCCGACAAAGAAACACATGAAGACCCAGTCATCCACGCTGCGCTCAAAGTCAAAGGTGAACGGCAGGCTAGCCATGGTCAGCTCTCTGGCGAGGTACTGAAAACACGCAGGAGAAGCAGAGAAATGGTCATGATGAGGTCAGAGTTCATGCTTCGAAAATTCAAGTTAAGGTAAAAACAGCCTCGACTGTGTTTAAAAGAACTGGAGTAGATACATTTAGACAGCTCAGACCTCACAGCACTTCAGAATTCATATTTTTAATACATGACCGACATGTTTCAGCTTCAAGATCTCTGAGACTCATTTACAGCCACTGACAGCTGAATAAAGATAAATAAACACCACACTGACCACATGCAGAAACAAACACAATCATCTTACCTCTCTGAGCACACAGAGCCTGATGAAAATGAACTCCTGTTCAGACACAGGCATCGTGTCTGCAAACTCATCATGCTGAAAACAAAAACAAGGAAAGGGTCATAATAATCAGGAAAGACGAGATTATTTCAGATTTTTTCAAACCAGACTGTAAAAACTGGACTTATAAGGACACAAACTCTCTCATCTTGGTGTGAAATAGTAAGAGTTTAAATGTAAAGTCTGCTGATATTAAAGCTTAATTTTGCTACAAACTGACTCCTTACTGCTGATGAAGTGAATTTTATTGACGGTGAACATGTTTTGAGAGAGAGCACAACAGGTAGATGAAGAGCTCACCTCTCCCTGTTTCTCTCTGGCCGTCCCCTGACACTCCTTGATTTCATGACCCATCTGTCCGCAGAGGGCGCAGGGGCGGGGCTTGTTGGGCTTGAACTCCTCTCTGATGATGGTGAAGTTTGGCTCGTGTGTAGCCAGGCCCAGCATGATCAGGTCAGCTGATCACAGGAAAAGAGATTATTTCCACCAAACATCAAGTGTGTTCCAAGTCTGAGTTGAGCAAATGTCAAAACTAGGTCTCTTCTCGTGAACAACATCCAATGTAATTGATGTGAATGTGTTTGTTTCTGATGCTCGTGACTTACCGTCAGCTCCACACAGGCAGTGGTGAGTGTTTGGGTCGTGGTTGGGTTGAGCTGTCAGAAAGAAACAAAACCATGAGTAAAAGAAAGTGTTCGAGAGCTGCAGTGTAAAGTCATGATGTTTTTTTACACACTCATGATTTCAGCCTGCCAGATCTGGTAAAACATGCTCTCTATTTTATTGTGTCTGTTTGACATGCTCATGTTTGTCTGGGGCGTTCTGTCTGTGCTTGTTGTCTTTTTGTTGTTGTGTTATGAGTGGGGTGCATTGTAATTTCTTTAGAATACAATAAATCCTGTACCCTCCATTATCTATGTGCATAAGGGAAAAAGAGCTGTACCTCTCTGTCTCCTGATGTAGTCCATGATTTTGTGTTCACCTTCACCTGGAACGCTGGCATCAGACAGGATCACCTGGATACAAATTTCCCCAGGTGAGTCGCTGTAACACTTTAAATGCACTGTATACATTTAACAAGCCCGTAATGTGATGTCTGCAAAAACAATAGTCATTTAGGCATCCTGAAATTGTGAAATATAATAAAATCAGACATACTGTGACATTCCTCCAGCCTGGATCATTGCTCAGTCTGTCTGCGACGTAGTATCTTAAGCACTTTGCCAGATTGTCCATAAACTCTGTTCCCTGGAGACACGAGAAATCACATCCTGTTATTTTGCTGTTACCACAGACAGGAGCTCACAGGAGCCACTTAAACATAAGCAGCACAGATTTCTAAAAAAGGTCCAAAAGTAACATTTTTATTCTTTAAACTGCATATTTTTTTACACTAAAGTTTAGCTCCTGCAGCATCTCCCCGCTGCCACCGCAATTGAGACACTGCTGTGCTTTTGAATGGCATGTCTCACTTTGAAAGAACTCTTGGATTTTGTTTAATAAGTCAAAATAAGCATTGAATCAAAACATCACCAACTTTGAGTTTAAGCTGTGAGTTTGAGGCTTATTATCACACAGATGAAGCTAATGAGAGTGATGTCAGCAGGCAACCACATCACACAAGTCCACAGAGTGATATTTGGAGGTGTGAGAATCAGCACAGAGCTGACGTTTACAAAAGACTCAGAGAAAGCAACCAAACTAGAACTCCTCAAACTGACAAGGCTGCACTGTAACCAGGAATCCCTAAACATCAGTACTTGGCCAGAACTATCTTAGAATGAATGCAGTCATACATATTTTGTAATGTGAAATTGATTTCTTTAACAATAATCAAAACAAACTCTGTATCTGAAAAAATAAACACTCTTCAGCTGTCTGTGAGTCTGTGGGTTTAAAACAGTATGAAACAGCGCCATTAAGTGTACAGCACCATCAGTTGCATCATGTTAATACCTGACCCGGCCCAAAACTCAGCCCACCCCAACCACTCACAAAATAGGCAGAAAAAAGCCTGTGTGAATTCAGGTTGGCGCTCTTAGCTCACACATGCAACTCACCCTAAAAATTTCAGGGAAATTTTCAGGAGTTTGATGCAAGTGTTAATACAGCTTGTATATCAAGAATTAAATATATACAGAGAACAAGACCATATGACAGCATTTCTGAGTTAAACAAAGAGAGTGGTTTTATAACTGAAGTCTGTCACTTACTGGAGTGATACAGTTGCTGTCAAACCTCTCTTTGATTTCCTCTGGTGGAAGATAACCTCCTGTTGAAGAGAACAAATGGCAAACAAATGACTATAAGCACATTTGTACGTTCTTTTTTTGTACCGACAATTTAGGCTGTTCGCTCAGAGTTTGAAAGTTAAACTGAAGATGTATGACAGATCCATGCAGCAGACACCAACACAGCTTGAACAAGATTTGAACAGATAGAGATGCTCCTTTTTTTTTAAACTGAGACAAGAGAAAGACAGACATATTCTTTCCTAGCGTCTACAATCTGTTAGGCTTTCTGCTCTTTTTTATCATTGACACAAACAATCAGGCAGAAGGGAGGAGTAAAACAAACACACAGACCTCTCTGGATGATCTCCTCTCTGATGCGGTTCTTCTCCTCCACCAGCTCAGTCCCTTCTTTGGAGGCTCTAAACCGCCGAGAGCGCTGCTGGTTCATTTTGGCCCGTGGAGCCTGGTCAGAGTGAGGAGAAGTTTGGATTCATTTCTACTCTGCAGCCAGTTAGCCGACAGAATTAAATTTAGAAAACTGGGTACAACAGTCATTTCAAAAAAGATTACTGTTGGGAAACAATATTGAACATGAGAACTAGGAACAAATAACAAATTCTCTAAAGAATGATTTCTAAATTTTTGTTAGGGTTTTTGCTATGTCTGTGCTATTGCTATGTCTTTTAACCTTACCCAAAGTCAAAACAAAAACACACGGGGAGGCGGCTTTCAGTTTTTATGGTCCCCAGTTGTGGAACAGCCTGCCGGAGAGCCTTAGGGCCGCAGAGACTGTTGATGTTTTTAAGAAGAAGAGGCTCAAGACTCACCTTTTAAACCATGCTTTTTACTAACTGCCTTTTATATTTCTCTTATTGCAAATGTTTGTTTTAATCAAAGTTCTTAATGTTTATTTTAAACATTTTATTAATTACCTCTGTTCTTAGACTTTTTCTTAATTCCCGCCACAGGTTTTTACTTCTTTAATCCCTTTTTTATACGGTAAAGAGGTTTTATTTACCCGTTTATTTATTATTATTTTCTTATTTTAGTCCATTAGGTTTTACTCTTTCTTTTCACCATTTTTATCTCTGTTTTTATCTCCCGTGTTTCCTAAAGGTAGCTCTTTCCTCAAGTAATGTCTCAGTGTCAGACCATGTCGCTTTAACAATATATCCTTCATTCTCACACTGTGTGCAGTTGTGTGTTTATGAGTGGGTGAGAGAGGGTGGGTGTGTGCTTTTGAGTGTGTGTGGGTCCGTGAGTGTGTAATTGGGTGGGAGGGTTGTGTTTTATTGTCGTTATTGTTGTTTTTAGCCTCTGTGAGGCACTTTGAATTGCATTTTTTTTTCGTGAAAAGTGCCATACAAATAAAGTGGAATGTGAATTTGTGGTTTTGATCCAGTCTCTGCTCAGACTGCTGCTGTTAGTCACTCAAAGCTTCTCACCACTCCATCAATGGCCATGTAGAGGACTCTCCGGGGTCTCACAATGTTGAAAAGACGGTCGATATACTCGAAAATGGCGACCATCATCTCATCCTCATTTTTCGGGGCAGGTCTGTAAAAAATTAGTTGGGCTAGTTAATGACTTGAAAGCAAAGAAATACTTACAGATTTATACACAAAGACACACACATAATAACAGGTTTAAACACACACACATACACAGACACACATGCACATGCGCACACAGACACGCACTCAAACAAACAGGTTTAAACACAGTCACGCACACACAAAAACACAGATTTAATCACAGATATACACACACACTCACGGGTTTATACACAAACACACACACTCGCAGGTTTAAGCCACAAAAACACACACACACACACACAGGTTTAAACACACATATACACAGACACACATTCAAACAAACAGGTTTAAACACAGACATGCACACACAAAAACACAGATTTAATCACAGACAACACACACATAGGCTTAAACACACACACACACACACACACACAAACAAACAGGTTCAAGCACAGACACACACCTACTCAGGTTTAAATACAGGCACAAACTCACAGGTTTAAACAGACATGCACACACACTAAAACACAGGTTTAGACACAGATAACACACACAAAAACACAAATTTAATCACAAACACACACACACAGGGATGAAACACAGGTATATTGGATGTTAGTTCTGCTCTCTGGTCTCACTTGTCTTCTGGATGAGTACAGGGATGGATGATCCCGTTCATGTCCAGGTACAGATTATCAAACTCCACCTCATTCGGGTTCGGTTTGGTTGTATCCACAGGGATCCGGACCCCGTTACAGTCTTTACCCTGAAAAGGTCAGAAATAAGATTGTTTAGGAAAAACAGTTGTTATTGAGAGAGTGGCTTCTTTAAACGTGCTTACTTAAAAAAGGAGTTTTTTCCTGATATTATAGTTCAGGATTTCTTAAAATGAGAGATAACAGAAGCAGTGTAAAGTTTTGAGTGGGATCTGCTTCTGTTGTTTCCACACGGAGCTCCACAAACTTTTATATTTACGCTGTTTTAGCCCGTTTTCAGACAGACAGCTAATGTTTGATAAAGGGAAAAAATAGACGTGTAAAAATGCTGAAAAAGTCCGGTAAATAAGAGCACGATTGAGTCAGATTTCTTGGAATAATCTCAGAGTTTGTGAGCTTCATGAACATAAACGTTAGCCGTAAGCTAGCTTACCTTTTCTTCCACACAGTGAACAATAATTGATGCATATTTCCGGCTCAGCCAGCGGAAAAACGCCGGGACTCCCATCTCCGGTCTTCTTTTTTAAGGTTTAAAAAAATTATAAACTCGTATGAAACGGTTAAAACTGCTTCATTAAAACAAGAGACTTCATGCGACGGAGTCAAAGAACTCAGCTACATGCTGCTGGCTGTGGCCATTGTGTACTCTTTCCGGCTCATGTCAGCTTCTTCCGGAGCAAATGGTGGAGACACGTGGCATCACAGCGACCTCATTGGCTGGGGGGAGTACTGCAGGACGTTTGTGCGTTCAACTCATGGACTGTATGATATGATAGAATGGACAGCGTCTGCCTCCTTGCTGGGTGAAGCCACTTCGAGAACAGCACCCTCTAGCTGCGGGCTGCAGTTTGGATCATAAACCCCGCCTCCTCCAGCAATCCCTATGGAGTTGTGGACAATCTTTAGAAGTTTATTACACAAAATATAAAATTTTCTCCCCCCTGGTTGCGATGTTGACGTGTAGTTATTGTCAGACTGGTTTGTGCTCAAGTCCTCTTTTTTCTGTGAAGCTCGGTCTTTAAAAGTTTTTAGGGGGTTCATGTTTTCTTTGATTGACACCTGATACAGCCTATTGGCGTTCAGTGATTGCATAGTTCAGATGGGGGATACGCTGTTCGAGCCGAGCATCATCACAGTGACTCTCGGTGACTCTCCCGCCGAGTGCGCACAAAGCTACTGCGCAGCACTGGTTTCAGGAAATGAAGAAAAATCCCGGAAATACCAAGAGCTATTTGGCTTTAAATCTGTATACAGGCAGGAGGCGGAACCGAGTTGTCCATAGTATATAGGGTCTATGGTTCACCTTCACATTTTTCACAACCCAACCCCATCCACAGATTTGTCATGATTAGGGTTGCAAAACTCCTGGAATTTTCAGAGTTGGAACTATTCCATGGAAATAAACAGGAATATATGGGAATTAACAAGAATTAATGGGAATAAATCGGAAATTTACGAAATTGAAGGTTGGCCCTCAACAGGGAACTTAAATATAGTTGGGGAAAATATACTGTAGCATAATCTTGGCTAAAACAACCACATTTAATGGTAGTACACTCCTCGATCACATGCACACAGCACACTGCCTACTGCAGGGCTATTGAGGCCACACCTCTTACATGTTCCGTGCTTTCCTCCATCACATGCACAGATAATTTCTTGAACCCTGGAGGCCACACTTTTGAGCCCAAAGCACAAGACATTTGGGCCCACAGACTATATAAAGTCAAGTAGGTTTTGATAATATTATGGAGTAAATATATTAGACCTATAATAGTATTAATATTGAACTGTAAAAATCAAATAAAAATTGGTGTTAAATGTAAGCTATTTTTTATTTCATTGACCAATTAAGGGGCTCGCTTATTTTGGTGGTGGTAGCTACCTCAAATGTGATGTTGTTTCTTCTGACTCCTGCAAGATAGTTTTCTGTAACTGCACAATAATTTATACATCAACTATCAAATATTTTGAAGACTATGCAGTTGTTTAGCCAACTAGATTTCTGTTCATGCCATTGTTCATCACCATCAGTTGTATTATTTTGCATGGATGTCTGCTTATGACAAAACAAATTCATTTACATTTATGTTTGGGTATGATAGTGTTTTTTAAAATACCCCCAATTTCCAGTTAATTCCCATAAATTCCCAATAATTCCCAATAATTCCCAATAATTCCAATAACTCCCATGGAAAGTTTCCGATTTGGATTATTTCCAAAATTCCTGCGCTCAACTTCCCATGGAAGGTTTCTGGAAATTTATTGGAAAATTTCCACCTCTTTGCAACCCTAGTCATGATACAATAAAAACTACCATAAAATCATACTGCAAACAATTAGTCAGTTTAAAACAATGCTTTATATCAGCTTCATCATATTTTAAATGTTTTAACTTTCGTTAAACAAGATGCTTTTTGGCTAAATGACCGATTTTACGGTTAAAATAATTCCCTCCTCTGAAAGTTTACATTATTACATATTATTTTTAACATTTTTAGGTTTTAAAAAAGATGTTATTTTTTTTAATACTTACCAAACTGTTTTTAATATCTGATCATTTTATAATAAAATATACACTTAAAAAAATTGCCAAACAATTTTACACCCATTTTTACTGTCCTCTGACCCAGTCATTTAAAATCATAATCCAAAATAAATCACAGAATAAAAACCATCTATTAAATAAGAATTCTAAAATGTGAGTATGAGAGTATAAATCTGATTACAGGTTAGTTTGATTTCTCATTAAATTTAATTCTGTCCTCTTCTCTCAAATGGACATAGTTTCCCACAGGGGACCATTTATAATCTTGAAGATTTAAGGCTCTGAAGAACTGCTTTGTGTTTACCTCAGACTGTAAAACAGTTATAGTCCACTGACTGTGATGCCAAAAGATGTAGAGCTCCCTCTGCTGGCTGGCTGCAGAAAAGGTCAAAAAAAGGTAGTCCACAAATTTAAAGACCTCCCCTCCACCCATATTATTATTACTCACCATCTTTATTAATATTGAATGTTGTTGTTGTTGTTGTTGTTCTTCTTCTTCTTCTTATTATTATTATTGATATTATTCTTCTATTATAATTTCCATTTGCTTGTCTGACAATTGTAATATTTTTTTTATCATTATTATTCACATATATAATACACACACCACACACACACAAAACCACAAATGCTGTTGTTTGTTGTCTGTCTTGCACTGTCACTGTAATGCCGTATTGCACAAATAAAAGAAAAAAAAAAGAAAAAAGAAAACGAAAAGGTCAAAAAGCCCCGCTTCCCCTACATAAACGAATGGGATATGGGTCAGACTATACAATGATAACATAAGTTTTATACATTAATATGTTTCCTGTCATTAGATGTAGTTCTAATACATTGATTTAGTTCCAAGTGTTTTTGTTTCTTGAAAGTTTATTCAGAATTACTCATTTGATACTTAGATGATTGACTGACAGCTCTATGGACCAATAAGGCTCCTACAATGTACCAGGTTAGCAGAGTAGGAATGGTGAAAGGAAACACAATACTAATGGTTTATTTTCACTCAGGGCCAAGGATGGTGGTTAGGTAGTTTTCTGCACTTATTTGCATTTTTCTTGTCATAAGTTGTTAAAGGTTTCCAAATAAACAACCCAAACAGTTCTGCTTTTTTACACCCTATGTTAGGTAACAAATAATTTGACAGCTAAATAATGTTTAACTTGTTAAAAGTAAGTGTATAAATCTTAAATAAATTAATAAATAAGGTGTGAAAAACACAAATATCAGAAACGTCTATTGTGAGTCTTGCAAGGATCGTGTGCATGTTTTGTGTAATCATTTGGCATTTGAATCTCCAACACCCTCAGCTTGATGTTGCGTAATGCTCCTTTAATGGGGATCCTCTGATCGGATGCCCCTCGCTTCCCTGCAGCGCCACATTTAAGGTGAATTAGATATTTTTTCCCTCTTCATCTCTCTGCTTCATGCAGGGAGAGGAGAAGGAGGGTGAGAGGGTGAGGAGGAGGGGGGAGTGAGAAAGGGCCATTAGCCTCCCCTCTCCATGCAGGGTGGGTCTGACATCCACACTGCAGTATTATTACTGCAAAGAGCTGCTGATGGAAAACACTTGGCCTGCTCTGACGGGCCATTTCCATAAACATTTACGCTGGAGCTGCAGGTAATCGGATGCAGCCGTCGCTTCAGTGTTTGTGCAGGAGACAGAGGAGATGGAGGAAAAATCACATGCAAATCCAGGACGTGAGAGCTCCCACACAACCCCCCCACTCCACTCAGACAGAGGCAGTGTAGCTCAGGAATGTGAAAGGAACACACTTTTTAGCAGGCCCAGACGGTGCATTCACTGAAATCATGGAAAAATGCATGCTGATTCTCATTCCTTCTTACACTTTCTGATCAAATCATACCAAATTTATTCTGGCAAAACATAATGAGAGAAGATTTTTCTCCTTAAACTTATGTTTCTCAGGAGAAATAATTCGTCTTGTCTCCTGAACATGAATAAAGTAAATGAAAAGGTGTCGCTTAGTCTTGTTCTTTGTTTAATTTCTGTGCATGTGATCTGATATTGCAGAATATTTCCTCAAACATACAGAATACTAAAAGAGAAAGAGCTCCCTCACCTGGTGGATGATCAGTAATGTAACCAGAATAACAAATCTTTCTGTCTTTCGTGTGTGTGTGTGTGTGTGTGTGTGTGTGTGTGTGTGTGTGTGTGTGTGTGTGTGTGTGTGTGTGTGTGTGTGTGTGTGTGTGTTTAACACGCAGGTATTTGTTTCCTCAGTCTGACCAGCACCATGAAGGCATTTAAATCTAAGTTACAGCAACGCAATAATCTCAGATCTCAGATAAATGAAGTAAAGACTTCAATGATCAGAGCACAACACACTTATGTGTCCTTTTGTAATCAGGTGTGTTTGCCTTGTTTCAATTTATCGATCTATATATACAGTATGTGTGTGTAAATATATAAACAAACAAACACAAACACACACATATTCATTCATATATACATATACACATAGATAGATAGATAGATAGATAGATAGATAGATAGATAGATAGATAGATAGATAGATAGATAGATAGATAGATAGATAGATAGATAGATAGATAGATAGATATTTGCGTGTGTTACATTCCAATGCACCTGTACTCAACCTGTGCAAACAATAATAAATGTCTATTCTGTTCTCTTTGAATTTATTCTGTTCAATTCTGTATAATATTGATGTTGTTAATTTGTGTTAACTTTTAAAATCTCCAGTGAAAATGTCAATTTTTGATGATGCTATAAAGAGAACCATGATAGCAGCTTCTTGGCTTGATTGTGTCAAACATAATCTACAGCAGACCCCTGACTTCTTGAACCCCCACCATGACTCAGTGCCTCCTCTCATGGGAGGCACTGAGTCATCTTCAGAGGCTCTAACTGGTTGCAGTTCATCAGTTCATGGTGTCTGGTTTTTTAACTGAAAAAGAAAAGCTCAAGTGTCTATTTAAGTCAATTTAAAGGTTTCCAAAAGTTGTATCTTTACTTTAATTCTCATCTGGACTAGAACAAAATCTGGCAAAAGAAAGTTTTTTCACATTTTTATCTGCATCAGAGCTTTCTACTGTTGAAAAGATCAAACATATCCAACTGATTTTGGTGCAAAAGCCACACAGACAAAGGCCCTGGGACAAAATAATCTATTTAGATAATCTATTTTAATTAAAACAAAGGCTGAAAATTCATCATCATCAGAGATCCTGTGGTGAATTTTTGATTCATGTTACAGTGACACATCAGGAGCTCCAGACTGAAACCAAAGCTGCATAAAGACGCTCTTTTTCTGTGTTAAATCTCCCCCCGTCCTCCTGTTTGTTGGGTTTTTAACTGCGCTGCAGTTTCATGCTAACAGTAACAATAGCTGAACATGTCAGCCCTGCAGCCTCCTCACTCTTTTGATTAACCGATCCCTTCAGCCTGCACATAAAAAGCTCAGCAGGAAGTCACATGGTATCATACAGCAATTTGTGTCTCCAAGGTTGTGCTGTGTCCTCGGCGGCTCGCTGAATGTCTTCACATCTGAGCGTCTTTGAGTCTGTTGCTTCTCATTGTGCTGCAGAAAGAAACATCAACAGGGTTTCAGTTTTTTATTCCTCCAGTTAAACACACAGAGAGGCACCTCATGGGGCTCATCTGTCCCCTTTTTAAACAAAGTTAACAAACAATTTAACGTTTTTTTTGTCTCTCAGTTTGTTTTTGAATCCTGGACTGTCTGATCAGTTAGGAACCAGTATTGTGAGAAACTTCTGCAAAACAAAATCTAATCCTATTCATCACCAATACTAACATTGCACTATCTGTAATGGGAAACGGGCTGTTTGTGGTGGTAAATGCACTGGATATGACACTAACATAGCTGACATTACTTCCCAGAAACACACAAAATAAAAAGGCAACAAGCTAAAGACTCCAAACTCTGCAGTGCTGATGTGTAACGTGCAAAAAAGTGAGTGCACAACAAAAAAATCCTCCAAATCCAGAGACAGAGAGGAACTTCCTGGGGTAGAAGCTGTTTGAAGCAGTAGTCAGAGATGTTAATTTTACATTGGATGTGGGTTGACAGCGATGGGTGGGTCAAACAAACAAGACAAGTAGTCTTAATATACTGATATAAATGACGGTATCCCCCATGGCTCAATGTCTGGCCCACTAATTTTTAGCCTTTTTCCAGAAATTCAGAAGGTAAATGAATTTAAACTTTTTAGGTGTATTCAAACTCAAATTTTACTAATCAAACCATCAATCAATCAAACTTTATTTTTAAAGCACTTTTCATACATATAATGTAGCACAAAGTGCTGTCCATTCAAACAGGATATGAAAAACAATGAAATAAAATAAATAAAAATACAAATACTGAACTCCACCCACCCACCCAACTCCCATTCAACACATACAGCACTCACATGCTCATGCACACAGATGCATACACAAAGGACCAGGTAAGGACTCTTCAACTTGCCACAGATGACTGAGAAAACACATCAATAAGCCGACTAAAACAGTAAAAATTCATCTGAATTACTTTAATTTGATTAGGTGCCTTATACCAATCTAAAGAGCACAGCTGCAAATGCATGAAATGACTTTTTTACACATGTCCTCATGTTACAGTTTGGAGCCAAGAGCCTCAAACATCTTTAATTTTAATTGTTGAATCGCTATAAAACCATCTTTAAATACACAGATCTAAAAAAAAAAAAAACACCTGGAGGAGCATCACTGCCACAAACCACAGCAGAATCATTTGTCTAATTTCAACCATTTTAGAAAAAAAAGTGTAATAAACTCAAAGTGGTTCTTAAATCCTTGAAAATTCAGCACCAGAAGTTTGATGCACATTTTCATGAGGTGAAACAGTGTGAGGAAATACAGGTAAAAGAAATGTTAAAACGCACGTTATCCTCTTCTTTCTTTAAATTAATCAAAAGAAAAAGTTTAACAGGATTTGGAAACTAGCAGCAGCTATAATCTCTTCATGGAAAACATCAGCAACTACAGCTTCTTTGTAATGGAAGAAGTTGCAAAGAGTAATTTTTATTGTCCTTGTCAAATAAATTATGTGCACACAATAAACAAATAAACTTTTGAAAGAACTTAATATTAACCATTTTCTAAAACTTGATTAAGTGGTCCTTTATGCTGGGTCATACACAGAAGAGGAGAAGAAGAAGCAGCAGCAGCTAGTAAGTTAGCTGTAGCATTACTCTGAGAGAAGATTAAAGATACACAACATCATCCACATATTATCTGTTTCACCTGATAAATGCTTTTAAAAGAGTGTGGCATTAAATATGTGCAGCAGACAGTTTACTGAATATTTATTATGAAGATTTAATTTAGAGTCCAATCACATGTTACCTTTTTATTTTTAGAGGTTTTTCGAAAAGTTCAAACATCCAATTTTACAGCAGATATGCATGTTTACAGCCTGGACGACAGGACAATTACAGTGAGCCAAGCATAGACTGTAATTACAGGTGCATCCATAGCAACAGTGAGTTGTTAGGAAATAATGAACCATTGCTGTGAAATCAACACAGATCAGGAGTCATCTTACAAACAGCAGCATCACCATGATCAAACCTGAATCCCATTCTTTACTGTATTTATGCACATATTTAATCAGCGGTCCGTCTGTTTGTTTACTCGTGCTCTAAAGTGTTAACAGCCTCCTCGATCTCCATTAAGGACATTAGAAGTGATGTTTACGGTTTTCACAGTCAGTCTCAAAGCCGTACAGTAATAGGATCGCTGCTGAATCTGCTCACTGCTGCTAATTGAAAAGGCCGCTCAGCAGCAGCGATGCTCTGAAACACTCCTGGCAGAGGTAAAACGGTTTAATTGAGCTAAATCTGTCTCAATGAAGGTGCTCACTTAAAAGCGAGAGACGGTCCTGGCAGCGGGCCTGGTGAGAAGCGACCGTGAAGGGGTCCTTACCTGCACATTAGAGGAGAAGGCATTTTAATAACAACACACCCCTCCCTGTCAGCATCTCACTGGAGAGGGGCTCAATTATTGTTAATGGAAGTTCACCACACATTTCCTAACTGGAGCTCTCATCTGCTGCAGAGGGGCCGCTGTGCAGACCACGTTTCACTCACATAAACATCTGAAATGCAGAAAAATCTCAAGACAAATAAAAATGTTTCACTGCTGCAATTAAGAGAAACTGTGTTAATTCAAAGTTAATTCTCTTCTCAGACAAACCTCTGTTGAAATCAGGAGCAGTTTCCATTAATGAGTCTTTCAGGGGCTGAGAACCACCACTGCTGCTGCTGCTGCTAGAAAAAAGAAGCCACGATGGAAGTTACCAATGCAAAAAAAAAAAAAAAAAAGAAAGAAAGAAAGAAACTGAAGTCCACTGCAAGGAAGAAAAAGAAACAGAACAGATAAAAAAAGCCACAAAGGAAGTTAACGGCGCAAAAAAAAGTGGCGATGGAAAAAAAAGCTACTTACTGCATAATAAAAGGATGCAAATAAAAAAGCAACAACAGTACTGAGCTGCCAGGGATCAATAATGATGATGCACTGGTGTTTTGAAGTTGAACTGGATGATGCTGGGGTAGTGTTGGCTCCAGTTCAACTTCATATTGACATGGCCTAACCAAATGACACACTGAAAAGCATATAAAGGGAAATTAAACAATAACCTTTCCACTTACCTCTTTGCTCGTCTTCTTGCTGTCGTCTTCTGTGTCTAGATCGTAAAACACCGGTGCATCATCATTATTGGTCCCCGGCAGCTATCTTCCATTGTGGCTTTTTTTATTTGCATTCTTTTATTTTTGCATTGAGTAACTTTTTTTTTTTTTTGCATCGCCACTTTTTTTACATCTTAAACTTCTGTTGTGGCTTTTTTTTTTTAATCTGTACCGTTTCTTTTTTTATATGCAGCAGGCTTCAGTTTCTTTTTTTTTCTTATTGGTAGCTTCCATTGTTTTGTTTTGTTTTTTGCAGCAGCAGTGGCGGTTCTCGGCCACCGTAGAGTCTAATTGTGAGTTAAAATGTAAAAAAAGTTTCAGAGCTGCAGAAATAGTCAGTGCACTTTTTTCAACAGCTCCAAATTTCGCAAAATACAGTGAATATGTTTGTGCAAAACTTTGTTTCAAGATTAAGCAAAACATTTCTACAGCTGCAAGAATATTTTCATATTTTAATATTTTCTTTCTGGAGCTCCAAAAACCTTTAACACATGTGAAAATAAAATACAATATTACAATGGCTGTTTGAATGCACTCATTTTCAGTACTGTGATCTGATTTGGTTTGTCTGCATATTGTTGCAAATATAGAACTGACCCATTATACCACACTATATGAACATAACTGGAAAGATACTGAGAAACATATTCTATTAAAATGTGCTTTCAGAGTCATGTTTTCCTTAAGGGTTGTCCCAAAATAATAAAGCTGATCACACCGTTGTATTGAATAAGTTCTGCCCTCTAGTCACCATATTAACTCAAATGGAAACTGGTTTTAAAACTTCCTGCTCTCTGAAAGCAGCACAGACTCTTTCTGCTGCCTCTCCCTCTCTCTCTGTCTCTCTCACCCAGTTGTCAGTATAGTATTGTTTTTTTATCTGCTAACAATTCAGCCAACAACGCATCAATGTTACCCTAAACAATAGAGCATCTGTAGCACAGAACAACACAACGGCATGTCAACACAAGAGCACAACAACACACTTTTTCTAAACTCGGAAATGGTGCCTTAACACATTGTTCCCACTAATAATTGACCGTAGGTTTTGCTTATTTATGGTGACATTCTCCATAACCTCTCTCCTTATGAAATGTTTAATTTGAAATCAATAAAACAATATCAATAAAATCTAAAGAAATGAGGAAACAGCAGAGAGATCCTCCAGCCATCGTAGGCCTGATATCAGGGATTCTTGCCTCATGCTGCCCCCTGGTGGTAAGCAGCTGCAGCCTCACCTTGAGTGTCTTTGAAAAAGTATCTAAAGGCCACATGTGTGAATCCAGAGGGGTGTAAAGCAGGAACATGACTATGAGCGTTAAAATAGAGATTCAAAAAGTTAAGACAATGTAGTATATGGATTTAGCTCTGAGTTTTTTAAATAAGCTCAGAGAAGTCTTTAAATTTAGAAATGCAGCAGAATAAGAGCAGTCACATGTTAACATTAGACTTGTAGACTTAACATCATATGGTAGGAAATGTAAAAAACCAGCAGCATGGACATGAACACCTCCAGAGGAAACGTAACAGCGTAACAGGAGGGTAGCAGCAGTAGCATAGCAGCAGCGTAGTGCAGCCTGGGAAGCTGGACTCAGTATACAAAAGACAACAGACTCACAACAGGTTGCTTTACCTTTCTGTTAGCAGCTAAAAGTCTTGTTGTGGTCCACAGGGATAGGAAATGGAGTTGTTCTGTTTTATTGATTAATCCATAATCTGAAAGTATTTCTCATCTACATGATCTGAACAGATAGGAGTCCGTATATGGTGTTTTATTTTGAAATTTACCAGATTCACTATATCCTGCTTGTACTTGACTTCCTGTCTGATGATATCTGCTCTGTGTAGATTAACGGTTCCAGTTTCTCAGCCTAAAGGGAAAATTCCGCCAGATCGCCGGACTCTGCAGCTGATCGCAAGAGTTCTATTTTTTCCGGACGCCAGAGCGTGCCAGATAAATTCAGCACAGATTAGCCATGCTGGAAAGGAAGTTGGGCACAGACACAAAGTAAAACATTCTGTGTTTTAGGCGGATCATATTTCACACCATGCAAACAAGCGAGGACGAACAAAAGAAAGGTTTATAGACAGCATTTCATCCTGATGACACCATGGATGAGGAGATGCTGAATCTAGAAGTCTAGAGGTACAAAATTTGCCTCACCAATGGATCCTGTAGGAATTGGTGTACTGCAAAAAATCTGAGCCGTTCCGGAACAGTGGAAATCTCGGGTATGAGTGACGTCGCAGGAAGATGGGAACGCGGTCTATTGAGAGTCACTTCTTCATTGGTCGTTTACACTCCTAAAGTGCTTGTGTTATCGATTAAGGTTGAACAGACGTCCCACAGGAGGTTGAGTTTAGGCGAGGCAGATAGAGTCTCTAAATCCCTGCAGCCATCTGACCTCACAGTAAAAACAACATTTATCCTTCATTTTTTCTGTGTCTTTTATGTGGAGTTTTTCTCAACATGGAGGCTGAACCACAGCCGGCCACCAGGGGAGCTCTAAAGACTGTGGTTTCAGGTTTCAGGACTTGCATTACTATTTCACAGCCTCATCATTCTGTCACAGAGAGAGACGGCTCAACTTTACAGCTGTGTTCATACAGACTGAGCAGACATGTTCACTAATGACACCTCTTTAGTCAGCTTTTGTTTGATTCCTCTTTAAGAGCACGGTGAGAAAAACAGTGATGACCTCCTTTTTATTCTTTAACCCATTAATAGATATTTCTTATATATATTATACAGTTTTCTTTCTAAAAAGTAAAAATCCTGATTCTCTTTGTAGGAAACTTTCCAGACCACTCTGCCGTATGATTCTGGGGATGTTTGATTTAAGCTTGTGATATCTGTAACCTGAGAAGTCAGTTAGAGTTTCTTAAGTGAGAGACATTGTCGAAGTGAGTTTAAAACTAAGATACTTCTGACTGGTTCATACAAATGTTTCTATGTCAAACACTTCAGAGTCTGAATGGACGAGAAAAGGGCCAACACACAATGATAGTGTCTGACAAAAAGATCCTCTTACTGCGCTCTCAGCTTTTATTCACACGTGTCATTCTTCCTCCACGTTTAATATTCAACTTCTCCAAAGACATCAAACTGTATTCAGCTGAAGTGATCCAACCTTGAAGAGAAACTTCTCTATTCTCTCATTTGTCAGAGGTCCTCTGGGGTGTTTGACTGCTGAGAGGATAAAAAACAAAACCTTTATGTACGCTGCATGATTGTTCGGAGTTAGAGACACAATACACAAAAGGTAAGTGTCCAAACAATAGAAAAATAAACTTGTTTCTCCATGACAGCTTTGGTCTTTCTCACTTTCTTCATACTTTAAATCTTCAATATGAGTGAAAACATGAAATTGAGACAAAAGACAACAAAACTCTGTTATTCTGAAGCACAAGCACATCCACTTCTGGGAGACACAAAAGGAAGCTGTGAACCCTGGAAACACATCCATGTGGTGTTTTATACAATTAAAGACGTAACAGTAGAGAAAGGACTTGACAACCATTTTTGAACAGTAGATGTACAGGCTATTTGTCAAAAAAAAAAAATTAAGTTAAACTGGACTTAACTTAAACAACTTATACTTACGGCCAACGATTCATTGATCCAGTTCCAGTTGGGACTTACGCTTTGATCACTGAATTCGGGCAATTTAACAAAACAAACATTTGTCTGTCTCTCCCATTGTCTGGTTAAAAAAAAACACAACCTGTGTCTCTTTCCTGGTTCATGACCCCAAATGACACACCTACACCTATATGTGATCACTGCTTGGCACAGCACCTACTGCCCCCTGCTGTTAGACAGAAACAAAATCCAAATAAAAATCACCTATAGTGAAATAGCTCCCATTACAGGCATTAAATAAACCCAATTACACCCATTTCTAAAGAAGCTATTAATACGAGTTACTAACATCTAAAGACTTTTAATATGTAACAAATTTGTGATTTTTTATGTCACCAGTAAACCTCAATCAGTCTCAGACAGGCCTTTCCAGCACACCGTTCTTTGTTTAGATTTTTACAGTATGCACCAAGCCTTTGGCATCAGACTTAGTCCCCAAAACTTTGCCCATCATTCAAGAGCCTATTGGGGCTGTCAAATCAGCAATGAGGACAATTTCTCCAGGAGAGACAAAAATGGTCCTTTCCTTGGACCATTTTTGTCTTTCTTGCATCAAAGGCAAGTATTCAGAGATCCATCCCTTCCAGAAAAGGTGAGCTATATACTGAGCCTGTCTCCACAGATTCTGAATTAGATATCAGAGGTGTTTCGGTCTTAATAAGAAGACAAAGCCATTGTCTGGATGGCAGCAGATGTTGCTCCGAAACCTGAAGATATCGTTCAGCATTAATGGAGCCCTCACAGATGTGGAAGCTACCCTTGACATGGACTCTGATGATCCCCATACCACCAGGGATGCTGAATTTGAAGTAGGAGCTAAGAACAAGCTGGGTGGACCCTCGGCTCTTTCGAGAGGAGGATGCAGTGTGTCCACGATTTCCAAAAAGACCATCAGATTAATGGACATAAGACTTCTCTGGTATCACATACAATAATAGATCTGAGAAAGTTAACTCTACCTTTCTTACACATAGTAGTAGAAGCCTGTAGCATGCTCCAGGAGAAGCATGTGAGACAAGACAGATTCCTGTGGGATGCCATTGAAGAGAGGAGCAAATTTAAGTTAATTTGAACATGTTCTTTAAATGGAGATACAGCCTGGCTCTGAAAAGTCTTTAATATATTTATAAGTGAAAAAAATGTGTTTTTGATACTCATGGGCTTTTGGGGTCCAAGTAATAGCAGAAGAGCATTAACAGCCCTTTAATGCAGTCACTGTTTTGAAGACTTAAACTGTGAAGTTTTTTTGGTTTTTGTCGACACTTTTACTTTGTTTTCTTTCATCTCATTTAAAGAACTTTGTCAGAAACAGAGCAGACTTGGTGAAAATGTGTGTCACAGCCACTGTGTGTGCGTGCGTGCCTCCACTAAGTGTCTCTAATGTGAAAAAGAAAACAATGTTGGTGTAGAAACTCATCTAACTTGTAACAACGTCTCTCTGCAGTGGCGGCGGCCTGGTGTTTTGATCTGTGTCTGTGTGCGTCCGGCTCTCCGCCTCATGCTGAGACATTCAAACAGACTGTGAGTCATTAGCCTGGGAGATCTTTGGCCCACACATAAAAGCTGGACGATCAGTGGTAGTGACTCTCCAGGGGGCGACGGCTTACATCCCTGCACCCAAGCATGTGCATAGGCCTTCAACCGCCACCACGGCTCTCTGTTGCCCCTAAACTAGAGGCTGTTTAGCAGCAGATTTACAAATGACCTGTGCTGCTGTTGTTTGAAGTGATGCGGAGAGGGGGCGGCTCTACAACGCCGAGACCCTGCATCGCTTGCAGGGCTCATTACAGATCATGCAGACAGACGGACAGACAGACACTGACAAGGAGAAGTCGCTAATGAGGAAAAGAGCAGATAAAAACAGAGGAAGTACCAGCCTACTCTCCTCCACTCTGCTTCTCCACTGTCACTCTGAGAAAATCCCGCTGCAGAAGGAGATTCACCTGAGCCGAGCCGCAGAGACCTGCTGAAACTGTAAGAGCCGGGTCGTCAGAGGAGGAGAGGAGGAATGCTTCTTGCCTCTGGATTTTACGGCTTTGAGAGTTAAGACTCAAACGAGGGGGGCAAATATGGAGATAACAGAGGACATTCTCACTCTTTTACACATGCACAAAAACTCAGGGTTGGATGCATGTGTGAACACAAATAGCTCAGGTTTTCTCCTGAAATTCTTAAAGTGAGCAGGTAAAATCTGTCAGGATTGGTGTAATGATGAGTAAATCATACAGCCGATGAATAAAAACAACTCAATTTAAAGAATCATTTCAAGACTGGGACAGCAAAGACGTCTGCACATCTTTGTCGAATCTGAAGCACATGGAGGGACGCTGGAAGCCGGGCATTGCAGTGCTGTTAGAAGACACTGTCTGCTACATGCATTCATTTAGCTGATATACTGTATTTGACCGTTTAGCACTATTATTTCTCAGGGAGTGATGGAGTTCAGCTCAGCAGGCAGAGAGGTTAAATTAAGCTGCTTGATAATCAATAGCTGTGAGAACCTGCGGACAGGGGTGTCACTTCACGGCAGATATCAGCTTTTACTCTTTTATAGACCAAACTCTGAGTGGCTCATATGACTCTGCTGACAACATCACACAGACAACACACAGAAAGCTGTGTGAAATATATGAATGATCTGACTGAAGTTATGTCCACTGAATTATTCCCACAACATTAAAACTTTGAGAATTAAAATCTGAATCAGGGGTGTTAATATCAATGTCCTCATTTTCAAGTGAGATGGGCACATTGCAGTTTTTTGTGTGTTTTATAAAATCAAAATCCAGAGACTGTTGGGGATCATCAGACTAACAAAGACTCTTAGAGTGGGGAGTTTTTTTTTCCAGCCATGCCTGTAGTTACTCAGATTAGAAATAAAGGATTTCCAGGCAAAGACTTTAATTATCTTTGAAAAAAAATCTACTTATAACTAATCTTGCAGTGGTTGTTCTCACCTGTCTCAGAGTGTTTTCAGCTCAGTCAAATCTCCAGTTTAATCTTCAAGACCAAAAAAATAAAAAAACCCTGATCAATAAGATATCATAGATGATCAAAAACAGGAAATTATTTTACAGTCAGTTGTGAATTTAGCTTATTGCAGTTTCTGAATCGAACTTTTGGGTAACACTTTATTTGACGTCTATCTCTATAACATATTATAAATATATTTATAATGCGTTATAAACACGTTATAGCACTGTATAACTATAGTTATAAACACTCATAAATGATCATTATGCTTTATAGCAATAGTCATATCACATTATAAAGCATTTTATCATGACTTACAAGGTCAGGTATTATAATGTGCTATAACAAATCACTGACAATACCCATATAGATAACGCAATGCAACTGTTGTTAACAGTTAAAACACATTATAATACCTGACCTTGTAAGTCATGAAAAAATGCTTTATGTGTTATGATTATTGCTATAAAGCATTATGATCATTTATGAGCGTTTAGTGTGATAACCTGATTATAACACATTATAAATATATTTATAATTAGTTATAGAGACAGGCGTCGAATAAAGTGGTCTCAAGTTTTAAATTCAGGAACGCTGTGGTGAAGTATTTTCATACTTTTAAATTTATCTTTAGAGAAGGAGAAGGAAGCTGAACATGGGTGCACTCTGGGTGGGGGTCAGAAGGGGTGAGCCCCCCCTTGGTGCCCTCATGTCTATAAAAACGCTGCAGATGCTCCTCAAAGTAAATTAGCCCCCTCGTCTGATTGGCAGAGATGTTGAGCAGAGTGACTGACTTATCTGGAGGTAAGCAGCTCTCACCTTTGCACACCTGTCGGCCTATCTGTTGATGGTGGATTTTCAGGCATGACTCGAACAAACAGGCTCAGGAATGAAGCAGGTTAACATTTAAAAACTTCCCTGTAGGTTTTTATATTGACTCTTCGCTGTTAATGCTGAATTTAACTCTTAACATTTCACATTTAAAACGAACATACTGGACGAGACCATACTGACATATTTCATGATGGCAAAGTTAAAGAATAAAAGACAAAATAACAATAAAGAAATAGAGATAAAAATGTACAAATCTCATCACAGTTTGTAAGGATTCAGATCTGAATATAAAGAAGTGTTTCTGTTATTTTCAGAGAGTTTATTTCTTCATGTTTGCCTATTAGCTAAAGGCTGAATCAATCAACAGCAGTAAATATCTGAAGGTTCATCTTTAAAGAGAAAATTTGACTTCAGGGTAAAACTTGTTTGTACAGTTCTCTGTTTCCATATGTCCATAAACAAACTTTGAATGTTTGTTTATGTGGAAACTAAATGTGTTGAGCTGAGCAGAGATTAAAGTCGGGTCTTTGTGTCAGTCAAATGTAATTGGTGCCTCACAGCAGGAGCTGCCCGCAGATGGAGCTCTGAAACATTAATAAACAACAAACATTTAATGTAACTCACAGATGCTTCAAATAAAGACATTTTCCTGCGACACAGACACACAGTTATCTACGAGCAGGGAAAGGTTTTAATCATCTCTGCCTCATGAAGAAGCCGTTTAAAGAAAGACAAAAAAAACGTCTTTAGATCAAACGATATTTTTCAAATCCAGAACATCCGCTTTGGGCCGCTGCCTTTCAATTTGTCAGGAGGAAAACTGAGCCGCTTTGGTTGGATGTGTTAAACTGCCTCCCAGAGGGCACTGGGGCAGACCACCAACGCTCCCTGGCCTCCATGCTGCGTCAACAGAACAAAACAAAAGCACAAAGCTGCAGCAGGGACGCTTTGTTGCTCTGCTTTAATGTGGCGGCGGTGGGCTGCCCCGCTGATGGCGGCCTCATCCTCCTGGAAACACAATATCACCAAGAAACTGAATTAAACCGCACAGATTTCTTCAGATAAACAGGTGGACTTTTTATTTAGGTCAAATCACATGTTTCAAGAGCTGACTGTTGAACCCTGACCCAGCTTTAAAGTCTGAGGTTACTTTCTGAATGGGCTTTAAATTTATAACACTGTCGAGGACACCAGCAGGAAAAAACACAGAAAACCATTTTAAAAAGATCAACGATCACAGAAGAGCTGGAAAAACTGGGGTGACAACAAAATGTACAAAGTGCAGAAGAAACAGTTGAAAGATTTTAAATCTTCAGACTGAAGTCTACAGTTTTAGTTTGTTATTTTTCATCCTGTTTAATACTCCTGTAAAAATCTCCACCAGGTCATACAATAAACTGGATTTAAGACTAACAGCTCTGAGTAAAAACAAACTATGAGATACAAGAACAAAGACAGACGCCTAATATTAATCTGTCAAAATAATCCGGGTATGATAAAAATAATAGAACTATTTATGCATGTACAGGAAAAAATCAGCAAAAAGACAATAAGCCCTGCTTTACCCACTGCAAAACTACAAACTAAGGAAGTGTTCAGTCTTATTTTGGGTAAAACATGTTTTAAGGTCTGATTCGTGGAAAATATATTTCATTATAAAACAGTACACAAATATGAGTTGGATAAAATATTCACCGGTGGCATAAGAAAGACAATTCTCGAAGTTCTTTAAAATCACAAAAAGTTTAATTTTGAAGTAACTGATTATTATAATTTTTTTATTGGCAGATATTTTGTTTACTTTTTATAGGACTGTCCCAGAGTTGATGATTACTGTCTTCATGTGAACTAAACATCCAGATTGAGCTCAAATAGGGGACAGATTTCACAGAGATGATCCTTTACCTGATTTCCAAACTTCATAAAACTGAGGAGAGAAGAAGCAGAAGCTGTTAGAGAGCTAGCTGCAGCATCCCTCTGAGACACTCCTAAAAACTGACATTTAAAGATTTACTATGAGTCCAAAAACATCGTTAGAGTTTAAGTCTCTGCAGGTTACTGATCAATACATCACTGACACTTTCTGATGAACCCTGACCCCTCACTGTTTTACTTCTGCTTACTGATTGAACAGAAGACACTATGAGGTGAAAACTGGACATTAAAACAGCCCTAGCTGAAACATGCAAATCCTGTTTCTTTAGCGAAAGACACATCCAACAATAATAACGTATAAGAAGTGTTTTTGAAGGTGAAGCCTCCAAATTTACTTTCATTGTCTGCAAATCTTTTAGAATTTTAAGCCTGAATTCTCAGATAATGGTGCCTCCAAAACATGCACTTGAAGAAAGACTCTGGAATCATAGGTCCAAAAATAAAACCTGAAAGATGCTGAAATCTGTGGGTTTTCTTCATTCATTTACACTTCAGTGTAACTTCTCATAAGTTCAGAGTTTGCAGGTTTCCATGACAGAGTATCAGGACCAAAGTGAAGAATTCAAAGATAAAGCTGTAGATGGTCTTTTCTGTGACAGAGTGAAAACAAACCGTCTGTTTGTGGTTGTACAGATACATGTTGTCTTTGCTGAACTCAGTCAGCTGAGCTCCAATTAAACTCTATGATCCGGATTCCTTCAAAAGGCTGTAACCACGCCCTTCTCCCCTCCCTCCAACCCGCCCGCCACACGGCAGCAGAGCTCTTCCTTTCTTCACCGTGGCGGCCGTGACCGAGCCAAGGTCACAGTTAATCCTCCGGAGTTTCTCGCTTTGTCTCATCACAACCGAGGGGGTCAGAGGCTCTGAAAGGCCGAGCTGCAGTTTAACATCTATTAGCAGAAAGCTGCGGCCCCCGCAGGGCAGAAACTGCTGCTGAGGCTCAGGACCGGTCTGAGAGCTGGCGAGTGTGGAGGCTACAGACTCAGAGAGAAACCCTGCATGTTCGTCATTTTTCTACTCAATCACTTATCCGACATTTACATTGACAGCAGGATTTTCACCGGGAGAGGGGACGACAGAAACCAGCCCTCTTTCCTTTAACAGTTAAACTGGTCTGCCTAACTCTAAATTCCTGCATCCTTGGGAATATTTATGCAACATTTAGTGGGGGAAGTTTAATGGCATCCAAAGGGAACTTAATTGAATTTTTTGTTTTTAAATTTTCCTCACTGGAAGCGCACTCAGAGGAACTTTTTCTTAATAGTTAATGGCGTCTTTGAGTGTTTTTAAAAGCGCTGTACAAATAAAATGAATTATTATTATTATTATTATTATTATTAAGAGAAGCCACTACAGCAAAATCAGTTCACTGTCCAAGGAAAGATCAGGAATGAGAGCCTTTCATTAAGTTTTATTTATCACAAGAGTTTTTCTGCAGTGTTTGATTTTTCAGACGTACCAGCATCAGGAGGCGGCGGTCCGTCGGTGGCTGTACCTGTTTTCCTCGTCATCTCTCTGTTAGCGTTTCTGAACCTCCAACTCAGGGAAGCCCGTCCTCTCGTCCATTTCTCTCTTAAATTGCAGCTGTGTCGCCTCCCCGATCACCACCTCAGCTGTGGTGAAGATCTCCAGATCTCCCATCACATGACCTCCCACTGTCTTGCCCTCGCTGTCAGCCAGGCAGATGTGGAGGTGAGCGTCCAGGTTAAGGGTGCCGACCAGGGACACGATCTCAAACCGGCCGGTCAAGTGGAGCAGCTGAGGGGAAAACATGGAGAATTATTATCTTCAGCTTTCATAGATAACATCCTAAAGTTTGCATTTTTATAGTTTTTTTTAGGGGATATGGGCTTTAAAAGAAAGAAACTCTTTGAATTCTGTTAAAAAAAATTAGCCTTCACTGTTCTTCATTTTTCTGCTGTGTGACAAGTTTTCTCTGCAAACTTGAACCCGAATCTTATCAAATCTAAAGCGTTACTCACCAAAAATCATGAATTTAATGTACAGCTTTTCTTTTTTCTTGGATTTTTCAATCATAACTGCTTAGCACAGAAAAGTACCTTCAGAAAAATCAAAGTTAAGGCGCCATATATTAAGTTCTCTGCATCTCTCTGCAGCATAGCCTTGTGTAATGTCCTAATGAATATTTTTCTAAAACAGAGATGTAATCATACAGTAAAGCTCAGGTTTTTAATATATGAGCACAGTCTAAATCAAACACAAGATCAGAGAAACAGATATTCCAGCTGAGCTCCTCTGACAGAAAGGACCTGTCTGCAGAAGTGATTTGTGTATAAATGGGACAAGAATAATGTTGGGTAAAAAAAACATTTGTCATGTTTTTCTGCTTCAGCGAAGTTTATATCTATAAGAACAACTTTCCTAACATATTTGCAGATATTTAAGCTGAGTGTTTCTGCTGTGAAGGAGCACAAAAAGAGCTGCTCTCAGGTACCTCGTTTGTATTTGATGCTGTGGCGTTTGCCAGCCGGAGCGTTGCCTTGGTGACACTTCCCACGCAGGTGATGATGAACGGTGCTCTGAGTCCCGCCTCCTTCACAAATGTCTGCAGAGATCCCAGCAGCTCCTGACCCGGACCGAACCTGACGGCATGGACCTGCAGGGAGGATCCTGCAGACGGTGAACTCTGAGAGAAAAAAAAGAGTTTGATTCATTAGTTTGTGAGGCCCTGCTTCATGCTGATCATCCAGAGCAGGTTTCTTATTTGGTGAAACTCTGAGAACTCAGAATTCGGTCATCGGGTCATGAAGGATGGTGGTTGTTTTGAAGACAGTAAATATCTGTGAATAAATTGCAGTAAATAAATCACAAAATAAAATGTATATGAGACAGAGGACAGCTGTGAGTTTGGGTCTGCTCGAATAAACAGGCTCTTTTTCTGTGCGTTTGGCTGCTCTGGGATCAGCTGCAGAGACATAAAGCTGTTAAAAAAAAAAGAAAAAGCTCTAAATGTGGTGAAAAGAAGCACAAATGTGTCTGAATCCCAAATCTCCTCTTTGTTCAGTGTGTGTGTTTCTGTGTGTGCACGTGTGTGGTCCATTCAGATCTCTAACAGGATCACTGTGCCAAACCAAACACCAGGCTGACCTCTGACCCCAGCGGGAGGAGGAGGGGGTCATGTGACCGAACATTAGAGGAGCTCTCGCTAATCTGCAGGTTTATAAAGAGTGAATAAAATACACGCGGAGAGGCGGAGCTAACATCACAACTCTTTACTTTTACTACCTACGCAAATGGGGAAGAGACCATCACACGACCTCGTTGGTTGAGAGTTTCTACTTCCTGTTTGAGTCTGTTTTTAGACTGGGTTTCTGGTGTATATGTAGGTGAGGAAAAGTTACAGTCTGATAAGTTTCAGACACTCTCAGGTTCAGAGTAAATCTCCAAAAATTCAAAGATTCAGACAGGCTGCAAACAGCTGGGAAAGGACTGAACTCTTTCTTCGTAGAAGGCTGTAAGTTTTCTGACTGAAGCTGCTCATGATGCCTTTTAGAGCGAGTTCAGACATCAGAGGTACAGATCTGATATTGAGGTAGTAAACATCTCGAACAAGAGAAGATGTCAATTAGTGATGTGTCCTTCAGTGCCGAGGCTACGAAGCGCGTGTGTCGAGTAATGAGGGGGAGGTTTCCGCGAAGCGCGAATCGAAGCTTACTTCATGTAGGGGTGGAGCCAAAAATGACGACGCCCGAAGCCTCGCTACCCGGCTGTACCACGTGACTGATTCAAGAACCTAGTGGTGGGCAAAACCGGTCATTTCAGTGAACCGGATCATTCCGGGTCGGTCACTAAAAAGACCCGTTCTTTTCGGTCATTTCGGTCAATCGGTCATTTGTCAGTCCGCTCGTCGTCGTCCCCCCCGCGGTCCGACGCTATGACCGCTGCACTCTCCACTTCCCACCCCCGGTCCACCCGGTCCAACGCTGCGATCTCACTGCACTACTTGTAATATAAAATTATAGTTGGAGTAACAAAATATATAAGGTTTTTAATGGTTTTTTATTATTTTGAGGTGCATTAAAAACATTAATAAAAAGTACAAATGTCAACAGACAGTGCAAATGCGTATTAATAGTTGTCTCTCTGCCTCTGGCTGCAGCAGCAGCTGTGTGCCTTTGCGTGTGTGTGACTGTCCCGCTCGCTCCGGCTCGGCTGTCGGGCCTCGTGCGGCGGCCACTCAACTCGGTCTTTCAGTCAACTCGTTCATCTGTCTGGATCTTTCGTTCACTCGGTCTTTCAGTCAACTCGTTCACCGTCTGGATCTTTCGTTCACTCGGTCTCTCGTTCAACTCGTTCATCCGTCTGGGTCTCTCGTTCACTCGGTCTTTCGTTCAACTCGTTCATCCGTCTGGATCTTTCGTTCACTCGGTCCTTCGTTCAACTCGGTCTTTCGTTCACTCGGTCTTTCGTTCAACTCGTTCATCCGTCTGGATCTTTCGTTCACTCGGTCTTTCGTTCAACTCGTTCATCGGTCTGGGTCTTTCGTTCAACTCGGTCATTCGTTCATTTGACCCGTTCTTTCAGTCAACTAGGTCTTTCGTTCATTTGACCCGTTCTTTCAGTCAACTCGGTCATCCCGGTCTTTCAGTCAGCTCAGTAGTACTGCTGCTGCTTCTCTAAGCCCCACCCACACACAGAACGAGGCGCGACGATAGGATAAGACAGGCAAGCAGTCCCTCTTCAGCCAATCAAAAGAACTGAACGGATTGAACGGGTCATTTAGAGGGGGAGAACTAGTTCATTTCGTCCACCAAAAAGAACTAGTTCTTTTGATCCGTTCGTTCAAGACCGACACACCACTACAAGAAACGGTTCACGGGTTTAGCGGATGATTTAACAGGCAGCGAAACGCAATGGAGTCCTCCCCCACTCACAATCCATAGACTCGAGACTTGTTGAAAAGTTGTTTTTAAATATAAATAACTAAATATAAATGAAATGTTTATGTTTTATATGTTGTCCCCGTAACAAAAGTGCGAACAACAAACTAAGTAACACTAGCACATCCACACCACAACCCTCTCCATAATTTATGTCCTCTTACCCTTTTCATAACTCCATTCATCATTGAATTCAAAGCTTCGCGCACCAAAGCCTCGGGGTGTCTTTGGTTTATCACTCTGCCTGTTTTACATTTATTGTCCACTTGATGGCGCAATAGAGCAAATGAAGCACGATCATGAAGCTTCGGCCCAGGAGTCGAGCAGTTGGATGGAAAGCTTCGATGCTTCATGAGGCTTCATCTCGCCATAGCTAATGTCAATGTTTTATTTCCCTCTGCTTTAGTAAATCAGACACCAAACACTTAATTCTTCTGAGCCTGTTCAGTCATGAAGCTTCTGATCTGAATTTTTACTGCAGCAGGAAACAATCACATAAAAATCAGACCTTTGCAGAGTTCAAAGTTAAAGCTTTCTCATCTTTACAATGACAGTGAAGAATCCTAGTTTTATCTGCATTGTAAGTCATGTTCAGAAAGATGGTTTTAAAAGTCAAACACTCACCATTCTGCTCAGCTCTGAGGTTATTTGCGTCTCTGAAACAAATCAAACATTTACTGAAGAAGCTCTAACAGACCACACTTTTTCTTCTTCTGTTGAGTTATAGGCGTGATGCTGCCCTCCACAGGCTCCAGTTTTACTTACATGTTGGTGGATGCTGTCAGACTGTGATCTCCTGTCTCTGCCTTTCCACGTTTACCATCAAGGTGCTCACCAGTCTATGATTTGTGTTCCAGTCTCAGCCCAGAGATGAAGCTCAGAGTCCATTTTTACACCTGTTGTGTGCTCCATCGTCGTCTTTGTTTCCCCTCCACACCTTTACTATCGCTCGCTGTATTAAATTCTGACAGTCAGCTTCTCCTCACCACTCTGGGACCTCTGAGCTCTTCCTGTTGTTTGCTTTTTTTGATGCAGAATCAGAGTCCTCTTTCCCTTGTATCAGTGTGTGCTGATACCCAGACAAATCCAAGAGCCCTTCCTGGAGGAGGGGATGCCAAAGTGACCATCAAAATGGCTGCTGAACAACAAAACAACAACAGAGAGGAAACACTTATATTTGCTGATACAAGAATAATTAGACGGAAAACAACTTGATGACTGTACCAGTTTGTTTAAAACTTTAAAAATATCTTAATTGATGGGGATCATAATTCCTGAAATGTTCCTCAGGAGGGGTTTAGAGACCCAGAATGGTTTTTAACTGGCTGACCACACAGGAAGTGTGATAAAGAGAGTCTCAGGCAGGCTGGGCTTTGGCTGGAGGTCTGTTCTTAAAAACTTCAAAATAAACGTGAGCACCTACAGGTGAAATCTGGTAAACAGGTGTGTTATTATAAACCTCCTGGCGGACCTTTAAGTCACTCTACCCCGCATAGCCTCTCTGCAGGGCAGTGTGTTATATTTCTGGTCTTTTACTGCCACCTGCTGGTGGTTTCACCAGTGTTTGGGCACCTGCTGCTTTTTCTATTTGCTTGCAGTCAAATAGTCATTAAAGCATGACAGTGAAAAAAAGGTGGCAGGACAAGACGAGTTTGTTGCACATTTCGGCAAACAAAGAGTGAATTTACAAAAGACAATAAAACCTCATCAAACAGGAGGATTGGATAATTAACACAGCTGCAGATAAAGACTGAGGCACTGGTTTTGAATTAGACACTTCTTTGCACTGACAATTTCAGACATTATACTACAGTTTTTACTAATTATAGACACACACACAAAAAATAAAATACACACCATACAGCTCATGTACCAACAACATGACTCCAAACTGCTAAACTCCAAACAGAAACCCACTGGTCTCACTCAAATATCCTCCTAAATCCCAAATTGCATTTTCAGAACACGATGTTCACCTGGGAGCACCTGACCTTCAGAATGAAACACTCTGATTACCAATTCAGCTCACTCACGGTGCATCTTTGCAAACTCAGTCAGGAGTATGCTCAAATCAGCCTCTTTATCGGATGTTTATACATGAGTGTGCATGTTGTTTTATTTTCTTCTATTTTATGAGATTGACTTGTTATGTGCTCTGACCCTAGATTGTGTGAACTCTCATGGGCCATGTAGGCTGGGTATATTAATATGTGTTTATGAAATGTTACGTTTATGATGTTTTTTTTTTAATCTAAAAAGATTCAAGATAATCAAATACCAGCACATAGTGATATTAAGTGGGTTGTACGATGACTGAACATTAAGTTATTAGAAATGAATTAACATGTCCCACCAAATATCGGACATCAAAAAGGAAGTTCTGCACCGAAATCAGGTGCATCACTTTTATTCTGCACCTGAATTCAACGGCATCAAGTTGTCATAATGAGTCTGGAAACCCAATTTCAGAGTTGATTATCATCTTTCGTCCTGACCCTGTTCTCTCATTTCCAGTGGATTTCAAGGGGGCTTCATTTGCATGCTGGAGGATAAAATTTTGATGACAATTTGTCAGGCGGACAGACATTTTTTGGTCTTTTAGGGTATTCAGAGGGTGATATTTGGCAATAGAATGGTAGTAAGCCCCAGATTATTATTCTGGTAGTAAACAGAGCATTTAACGTTTTTCCACATAGGAATATAATTACTAATTGTACAAACCCTTTAACATTTATTCGTGTTTCATGTGAGGTAGACATCTACATGTTTTGACCTCAGACCTGGAAACTTCAGGGTCTTGATATTCCCCAGTATCACCACTAGATGGTGTGGTAATCTCTTTAAAAAACTGAGGTTCATTTACAATCAAGAGACTCTCTGGGTTTTGAGGAGTGATTAAATCACCTTGGGTTCTTGTGGAAAATTTAGAACCAAATAAGATGAGTGATCAACTTTACGCTGATTGGGATTGAGTCCTGCGTCTTAAAATTTGATCTTCATTGTTTTTAAAGTATATTAATCATTTGTGTTAGGATACACCATGCAGAATTTCAGACTTATTTGACCATTTATGCAGTTGCAGCACCCTAATATTTGCAATTACATCATTTCGCCAGAAACTTTTCCCAAAAATAAGTTTTTTTGGCCTCTGGGGCAACGGGGCTGAGTTGGGGGCAGTCAGTATGAACTTGTTATGGCCCAAGGTATAGGATAACAAGAAATAATAGTGAAAAAATGTAGCAAAAAAACGTGTGTGGCGTGTACCTGGCTCCCGGCCTAACACTACATGCATCCCAAATCTCTTCAATGAGATTTCCTGTCTTTTTTCCCCAAATCTTCATTCCTCTATATCTGTGCATGTGTCTTTGATGGGCAGGACTCAGATCCAAGTAAAAGTATAGCTGAAGGAAAATAAGACTTAGCCCTTCACCTTTAACTCCTCTCCAGGTGGACCCACAGGCGAGTGAAGCTCCGTTTGTTAAGATGGTGGTATCAGGTAAAGCTGGAGAAAAGTTTTCTTAGAGGCAGAGCTCCAGTTGTTTAATAGATACAAATATTTTAACCACAAATGAAAAGAAACAAACAAACAGCAAACCTTTTCAGTGTTGAACATCAAAGTTTATTTTAGTGTGTTTTTGGAAGTAAGCTCAGATGACTCCCTCACCTGCTGGTGGACTCAGTCAGTATTTGCTGTGTTATAATGAGCAGATTAAATCAGGGCTGAGGTGGTGACAGGGCTCCAGGGAGCACATAAGGCCCCGCTCTGGTGATCCACTCCAGAAGAGGAGCTCACATGTATTCCCCCCTGAAGTCCTGATTACTATCAGGTTACAGCGTCCATGACAACAGCCTGCAGCTCCCGGCAACAGGACGACAAAGTGCAGAGAAAGTCTCCTCTCTGTATGACCTCTTTCCTCTAAGTACTCTGTATAATCATAGCTTTACCACTCACTGTTCTGAGTGATGACTGTAAATGAAGACAGGTGACGACTCAGCCTCCTCCTGCTAAACACAAATGAAGCCAGACTTGGTTCTTGTCCCCGATGATGCTTTCATTTAGACTAGAGACCTGCCACCCCCCTCTGTTAGTCACCAGACTTTTAGTCTTATTAGTAAAACTAGCTCCAAGTTAAGGCTGAAACAAACTCAGATTTCACTTCGCACTTTATTGCCAAATAATTCAAAATTTTGATGTCATGGAAAAGTGGAAAAAAAAAAGGTTGTCAGTCAAATTAATATTATTACTACTACTCCAACTACTACTACTACTACTACTACTAATAATAATAATAATAATTATAATAATAATTTTATTCGTTAAGCACTTTTAAAAACAGAAGCTAACAAAGTGCTTTGACATGTAGTCATAGAGCACATGGAAAAAGACAGATAAAAACAAAAAGCTCAGTAAAAACGGAACTGAAGGCCATTTTTATGTCATAAGGAACCCAGACAATACAAGAACCAGGCAACATAAAATGAGACCATGAGGACCAAAATAAAAACAAAAAATAGATAAGAAAAAAGAAAATGCAATTAAAAGGGGGGTCGAAAGCGGAAACAGGATAGTAAATTTAAAAGACAATTTTAACAATGATAATAAAATAATAACAGGTAATCTTGATAAGAAAAGTAATGATAGAATAGAGCAACAGAAATGAGCAGGAGATAAAACAATAAAAGGCCTAAAAGGTTAATTAAGAAGAGAGTACAAGTATAACAAAAGACAGTAAGGCCGAAATAAGATAGAGGCAAAAGAGATAAGAGATGACAGATAAAAGATAAAAGACAGCATCACATAAAAGCAAGTCTGTAAAAGTGAGTTTTTAAATTTTATAAGTGCCTTTCTAAATCAAGTAAAGAGTGACAAGTGACACCAAGAAGGACCTTCATGGTGTGTTCTCTGATAAAAGGACTCCAAGCAGAGATCTCCGCGGTGTTTCCTACACTACAGGGACATCAACCATAAATGGGTTTTCTCCACTGAATTAGCCCTTCAGTCGCTCTTTGTTGTGTTATTCCCTCTGACTGGCACCCTAAGGCACTGGAATGAGTTTTCTCTATTGATAGGTCACACTTTAACGTTATACTGGGTTTTCTCCTCTAGAGGACACCCAAAACTACTTTGATACCTCCAGTCCCCTGAAAGGATGCAATCCAGAGCACCTTTATCATGTTTTCTCTGCTGAGAAAATCCTCCACAATACCTAATTCTTTCACAATGCAGGTGCACTGGTCGGCTCATAAATGTGTTTTCTCCGCTGTGTGGTTAGTTAACAGGACAGTTTCTCAATCTTGCATTTCAAGTCCTTTTATTTTGTCCACTGAGGAGAACTTTACAGAACACCATCACCTTTTCTCCATGGTAGGTTCCCTGGAGAGCGTGATGTTTCCTCTGAAAAGTCAATCTACGAGAAAGGGTATCACCTTTTCTCTGCTGTAGAGGAACTTTTCGCTGTTTTCAGGACATCTACAAACACCTGATCCCAAAACCAAGGAGACGACAGTGATAAGAGAACATGCTGCTAATTTACTGTCACTGTAAAAACTGCTGTCATCTAACAACAGTGTTTGATTTTGTGTTTTTAATCATTTTTTTCCCCCTCCGGCCGTGTGAGGATCAGCGTCTCTGTGTTCACAAAAAGCCCTTTAAACTGCTGCTTTGTTTTCCATGAATCCTCTGACCTCTGTGGAGTGAAAAAAAATCAACAGCAGGAGGTAAAGTGGGCGTTCAAACACTCATCATCATAACTGCATTGTTACACTCAGGATTGAGAGATAACCTTTGTTTTGTATTGATCTAGACAACGAACAATGGCTCTTTAGAAAACACTCCTCACATTGTTTCACTCAGGCTTCTCTTTAATAGGATTTGGGACATTTAATCAGTATTTTTGGCTTATATGTGTGTGTGTTTGTGTGTGTGCCTGTGTGCCCATGTGTGTGTGAACTAATTAGGACCAGCAATTACCCCAAACCATGGCTGCGTCTCCCGCTGAAGGGGGGGTCGAGTGGGGGTTCTGGGGTGGGTGCAACAATAGCAGACTGTCAGAGCCAACGCTGCCATGCATGACAGATGTATGTGGACACGCAAGACAAAAGCATGGCTGGCCGAGCATGTGTGTGTGTGTATGTGTGTGTGATTTGGGAGGGGTCAGCTTGAGATGGAGATGGAGAATGAGAGGAGGAGCGCTGCTGGCAGCTCAGGCATCGTTCCATGGCACCAGCAGCTCCCAGAAGCCCCTGCTGCCTCAGCCACAACCACCACCCCAGAGCTGTCAATCTCCCAGAAGCCCCTGCTGCAGTGCCTTTGGTCCAGTCTGCTAATAGAGGGACCGCTCTGCTCATCACTACATCATCAGCATAACCAGACACTTGCTTTAATGAGTACAGTAATGTAATATACTGCCCTGAGGGTGTCTGAATGTAACGTTGTCTTAGACAGGAATTTAAATTCTGACTTAAGTACGAGTCTAAAGATGAAACTATCAGAAAACAGTCCAGCTGAGAACAATATATTCAACATGACTTAAAAACTTTGGATACAGTTAACAACAATATCTTAGTCAGCCCTCCATGGATGTGTCACTCATGTGGCACCCCCCAGGGGTCTATTCTAGGTCCTCTCTCATTCACTATTCACATGCGTCCCCAGGGACAAATCCTGTGTAGGTATGGTATAGACCTTCACAGCTATGCAGATGACACTCAGCTCTATGCGCTGTTAAAACCAGGCACCACTAATGTGTCTAACATCCTGTCCAGTCTGACTGAATTTACAAGTTATTGTCATTTCCAGCTTCATTGATAATCTGTCCCTCAGTCTGGGTGCCTTCATAAGAACATTTGCAAAGAGACCCACGAACTCAAGGAGTCGTTTTTGACTCTGACTTTTCACCTAGTTACCCAGATAACCAGAGTTATTCAGTCCAGCTTTGCTAGGCTGAGACAGTTGACTAAAATCAGCTTTTTCTCTCCTCCTGACATTGAAAAAGTCATCTGTGTGTAACACAGTCAGAAATATCCCTCATATAAAACCTGTTAAATTGTATTTGTATTACTTTAATGCCACCTGGGGGCGGCACAGTGATGTAGCGGTTAGCACTTGCCTCACAGCAAGAAGGTCCTGGGTTTGAATCCGGGTCAGGGCGTTTCTGTGTGGAGTTTGTATGTTCTCCCTGTGTCTGCGTGGGTTCACTCCAGTTTCCTCCCACATCCCAAAAACATGCAGAAGTGGGGTTAGGTTAATCGACCACTTTCAAATTGACCGTAGGTGTGAGTGTGGATGGTTGTTCATCTCTATATGTCAGCCCTGCGATGAACTGGCCACTCGTCCAGCGTGAAGATGCTGGGATAGGCTAAAGTCCCCCCGTAACCCCCAACGGGAATAAGCGTTAGAACATGGATGATGGATGTTGGTGTGTAATACTTCATAACTGTTCCATGGACTTTCAGTAGTGTGCAGTTTTACTTGATTAAAGTTTTTTCTTGTGAAGGACTTTTTCTCTAGTTTTTGAAAATTTCTATATCAGTAAAATCATTTTAATGATCATTATTAAACACTGGATCTTAGAGTCTACAGGAAACAGCCTTTACATGATTTGCATATGGAGGCTAACAAGAGCAGAGCTAGCACCACCAGCTTCAGTCCTCCAAACAGGTTCAAGTCCACACATCTGTGCCAGCCCAGTCCAGTTCTTACTCTTCACTTATACCAGGTCAGTGTTTATTTACACTGGTGAGTAACTTTCATCAAAGATTTTGTTAACAACCTTATTTTAAATAAAGATTAATGTGTGAGGATAAAAACTAAGCTGGTGTAGACTGACACTTTTCTTCAGAGAACAGATATCAAGAGAAAATCTAGTTATTAACAGTCCCAGCTCTCGGACCAGTCCATCTACAGTCTGTGGTTCTGTAAGTTCTGGTCTCAGGTTTCATCTTTGACCTTTCTGACAGCTGAGCAGCGTTTCCCTCCACCTCCAAGAGACTGTTTTTCTCTTTTAATGAGATCATTTTGGTTTGATTCCACTTCATCATAAAAAAAGTTAATGACTGAGGGTGAACCGTGCCAGTACCAGTTAAATTAACAAGCAGCAGCAGCAGGGGGACGAACTCCGGACCAAAGCGCTAATGAGCTTGTTGAACAAAATCCAATCTAATTAGAGACTTTCTGAGTGTGATTCCTGGTTTGGTTGGCAATTTTGTGGGGAAATCAATGACCTATGATGATCACAATTCTTATTTTGGGTCATTTCTACATGTGAAAATAAATCAAAATCCTCTTATTTGCAGCTCAGATTTACACCCACTATGTGTTCAGTGCAAATACAAAGTTTTTTCTGCAGCAACTGGACAAGAGAGAGAACTGGATTAAAGGTTTGGCAACACTTTAGATTAGGGAACAGATTATCATGTAGTATCATATTAGCTCTTCATTACTCAGTATAAAGCACATATAAACACCTCATTCTGCAAGTCCATATAAAGGCTTGATTGACAGTTTTACATCATTAACATCCTGAACACTTCTTCAATGACCATCCTAACATACTCTGTTCAGTAGAGGCTTCTTAATGAGAGAATACCGAATCACAGTCACTCTGCCTTTATAACACTATGAGTATGAAATCTTCGAGTGTAACAAAACACACAGTTACAAGTGAGAATAGAGTCCAGATAACAGATCTGTCTAACTCAGATATGTTACCCTTGGACACACGCACACACGAGCATGAGTGTCGTGCTTGTGTGTTCAGGTGTTTTGTCATAGACGGCACTTAGCAGCATGTTGGAATGACATGTATGAACATGTCAGAGCTGCAGGCAGCTGCATGTGTCAGGCGCCTCATGGGAAAGATGTGTGTTTGAGTGTGTGTTTGTTTCTCGGTGTGAAGTACCGAGGTCCAGCTTGTATTAGTGTGTGTAAAACTGTGAGTGTGTGTACCCAGGAACATTTTTTGTGCAGAAATACAATGAAAAAGGCAAAACTTTGATGTTTAAATGAATCCTTTACTAGAAAAAATTAAATAAATAAAAATTGAGTACTTAAAACCAAAACAGGGCAGCTGTGAAAGTGGAACAATTTCAGAGTAAGAGAGACGCCTTCAAAGAGTGAATAAAAAGAGATTGGGATGGGAAAATGTAAGACTTATTTCCACATTTTCAGGAGGTGCACTGACACTTTTTCAGACTGAGTTTTGATTTTGGAAAGTGACGTTTAGAGTGGGAGAAAATAAACCAGAAAGCTCAAACACTGTTTTAGAAATCCTGAACATGTTTGTTAAATTGTTGTATTTCTACAGCTTGTCGAAAATTTTTGGAAAAGAAGATTTTTATGCAGCAGAAATGATTTTTTGAAGAGATCATATTTTTGGGATTCCTATTGAAAAAAAAAAAAACACAATGACGTTTTTGGAGAGTAAAATGAGTCTAGAAACATGAACATCACTGTGTTATTTATTTGTTAACAATTCTTTAACAAGTTTCACATTCATACTCTCAACAAAGATGGTACAGATGACAGATGCCTCACTCCTCACTACTTTATTTTCCTTTTTTTCCCACCTGTTGCTTTTAGGTCATTCTCAAAGACAGTGAGGATGTAAGTGGTCTCACTCCTCAGTAAATCCACCTCTGCAGAATCATCTGATGACTTTGATGAGTGTGTGCAGTGACCTCACAGATGACTCAGACTTTTTTTAGTCATCGCTGACTGATTTTAGTCAACTACAGACCACCAGAGTTTTCAAAGTGTTAGCATACACTTTGGACAAATCCTTCCAAGAGAATCCATGTTTGTTGGCAGACCAATGATTTGATTTGATGAAACCTTGTGTCACAGGACCCGAGACCCAAGCTCAAACATCTGTGGTTGTCATTTTTGGTAAAGGATTTTGATCTTGACTCGAAACATTCCCTGATTCTGAATTTTAGGCAGCTGCAGATTGTGAAGAGGTTCTGGAGCTGCTGGATGGATCTCTGCTCTGATTAAAGACCAGGATTAAGGAGCGCTGACCTTTTGTTATCATGGATTCATCCTTCACGCCGTCTAAAATCAATATCTGGCTCTGTGGGCTCTCACACATCCATCTCCTCTCACAGATCAATCCCCCACAATCCTCTGCAGCCCTCAGCAGGAGCACCGGGGGCTTTTAGGGTGAAATTAGACTGTAGTGCTTCTGCCTCTGCTGCCGGTTCAGAGGAAGTAATATGTCGACTTCAGGGCTCTCTCATCACGCCAAAATTGCTGTTCGTATTGATGCCACTATTAGCGCTCCCCTCTCTGCAGAGACTTCAGCCATTAGAGCCTGAAATGGGCAGCACAGGATGATGCTGAGAGGGAGAGATTGGCTTCATTATAGAGCTGCTGTGAGTCTGTCAGGGCTCGCTGAGGTTCAACCTGCTCAGCTACAGGTGAACAGGTGAGGAGGGGAACAGAGAGAGAGAGAGAGATTTCAATCATAACTTTTTTTTGTCTCTCTCACAGAAAGAACAGTTTCACTGAGCACTTCTAAAAAACATAATATTCATTTTTCTCTGCTGTGTTTAGATAAATAATGTTCACTTCAATACACAGCTCCATACAGGAAATCCTACATAAAAAATACACATTTATGTATTCAGCACACCTCCAAAACACAGGTTATCATCTGCCACATTATATAAGTAACTCCAGTAGCACCATATGTTTCTACAGTTCAGCTCTCCTGATGTTTCATAAACGTTAAAATCCAGGTAGCTCCTGGACCTGATGAGTCCCAGACAGACAGGAACAGGAGACATGGTCTTCTCTCCCCCTACCTTCCTCATCTGTCTCATCCACACTGCCAGGCCCAGCACAAAGTTTAAAAGCCGACTCTTGTCCTTCTTCTAAAACTCAGTAAAAGCAGTAAAAACACTTTTTAGAAACAGAATCAGTACAGGCAAATGGTGAGATTTAGTAAAACAGTGAAAAACTGTCCTCAGTCTTCAGTATCAGGGTTCATGATTACAGAGATAAAAGACTTCACTGCTACAACTCTATGAGGGATCCTCCATTGTAAATCACCATGTCTCTTTAACAGGGGAGGTTTATAAAGAGACCTCCATGCTGGTCATTGAACCTCATTTGTGGATGCAGTGATAAACTGTTTTCACAGACAATGGTTTTTGGGAGTGATTTAAAGCCCATGCAGTGATTTCCACTACAGAGTCCGACATAGTTATCTGTGTCTCAGAGAGAAATGTTGATACTTTTCCAAAACTAAGATCTGAAAATAACCTCTTAAAGGATAAATGAACATAGAGACATATTTCTCTGTGTTGCGTTTAAGTAACACATTAAATATGGAGCATTGTTCTTTTGCTTTAGCCCTCATATTTCTCAGACTGACTTTGTCCTAAAGAGATTGGACACAAGAAAGCTGTATGTCAACCTTCCTCCTGTGTTAGCTTTTACTACGCTCCCAGCATGTTAAGGGTCGGTTTTGACCCCTGTCTTAAATTAGCTGTAAATTAGACTGGAAACAATTCTCTATCATTCAGTTTGGTTCTCATCTCTAGGTTACCTTGTTAGGCTTCATTACCCAGGAAAAGAATTGCTTATAACAGTTTTTGTTGTGAGCCTCTGGGCCTTTCTTTGTCAGGATACCCCTCATACAGACATCTATACTGAACTGATCTCACATGTCTGGACATGCCCGATTTTTTGTGCAGGGGAAAACACGGCAAAATGAGAATTTCCTAAATCTCAAATGATTGGAAGAGGATCTGACTGTCAGTGTGGGGCCTGACAGTGCACTTATGATTTCAGTTTTTGCTCTAATTATTAGATATTAATCTGACAGGGTTAACAGCGACCCTAACACAACAAGAGTGTTTTATAATTTTGTCAATTTAATTTTTTTAATTTTTGTTGTTTTGAAATAGAGGTTCCTGACAAAGTCAAAAAGTGTAGATTCAAAAAAACTAATTTAAGTGGTTCTTTAAGCATTTAAAAATCAAAAACGGGTCAATGAAGACCCTAACACCGGAAGAGGGTTAAAAATTGTGTGAGGTTAAAGAGGTGTGTCAAAGTGTCTCACAAGTTTTCACTCTGAAATGTCTAGAGCTGCTCTAAATGCCCCGCCCATACCCTCAGACCAGCATTGTTTGAATTCAGATATTTATAACCTGGTCTGACAGATCAGGGGTCAGAAATCACAAATCAAACGAGTTTGACCTTCAAAGAAAAAACTTTATGAGACATATAGACTGAAAATAAAACTTTGGCAGCAGCTGAAAGTGTAATTTCAACTTTAGATTAAAACAAAGACTGGTGCAGAGAGAAAACTGAAAAATCAGTTTTAATCTGCAGCTGATGTCAGCGGCTCTGTGTGATTTTGGTAAACCACTTTGTATCTTTACTTTTACATGCAGTAACTTAATAGGCTTCGCTGCTTTTTGTTTTTACCATTTTTGCTTCAGACTAGACTACATTCATCATCTGACCTCATTCATTATATGTAGTCTGAAAACACCAGGTTAACATTATTATTTAACTCTGCGATCAAGCACAGTCCTCCAGACCATCTCATGTGAAAATGACCTTCATCAGAGAATATTCCACTGCCTGATTCAATGAGTTCCTCTTATTTTACCGTACCATAACTGTAAAACAGTCTGAATCTATCCAGGTCACAACAAGTTTTATCTACGGCTAATAGAGTCTGAAGGGAGTCTGAAACCTGACCCACATGCCTGCAGTTTGAGGGTCTGCAGTGTGCAGTAATGAGTCTGAGGGTTTGGGGGAAACCATGGTTGCTAAATGATGGTAAACGCCCCTCCTTCTGCCCTCTGCTCCCCCTCACCTCCTCTCTCTGCTTTCCCTGCTGCCTGGCTTAAACTAATCCCATTATCAGTGAGGCGGCCTGACGCTGATGTGGCCTGCTAACTGACCAGCTGCTCCGAGTCTGGCCACCACACGCACGCTGCAAAAAGTGTCAGCGGGGCAAAGAGGCAAGACCTGAGAGTTAAAGTTCAAAGTACAGAAACAAAGATGATTTCACAGAGGGGACTGTTTCATATATTCTCCACAAAACAAGCGTGCGTTTTCTCAGTTATTGAACACGGGGGACTTTATTGAATCAGATTTTTTAAATTTGCTAGAAATAAGGAAACAAAATCATTACCTCAGATGCATTACACTGTACACAGGGCTTGACACCGACATTTTTGAGAGGGAGCACATGTGCCCATAAGTTGAAAAAGTGAGGAGCACACAAAGAACTTTAGGGGCACAATAAAAATTGATTAAATAATGTGTTTCTTATTGGTCGACATAAGTACTATTATTTGAAATCAATTTTAGGTCAATTGGTCACATGACATGTAAGCCTTTTTTGAGAGCATCAACAGGTAATTTATTGACGGTCCCTTATTCAACACCCGCTGATGACACCAAGCTGCTGTTGCTATTCCTGGTTACAGAGAGTGTGAAGACACCGGTTGATCCGCAGTGAATGTCTGTTGGATATCCAACCTAAAACTAACTTCACCACGCTATTTACATGAAAAGACATTTGTTGCCTCGGCTAATTTTTTTATGCGCACATGTGCCCCTAAATACATTTTACAATTAGCACACAACTATTTTTGGTCGCAAGTGAAAGTGAAACAGTCACACTATGGAGCCCTGGTACAGCTTCAAGTAATTATTGCAAAAAGTACGAATGCTTCAGGGCCTGTGTCCACTGACAGCGTTTGCTGTGCCTTTTCAGCTTTGCCAGCACACAGCATCTATAAGGCAGAAAAAAACAACCTCAATATTTCTTGTTGTTCAAAACCTTCATCAGTGTCATCTCTGCCTCATTGAGAAATCAAAGTCAAGAAGGGGCAGGGCGTTTGACTAACTTTGTCAATAACAATAGTGGAGGTCCAGACTAAGAGATAGAAAGAAGAGAAGAGAAAGTGACCATTTTCATATTTTCAAAGGTTGAAATTTCCAGGTCTGGAGAGACTGCAAATGCTACAGCACAATTTCTATCAATTGGTATTACCATAAATCCTCTAATATAGGCCTCTAATTTATTTGCTTTCACTGCCTGAGGTACCAGGCCTTTAAATGAAGCAGGTTTGTATTAGAGACGGGCCTTTCATTCAAACACTCTCCGTCTCAGAGATAAAAATCATTCATATTGAAATACAAAGTGAGGGCCTGATTCACTTAACCAGCAGAAAAGACATGGGTAATTCACTAAACAAAAAGGCCCACAAACTACTGACTAAGTAGTGACTCTGTACACCAGTGATGAATTTGAGCAAATATTAATAATTATGCATTTATTTGGAGCTGCTTTTACTGCAGTTGAATTTGATCAGTCCAGAAATAAATGCAATTTCACACTGTTATGAGCCAAAAAAAAGACTTGATTGAGTAAAAATGAAGTGCAAATTTTTCTTGATTAGTTTCTCAAAATAAATCCGGAAAAAAATTATTAGGAGAAAATTTGTGGCAATGAAGCAAAAACACTCGGTAAGAGAAGGTTTAAGCGATGAATTTTTTGCAGTGTGCTCTGGCTCAAAGACCCTTCAGCCTGCCAGCCCATCAGCTACGGCCCGACTCTCCTGCCTGCTAGCTTGCGTGTTAGCGAGGACAGCATGTGGCGTGGATCCTCGAGGAAAGGCGACGTTGGAGTTCCACAATAATGTCGAGTCACTCTGAGCGTCTCTAATCCAGATTCCCAAACAATGTGAGGCCCCAATGTGGGGTCTGCAGGCAGGTAGGAGGACATTTAACACTCTTTACTTTTCCTGCAGGCCTGTTCGGATTTTTACGATAAAACAGTAATTTTAATGTGTTGTTCAGTTAACTCCATCGTGTGACACCAAACCTGATCAATCTGGATGATTTTGTAATTTATCCACAGCTTTATGTCAGCTTCAAATTTCTTTTCTTTGTGTCGTGTTTCTTAGCTTCACATCAGGAGGAAATAAAATCACTTCTTGGTCGTGTCTCCTCTCTCAGCGGTGATGTCAGCCATCCCGTGGGCTCAGCTCTAAACCAACACTGATTAATAATTTATGGATCATCCCATTATGCCACTTTACACAGTTCAAAGGCTGCACATTTGCATCCCAATTTGTTCAGTGTGCTCCGAAGACACGCTCAGCCTCTTTGCATCACTATTTCTCTTAGAAATGGAATTTGGGACGCTCTGTCCTCACATCAGCGGATAAAGAAGATTAAAGTGCGGCATTCTGTGCTCCCTCCTCCTCCTCCTCCTCCTCCTCCTCCTCCTCCTCCATCTCCAGCTCAGCCTCCAGGCTTTGATGTGACTTGAGATGCTCCTGAGGAGGGACGACATTAAAAAAATACAGTCTGGTTGCATCCAGAGAGAGAGCTGGACATGCAGACATACAGTTTGAAAATCACATAAAAAAGGGGGGTCAGTGCTGGGAAAATTTTAACTCTCTATCTTCTCTCTGCTGTTTAGCCACATAATACAATAACACATCCAATTTTAATTACTCAGCAGTATCTGCAGGTAGAATCAAGAAACCCCTACAACCTCTCGAACCTGACCAACAGTCTGATATCTTAGACTGGATGGCAGCACTTTTTTAAGAGTAAAACCTGGGAGTCACACCCTCTTCAGAAACATGAACAGTTATCAGGACATGCTATTACAATCTCAGAAATATAATTCAAAAACTAAACTCAAGAAATTACCAGCTTTAATAAAAGCTTTAAAAATAGGTGCATCTATCATCCAGTCATGGAAATATTTAGTTTTTATGTATTATTCTGACTGAACGATTACATTAAATCAACAAATAGAATTTGATTTTAATTTATTAAAACATACTGACAGCAGATAAAAGCTGCACCTATGAAGAGTCACGTTTTCTTTTCGGCAACATCAACTCTTTGATTTATCGAGCCTGATGTTTAAATATGAACTCTATAATTAATTGAGGATGTCCAAAGGAACAACCAAACAGGTGAAGAGTTGTTAAAGGTGAGTCCTGATATCCAGGCCCATTTAAGGTGGACTGATGGGAAGAGGAAAACTATCCTGCAGTCTGACATTCTTTTGGAAATCATGGACTCTGCATCCTCCTCCCTAAAGAGGAGAAGGACCACCCGGCTTGCTCACAGCTCCCAGTTGAAATCCAGCATCCCTGATGGTACGGTGATTTTCAGAGTCCACGTCATAGATATCTTCCACATCTGTGAAGGCTCCATTAATGCTGAACAATATCTACAGGTTTAGGAGTTACATATATACTAGTACAGTGCAGATTCTTCAAATACAAAGGAAATCAAAAGTAGGCGTAAAAGAGCCAAAGTCCAAAGCTTGTGGTTTTAGTTTTTTTGGGCCTAAAGAAAGTGTGTACAGGCCCTCATTAATCCTTTCAGTGTAAACAGAAGTCTCTTTTTTTAAGTGGGCGAAAGAATAAATGTTAAAGGACAAAACTTTCTTCAGCTCCGAGAAGATCGATGTAAAGAACAAAGCAACAGGAGGTAAAGCGCAGCGTTAACATCCTGCTGAAAGAGGCCTCGCTGCATTAAATGTCAGCGCATACATCTGCTTTCTGTGCTTACAAATGACTATTGATTGTGCTCCTGACACGCTCGGCCTCCGCTCCTTTATTTACACGGTTTGGTTTTCAGGCTGGTTTTAGTGCGATAACGCTTCGAGCTGCTGCGACGGCAAACAAAAGACGCTATTGCCGCTTGCCGCTGCTGGCTCGCCACTTGTTTTTGTGAATCCCTCCACATCGGCGGTATCCAGGCAGATATGTACAGTCTGCCTGCCCGTCTCATTTCAATTGGCCTCCATCTGTTTTGTCTATCCATGAAAAGGTCTATTATGATCCTCTGCTCTTTGTACAAATGGACTACTAAGCGGATAGGAGCCCAAACCTACCCCCTCCTCGCTGAAAGATTCCAAGGAGCTCGTCCTGCTCTGCTTTAATTACCCGAGCCGGCGCAGGGGCCGTAATTTTAACGAGTTTTAAAACGCTCTGTCTCCACATTCTCTGCAGAAAGAAGAAGCAGAAAAGGAGGGGAGTGTGCAGGGGGGCCAGTGGGCTCTTTATTAACCCTACAGTGACTAGCTAATGTGATTGAAGTGGAACCACCTGGCGGGGGGAACTGTATCGTCAGCTGCCAGTGAAGGCCGGCGAGCGGGGAGGACCAGGTGCTGCGCTCCAGCCTCTTTAATTGTAGCCGTGTAATAGCTTGCTTCAGTGCACAGTACAGCTTGGGGCTAGGATTAAAAAAAGCTGTTGCTGCTAGCTAGCACACAGAAGTCCATTTTCTTTCACCGCACCCCCACACACTCAACCCCCCCCTACCAAGAGACAGACAGACACACACTCCTTCAGTGTAATGAAAGAAAAAGGGACGGCAGAGAGGGAGGAGGGATGAAAGAGGGCCAGAGGAGCTGGTTTACTCGGCTTCATGGCTGGAGGAGGCTATCTGAGGTGAACAGCCATCGTGTCCAAAGGTCTGGCTGAGACTTTATCTGTCCCTGGGTGACAACAAGGACTAAGAGCTGCAGGGTAGAGCAGAAAATCTGAGTTCTGATGCCAGAAGAGTCCTGAAACACTGAAGTCCAAGGACAACAAATCTCTGTGGTCCTTCAAATACAAACAGCAGAACCATCTGCTGGGGAGGAACAACTCAGTGTTTGATGAATCAGGTTTTTGAGTTCATGATAAAAACTCTTTGAACACAGATTTAAAGAGTTCGCAATTCTTTGAAACTTATGTTTGATTAAAAATCCTCCAAAGACGACGTATCAAATATTATAACTGAATAATTTAATTGTTTTATGAAGCATCCTCAGACCATCAAAACAATGCTGCTTTTCAACTGTGGGCTGATAAGAAAATACTGTAAACTCCATGATTTCCAAAAAGAACGTAAAACAGACTCAGGTCCAGAGAGTTCTCTGTTGTTTCTGTATCCTTGTTCTATCTGGTTTCCTCATGAGATGGTTCAGTTCTTATCTACTTTGTGGATGCAGTAATAAAGTGTGTTAATTCTAAATCCATGCAGTGATTTCCACTCCAGAGTCCTGTCTGTCACTTTCTGGATAATGATGATGATGATATATTTTTTGATCTTTTGGGTAACACTTTACTTGACGCCTATCTCTATAACGCATTATAAATAGATATATAATGTGTTATAATCAAGTTATAGCACTGTATAACTGTAGTTATAAACACTCATGAATGATCATAATAGCAATGATCATAACACATTATAAAGCATTTTATCATGACTTACAAGGTCAGGAATTATAATGTGCTATGCTTATTGTTATAAAGCGTTATGATAATTAATGAGTGTTTACAATGATAGTTATACTAGTTTATACGAAAATTATAACACATCATAAACATATGTATAATGCATTATCTATGTGGGCATTGACAGTGAGTTATTAACAGTTATAACACATTATTAAGTGTTACCATATTCTGTACTGTAGATGATTAAATCTACGCATTCTTTCACATTTGACACTCAGGAACATTATTCTGAGACTTTTCGACTATGAGCTCACACAGTCTCTCACAGAGTGGTGAACCTCCTCCCATCTTTCCTCCTGAGAGACTCAGCCTCTCTGAACGTCCTTTTTATGTTTCTAACTTGTTGGAAATTAACCTCTTTAGGGGAGAGGGGAAGAGATCCTTTTTACTCATGTTGTTAAAAGACTTTTGAATAGATGAATAAAAACAATACTCCCTCATGCACTGTGGACCTTAGACCGGTCCTGCGCTCCTGTCTCTCCCCCTCCTCCTCAGACACACCTGGTGTGGACCTGCACTCTGAGTGCACTTTTCTTGCTGCAGCTCAGCTCCAGTTGGAGTGGTAGTACTCTCACAGGCTGCAGATGTAACATCATCTTCCTGAGTGTGACTGTGGTCACAGATGGATCAGTGAGAGGAGGCTGAGTGCTGCTGCGTTCAGGGACCCCTCAGCCTCCCTGCTGCTCTGGCTGCCAGGTAACCGTCCACTGGGCCTGGCTGACCTGAACTCCTGAGGGACCTCGAGCCCGAGAGGAGCAGCAGAAGGATTATTGTACTTAGAGAGAGCAAAACAACAGAGTGAATGCAGCAGGGACGTCAGCTTTTAGCTGTGAGAGCAGATGAGTAATGCTGTCTGCAGAAAACTTCTCTGATAAGACGTATATGTAAAATAAGACGTGTACACTTAGACGAAAATCTAATCATAAATGTTTTTATTATGAATGTAAAGCCTCTTTACGTGTCTGCATGTTACTGAGTCCATTCTTAAGGAAGTTTTTCAGGGTAACCAGCTCAGCTTGGTTTTATCCGGTTTTATGAATGGTTGTTGTTTGCACTATTTTTAAGGCCCACCTGGGATATGCACTGCAAATCAGTGAAGGCTATAAATGCAGCAAAGTGCGGTATTGGTGCACTAGTGTGGTTCTTGTCCCTACATAAATAAACTCAAGACAAAGACATGAAAAACTGAGTCAGAAGGCCAGTGTTGAATCGGGTTAATCTCTGGTGGCCGATATAAAACCAGGCTCCCAGTTGACTGTTGTGTAAAGATGCTTTATGAGATCAAACTGGGGAGTCAAGGGACCTCCCTATAAAACTCTGTAGGCCAAAGTGAACCAAATCTGACTCAGTTCTAATTTCTTAATGAAAGTATAAACAGCACCAGCACATGGACTCCAATCTCATCAAACAGATTTCAACCATGTTTATACCTGGTCCTGAACCAGACACAGGTTCACCTGTTACTGAGACGAGGTGACCCCTGAATCCATCCTGACCCAGGGCCTGGGACACCTGACCTGGTCGTCTCCTCCTGTAGCTGGGCCAGGTTACAACACAAGTTGTGGTCTTAGCTCATCTTTTACTCTTATTTTTGTCCCGTTCTTCATGCATGAAGTTCTTGACAGAGAACTGGCATCAAATGTCAGTGAACCCTGGATGGAGCAGAGTGCACCTTACTCAGAGATGTAGTTGAAATGAAGCAGAAACTCTAAAAGCTTCACTGTTTCTGTAAGACATCGCCACATATTTAAAGCACTCTTTCAACACGTCACTAAGGAGAGTTTAACAAGTGATTTATTTCCTCAACTGCTGTAGGACTCACACGAAGGTTTAAACAGAGGACTAATTCTGTCTCTCAGTTGTATCTGAGCCTGTTTTACTGATGGATGAACGGAGAGTTGCAGCTTTAATACTCCTGAGCCTGCTTCATCCTGCCGGTGCTCAGCTGCCTTTGAGGGCGTGTATCTATAAAACGTCTCAGGGAGCCGTCTCTCCATTTGACAGCCCGATGGGAGAACAAAGGCTCAGCGCTAATGCAGCACGGATCAACCACCCGCTTCTCTATCCAGCAAGGTGCCAAGATGCACTCGCTTTTAGAGCTACGATGCTGCGACGGCGGCCACCGGGGAGCGTCTTCAAAGCCTAATGCAAAGTGAGTCATCCTCCGCCCGGCTCATGTTAAGTCCCCCTTCAATTCGGCCTCCTTTGGTTAATTATTTGCTATTGTGTTTTTCCCATCTGAGCCTGTGTCAACAATCAAAAAATTAGTGGGAGAATGGCGGTTTGAAGACTGAGGGAGAAAAACAGGCTGGAGAAATGCAGGGCGGAGCTGGGGGCTGTGCAGCCATCTGTGACCCCTGCCCCCCCACCAGAAACACCAACGACCAGCAGGTCCCATGTGGGCTGGCGGGTTCTGGCGGGTGTCATCCTCTTGTTGCTGTTTAGTTGTTGTTATTTATTAACAGAAGCAGGCGGAGGAGATGATGAGGCCGAGAGCTTTGCCTCAGGTGCCAGTGAAGGAGGAAGCTTTTTTTGGGAGGGGGCTAATGGTGGAGTTTGGCACCAATATGGCGTCCAGCAGAGAGTCGGTCCAGCCAGAGGACAGAGGGAGAGCGAGGCAGGGCCATCTGTGGGACAGACATGGTAGACGGGTCTCAAATGGTGCCAAGAAGAGATGGCCGAGGAGGATTTTTATCCTAGCATGGTCTATGGTAAACCGACTGCTCTGAGGGGTGGAGGCAACAAAGTGTTCTCCATCTCGTGTTTTCTTCATTTGGCCCCAAAATCATGACCAAAGTTATCTTGGGACAGAAGGGGACCCAGACCAGAGTCTTTTTATCTGATTTTAGGAAACCCACCATGACTGTCTCCACACACCAAGCGTGAGTAAAATCATTTGCGCGAATGAATGACATGATAAGTCAACGCAAAGATGCGATTAGACGTTCGTACTTTCTGGCAGCGTGAATGACGTGGATTGAGCAGGAGCTGAAACTTTCTCAACTTGAGCTGATATCTGCGTCACGATAATCAATCAGCACGAAGGTTGCCAGGTGATGTATGAAAACAGATGGTTGGTCACTGGTATCTACAATGGAAGACAAACTGATTGCGCCGATGTGTGGGTGCCCCCAATTATATGATACCTTTTCTTTCCATTACTGAAACCGGAATAAAAAGGAGCTCGCCAGGAGGCAAGTGAGTGAGGAGGTCGGATTACCTGATTAAGTTGTAAAAAACTTTGTCGATCACTTGATCCCGCTAGTTGAATTGGCATGGTTGATTACCATTGAAATTACTGTTGACGCATTTAGATTTGCACAAATTATGCGAGTAGATGATTTTACCCGCGCTTGGTGTGAGCAGCCCATGAGTCCACCACAAACAAGCCTTTCATAAGTATGGCAAGAAGAAAAAAAAAATTAATAGGTAGCCATATCAAGCAGAACCCGATTCATCTGAACGAGCAGGTCTTCTGCCCCCTGTTAAAAAAATCCTGTCCCCAATCCTCCAAAATGTAAGACTGTCACAGTGAGATGTCCAAGTTGGACCAACATTAAAGTTTGATTGGCCTACCTCAGCCACACCCACTGACACTCAAACAACAAATCCTGTGATAACTTTAATCTGGTCACATTGTGTGTCACTGAAAAGTTGTGGGACAAGTCCATTCAAATCTGCCTTAAATCAGGTGAACAATAATTAAATTCTTAGTAGTGGACTCACTGTTGAGTCCAAATGAATATTTTGTAGGTCTTAGCATGATACATACCCCGAGCAAAAATCATCTGTGTTAGTTAAACTGTGTGGCAAAGATGAAGGTCCGAACACAGGAAAAGTGACGGGGACGCTGCAAGAACTTTTTCTCAAAAGCTAAGAAATATAAAACTATGTCTGATGCATGCAAATAGTGAATTTAGGGGCATGCTAAGGCCTAAATATGCAATGACTGAGGAAGGAAGGAAGGAAAAACGAATGATCCCTTGGGTTCCATCCGAGCTTTCAAAATTTTCAGTGCTTGAGCTCTTAGTTTCAAAGTTAAAAAAGTTATCATTAAATGAGCATAAAACTAAATGAATGATGTTGGGTGGAGTCAGTGTTCATTCAAACTAAGATTAAATGGTTTAAAAACAGTATCTGAATTAAATTTCTTGGAGTTACTGAAGACTATGAACCCTGTCAGAGGCTGGACACTGGATACATAAAATAAAAACTATCTAGAAGCAACCTTTTCAAAATAAAAGATCTGTTGGGTAAGAAATGTGTACATATAAAGTACTGTTCATTTTTTATGACTTGTGCTGCTGACCTCTTGGCCAGGTCACCCAGGTAAAAGAGATCTTAATGTCACTGGGTTTTATCTGGTTAATTAAGGTACAATAAAACTAAATAAAATTAGGCTATGAATAGGGGATGGTGAATAAATGAATATCGATCCTTTTAACAAACTCCAGAAAAAAGAATAAGGAGAAAAGGTCCAAACTGACACCACAGACTGAAATCCTCAGGCATATCTGTGGTTCGGCCTCCAGCTCTGCAAGCAGCATCCTGGGAAATATGTAGTTTCAATAAAGTGTTCAGAAATATGCTACCTGTCTCTTTCCTTTTCAGAGCAGACCATAATCTCACCCTGGCCTCCCACAAACCTGCTCCGGTTTTGCTGACATGATCACAGTCTCCGTAAAAGTTCTGTACTCACCGGTATTGTATCGTCAGAAAACAAATAAAAGACTTGAGTGAATAAAATGGAGACGATCCCTCTCAAAAACAAACCCAAAGCTTTGTCCCTGCACAAACAGCCCTGAGCAGCAGCAGCAGAGGCTCCAGGAGAGCAGGATGCTGATGTAGAGTGAGAGAATGTCCCTGAGGTTCAATTACTGAGCCTCCACAGGTCGTCTCAGCCTTCATTAGCTGCCTGCTGGAGCAGACACTCCTTCCTGGGCTCGCTGTGGTGGTTGTATTGTGCTGAACCTCGGGGAGAAGCCTCTCTCCGCTCTCTAATGATCACACAAACAGCTTTCTCAGAACTCAGGGCTCTGCTGTGTGCTGTTATGTGCTTTGTTAATACAGCGGGGAGGGTCTCGTCAGCCACCTCGGAGTCTCCCGCCGCCTCGGCACGCTCTGTTCCTGCCGCTCCCACCTGAACGGTTAACTAGACGCCCGGGTGTTGGCATGCCCAGACAGGGTGGAGGCTGATCAGAGCTCTGCAGGAGGAGGGGGGTCATGTGGACCAAAGATTTCTCCATGTTTCTGAAAATAAGTGCGGCGTTTGATCAACATGACAACTCTGAGATATTCATCAGGTGTACTTTGCTTTGCTACTCTTTAGTGTAACTGCTGACAACACTGCCACTCTGACTCTAACTAATGTACCGTTTGAGGTTTCATCAGTGAACCTGATGCTCTTTATTCTATCATTTTTTAAGCAATCTGACGCAAGAATTTCTTTCAGGATTAAAACAAACTCCTCGTCTTACTGAAACTAATCTATGATATCTTTAGAGATCAGATCAAAAAAGCTCCTGATCCCTCTTTTTAGTCTGTTTTCCTTCTGAGGACAAGGGTTTGAGTACCCTCCAGAATCCTGGACATGCTGGGTTCTGGACTGATTGGTTCTGGGTTGCTTGGCTCTTGTTGCGTTCTAGTTGTACTCAGGAGTCGGAATTTCCAAGCTCAGAGTCGGAAATTTATCCGGAACATCCCCTGAAGTTGGATTTCTGGCAATTGGACAATCCTCACCAACCACAACTTGACGACAATGTCATAGTCCAAGATGGCAGCGCAGTGCATTACGTTGTCAAGTCGGGGTTGGTGAGGATTGTCCGACTTCAAGATGAATTTCCAATTCGCAAATTTTCAAGTGCAACTGGAAGGCAGCATTATTTCTCCAGCAGTTTATCTACTCTGTCCTAACCTTAAGCTCAACTCAGGCCTAAAAAAGGCAAGAAGCCTCACTTGGCACGATTCAGTCAAAGGATGTGCTTCACACTTCATGTTGAGTTTCAAACCAATGAAAGCTCGGAACCTTTTTAGATAAAACCTCCACAGGGACTGCCCCTCACATGGGAACCTCCCACACCACTGTGTGCACCAACCCTGACTGTGCAAAATTGAAGAGTCCAGCTCATTGCAGACTCAGTCTTTGTGCTACAAGCGCCAATGGTCTCTTAAGTTAGCTTTGAGATAAAAAAAGTGAAAAAACAAGACGATATTGGCTATTTTTTCATGACACATAAAAATATAGCTTAGTACAAGAGCTGTTTGACAGCACAGACCTTCTTTTTCAAGGTGTCACCATCGCCCAGGTAACAGCAAACACCTGAGCTGGAGGCAATTAAGTTCACAGGTGCAGAAGCAAAAAAACTGGTCCCTAAAGAGCTCAAAAGAAGCAATATAATTTAACCCGCAGGTTCGAGCCACTTTATTTGCTCTTTAGTTTCGTGCGTCTATGTTTTCTTTACCTTACTTTTAAGAGCACACATGCACTGCTACAACCGCACCAACGCTCTACTGGGATTTTAACATATCATGGTGAAGAAGCTAATCAAACTGAAGCTTTGTACTTTTTGTGAAACTCTGAGTAAAACTGAATCTCCTCTGAGGTGAAAATGTTTGATCCTTAGCAGATTGTAGCTGCACTCATTTACAGGTATTTGTTAATTCAAGTGAATAAAGAGTCATTAGATTTTTCCGCCAGTGGGAGCTGGGATACTATTGTCGACATTTTTTCTCTTTGCCTTCATATGGACATTTTGATGAAGATTTGTACATGGAAAAATTTAAGACGATAAAAAGGTGGTGATTAGAACGAAGGAAATAATCCACCAGGGGCATTCTCAAGTGTTTGCACAACAGGTCACACTGCAGGAGCAAATCTGTTTCCTCTTTCAGAAGCAGAAATGTCCTTGAAATTAAAGCAACAAGACATTCCTCTGATGAGTAAAGATGCGGCCGACTCACACTCGACTGCCTCTTGAGCGACGGCTGCTTAATTAGCCCCCATCGACATCGCTGACCTTCCTGTAACATGCTCGAGAGGCCTGCGGTCACGCCGACCCTCCCTCAGAGAGATAATTGGCCTGTAAATATGGAGTCATTCACAGGGGGCTCAGTGAGGTGCTGCTATGGAGGCACAAAGACACACACACACACACAAACACACATGCACTGCAGCAATCAATACACTTGGAGGTCAGAGATCACCTGCAACGATCAAAAACTGTCATTAAAATAAAGTCAACACTCGTCAGCGTAGAGAATGACACACATGTTGTTTTTCTGGAGATACAGAAGCAGGGAAACGAGTCCTAAGCCTGAGGGACACTCTTTAAACCGACTTATTAACACATTGTACTGTATATTCATCATCATGCAAAAGCAGAGAGTTATGAGGGTCACCACTGGTTCCTGTGGGTCCAGAAGGAAACACCCATAATTATTTCCCATTAGAACTTTTATGAGCGATCTTTAAAGGTGTGAAACATCACCAGGACAGATTTAGAGCATGCCAAGAAAAGAGAAGGATCCATAAAAGGTGAAGGTAAAAGTTATCACACCCTGCAGGGCATGGAAGATTCTGGTTCTGTTGGATAAGTACATCCACCATCTTCTCCTCTCAAACCGAGGAGTGAAAGTTTCTGCATCAGTCTCGTCCCAAATGGCTCCAGGCTGGGATAATCTAATTTCCATCTCCATTACCAGAATAAGTGAGCAGATTAAATTTTCATCTGCATGCAGGGTTTAGGAAATTAAGACGCTGCTGTAACAGAGATGAAGCCTGATTGCTGCGTAATGTGATTGTCAGACGCACGTCTCTCATGGATGATGCTCAGTGACGGTGAAAATTGAGATTTTTGTGTGTCTTATATTAAATGTTCTTTAAGAAAACTTGAGAAAAGCTTAAAGTCTGAACCAATCTCTTTCATATCTTATTCATGTTGATATTTCTTCTTATTATTGATGATATGTTGATCAGGGACACATTAAAACGGACCTATTTCAATCATCTCGCATTGTTCATGATTGGTATGAATCATGAATAATTTTTCATTATCTGCATTTAACATCATTTGACATTCAAAGTACTGATGAACTTCTGAGACACTTGAGATTAGCCATCTTTTAAGATCTGTCTTCACAAAAGTCTCGATTTAAAACACATAAATTGATACTTTGCAACGTTAGATAAACCTTGAAAATCTAGTAAGGTGTTAGGAACTTTAAAGCTGGTTAGATCGCTCGATAACCTCCGACCGAGTGTGGGCTAAACAAGGTAGTGGAGCTTCATGACTCAAACACAAGGATTGATTTGTAACCTTCAAAGATAAAATACTGAAACCTAGAAGCTGACATTTTACTGTTGGAGGAAAACAGCTGAGATTGGAGCAGAGTTCCAACTTCAAACTGTGACCCCTGCATATTTCTCTAACCCTACGGGTGATATGATAGAGTAGAAACAAAGGAAAATCTCATTACTGCTTCAAATATTCACAGAGAAAGACAGATTTAAGAGCTCATACTACCAGGCTACAGTCAGGTCATGGAAACAGCTTCAATAAATGAATAAATCTGATCTGATCACTCTTGAATGTTTGAAAGGATGTCAGGTTAAAGTTTAGATCGACTGATTTTCAAAGGAAAGTAAACACAGAAAACAGACGTGCTCCTCCCACTGTTGAATGATTGTAGGGATTACTCATCTGTCAAAGGCTGGAAGACCTCTGTCCTAACATCATCTTTGAGGTCAGAGACTTCTCGTCATGGTCTGCCATCGCAATAATGCTCCAGCCTGCAGCTCCATTAGGCAATGAAACAAGTTGTCTGACTGTGCGGTAGGAGGGGGTTAATCCTCCAGCAGCTCGTCTGTAAAAGGCCTCAGCTGCCACCCAGCAAACCTTTGAAACCTCTGTCTCTTTATGGGGACTTCAGACAGACCTTTCTCCCTGACCCTTATTGATTCAGGTCTGTCCGCGCCCCCTTCAAGTCCCCAACCTTCCACCCACACACCCATATAAACACACACACACACGCACACACATGCTCAGGGTCTGTCTCCAAAGAGCTCAGGCCCTCCAGCTACATCACCAGGGTGCCGTAATGTTTCAATTACTGATGCCTGTCATTGTTCGGGGACCGGATTCATCTGAACAGTCTACCTTTAAAATTATACATATAAGGAGGAAAAAGGGGAGATTTTAGTGCAACAATAACCAATTTAGTCCATCTGTTCAATCCAGGGAGTCAAAATAGACCAAAAACCTCTGCAAACCTATTTGGAAAGAACCATAAGGGCCAGCAAGGGACACAAAACTGTGTGAACAATAACATAAACAGGAAAGCAGAGAATAATTTTAACTTCTTATTTTGATTCTTGATGGCAATGATTCATAGAAAAGGTGAGATTATTTTGGAGTCCATTGAACAAAGGAGTTGGTGCAGCCCTGTGTCCTGAAACCTTTGACACCATTACAATGAAGAAGACCCAGATTTATCTAAAAAAGGTCCTCAGGCAGGGCGGCACAGTGGTGTAGTGGTTAGCACTGTCCCCTCACAGCAAGAAGGTCCTGGGTTCGAATTCGGGTCAGGGCGTTTCTTTGCGGAGCTTGCATGTACTCCCTGTGTCTGCGGGGGTTTACTCCGAGTACTCGCGTTTCCTCCCACATTCCAGAAACATGCAGAAGTTGGGTTAGGTTAATTGGCCAGATTCAAATTGCCCGCAGGTGTGAATATGCGTGTGGATGATTGTTCGTCCCTATATGTCAGCCCTGCGATGAACTGCCGACTTGTCCAGGGTATCCCACTGTCTTCCCGGCCCTGGGAACGGGAATAAGTGGTAGGAAATAGATGGATGGAAGGTCCTCAGGCAGCACTGTGTTAAAAACAGACAGGACTCTATGGTGGAAATCATTGCATGGGCTCAGGAACCATTGTGTCCAAAAATGAGGATCAAATTAAACCATGCTTAGAGGAAACTAGATAGAAACAGGATCCAGAAACACCAGAGACTTTCCTGGACCTGAGCCCATTAAGATGGACTGGCAGGAGAGGAAAACTGTCCTGTGGTCTGATGGATCAAAACCTGACATTCTTTTTGGAAATCATGGACCACCTGGCTTGTTCTCAGCTCCCAATCCAAATCCAGCATCCCTGATGGTACAGGAATCATCTGAATCCATGTCACAGGTAGCTTTCACATCTGTGAAGGCTCCATTAATGCTGGACAATATTTACAGGTTTAGGAACAACATCTGCTGACACCTAAAAAACAACTCTTTCAGGTAGGACCTTCATATTTCAGTAAGACAATCATAAACCACATTCTGCAGGGAATACAACAGCATGGCTCTGTAGTAGAAGAGTCCTGCTGATAAGCTGGTCTGTCTGCAGTCTTGACTAGTCCCCCATCGAAAACATTTGGAGCCTCATGACACCAAAAATTGGACAAAGGAGACCTGTTGATAAGGTGAAATCCTCCATCAGACAAGAATGGGATAATATTTCACTGTCAGACGCAAGAACCTGGTCTGCTGGGTTCACTAAGGTTCACAGAGGGTTTCATAAATCTGTGAAGTTGTTCAGTTTCATGATTTGATATGTTGTATTTGTTTTATTTCTAATTTGATTAAGGTCTTTTATGTTTTTCAAACCAACATCTCCTGTTTTTATAGCAGCATCCAAAGATTCTTGGAAACAGAACAAGCATCGAAACTGCCTAACAGACAAACAAACGGCTTTAAACTCAGCTGGGGGTGAGGGGTCAAAGGTCATAAACAGACATATGAGCAGGTACTTCAGTGATACAGCATCTTGCAGAAGGACACCACAGCATATGAGGACAGAGGGGTATTTTCTATCTGATCTAAACAAAACCTTCACCTGGTCTCCACCTGCGCTGGTCCTCCAGCTGCTTTGTGAAGAGGAATTTTAAACACATGTATGAGAGATGAGAGCTTCTGTGGCGGATCAATACTCATAACTCAGTGTCTGCTTCAGCGGCTCTTTTCTGTGGAGCTGAATGTGAAAGCTCAGTTTCTATGGAGATCAAGGACGCAGGTCAGTTTTAAATCAATTATTGTCCGAACATGCAGGCATTTAGGCGGACTGTTTGGCTAATTGGAGTTTATCTGTTGTTATTTTAAAAACTGGAGGGTTCAATAGAAAAAACAGAGCTTTTTAAACAAAGCTTTCAGGATGACTCACACTGATGTGTTTCAGTTTAATGCCAGCAATCATCTGGTTTTGGAGTGGGCGTCAATTTTCTGAAAATGGCAGTTTGTAAAGTCCTCATTCAGGCTTTTTATATAATTGTCATAAAACGCTGTAACTCTGTATGTGGTTAAAATGAACTGGTGATGCTCTGGTACGACCTCCAGAAGCATCCACAGCAGCCCACAGACCCAAAACAGGACGGGCATACAAGAGAAGAAGAAAAAGTGTTTTCAAACTTTCTGTTACGATCAGATGAAAGTGAGCAGGATCATACCAGTCAGGGGAGGGAAGATGAGGCAGGTATAAAGAGACTTTTAAAGTTGGGGTAAGCAGGAATCCGTTAAAGAAGCATATTTTTTTGTAGTGTATATCCAAAAAAGATTTTATTAGTTATTGATGACATTTGGTAATATAACGATATCGCTGTGTTTTGTAATGTCTGTGTAGTCAACATTTAAAATTTTTAAGCGGCCCGCTTTTTCCGACCATAAACAAAGCCATTCTCCGCCTCCCCCAACCTGATTGGTTGTGAGGCGGACGCTGCTGCGCCGTGTCGTTCACGAGCCCAAACAAAGTTAGCGTTCTACAATATCGGACAGTAGAAACCAACCAGAAAGTAAGGAAAATTGTCTGAATCCTTCTTAAGCCATGACTGCCAACACAAGCAAGAAAACAAAGAAAATCCCGGAGACTCTCGTGGAATAATGGGTGCTTAAAAAGGAGGTAGACCGGACAAGAGCTAAAAAGCCGGGCCAACATAAGTGAAGCATAAACGATTGAGACGCTTCAGGATCTTGCAGACCCTGTAACCTTTCTGCTGGACAGATAAACTGCTTTAACTAAGTAAGACAAGTGTCTGTAACAGAAGTGTTTCTTGTCAAACGGGACCTGCTGCGTGTTGTAGCGCCGCTAAACTGTTTACCTCGGTTCCTGGAGTATGTCACTTTATCCTAGTTGTAGAAGTCCTGCAAGCATTGTGTTTGCTGGTAGTCTGTTGGCATCTACAGTAGCACCAATGTTTTTCACTTTCACGTTGACTGGGCACCATTTGTAATTATCTGAAGTATTTATCTGCATTATATCTGAATTTAATTGGAACGATACGAGCGAGCAGGAGTGTCTGTTTGTGGGTGGGGCTTGCTGAAGCAGAGACGGAGGGGAGAGGAGGAGCTGAGGGGAAAACTGGTTGGGAGGGGTAGTGTTAACATTCATTTTAAAGGATGGATTTTAAAGATGTTGAAACAGAACTGTTGAACTTTTTAATGTGCAATTTAAAGAAAAAATTATGACCAAATGTGGCTACTATAAGGCCAAGGGGCAGAAAACAAAATGGGACCTAAAACTGAGCCTTGTGGTACACCACAGAAATCATTTGAGATGGAGTTATTACCTCTGTGGACCACTGAGGATTGATCTCAGAGGTAATCATGTATGATTTCCAGGAGCTTTATGTGGATCATTTGAGCAGAATAATGAAGACAGTTTCTTCTCTGTTTATGTCTCTGTTGGTTTTATCAGCCGAACTCTCAACCCCCCCACCCCCTACCCCCAGACCGTCTCAGGTGTTCCTCTGCTCGGCCTAGTGAAGTTCTCTTTCACTGATTCGTCATGCCCTGGCCAGGCTGCTGCGACGGCACGTGCCAGCTCACCGAGGAAGGCCCAGACCGGCTCGCCAGACGGACGCTCGGCCCCGACAGCCTGCCCCCTGTCAGTGAGGGGCCCAGGAGCCATCGTCGGCCCTGGCAACCAGTTCAAGACTCCGCCCCCCTATCCTAGGACAAGAATAAGCAGCAGGCTCACCCTCCAAACTGCCTCCTCCTCTCTCTGTAGGCTTTTCATTAGCCGCGGTCATCAGGAGGTTAGGCTGAACAGGGCGTACACACACACACGCACGCACATACTGTCAGTGAGTGTTTAACAATAACATGTCTGTCGCTTTGAATCGAGTTATTAATCAGATATCCTTTATTCAGCCAAAGCACGGTTTGCCGTTTCTGGATAACTTCTGGAGAAGTCGCTGAGTTAACCCTGAAAAAGTCAATTTCTGATTATTTCAATGGATTGTTGAAGACAGTATCAGGCCTTTATGATTCAGGTAATAATTGTCCATTTGAAGGCATCTGATGCTGAAAAAATGTGGATTCAGTGCTGAACTGACTTAGACAGCGTAAGTATTAAAGCAAATCTCAAATGAAATTGTAGCCATTTCCAGAAACTGCAGTTGATTTTTGTCAAATTTTAATCTTCGTGTCCAGATTCAGTTTGAGGGGCTTTAGTCAATGTTTCCCCAGTTTTAGGATCTGCCCTCACTCAACTCTGTTAATGTTTGCTGAGTGACAAATCATAAATTAGATTGAAGGAGGGGGGGTTAGACACGCACCGTATGTTAGCTTAATGACGTTAACGGTCAGTTAATGTAGCACCACACTAGCAGTTGTTCTGTGGTGTCGTGTGACAATCTTAAAGGATGCTACAACCAAAACTAACACGTCAGCTTGGTCATTGGTATGTCTATATTTTTGAAGCCGTTCTATGGAAAATACCTTACTACCTTCTTCTCCCTTTAACTCTGAAGGACGGAGTCAACAACCATCACTTATTGGATGATGTGCAGTTTGTTGTTGTTTTCCTAAACCTACAGACTGAATTTAAACTTCAAAGATACACAAAACTCCTAAAAACTGAACAACTTCTTTGTCTTAGCTGCACAAGGAAACACTGACAGATTGAAATACCGTACGCTCACTAAATCTTATCCTGTCTTCCCTCAGTTGTGCATAAATGACATGTTTTCAGAAACAGACATGTAAATCCAGAGTTGGTTATCTATCAGTTTTGGTCATCAAAAGTAGGTTGTTGTTCTTGGTCCAAAAAAATCGATATCCTGCATTAAAGGTTACCAACCTATAAAATCAGAAAAACCTATATGAAGCTTCTCAACAACCTCAGACAAACCATCTAGCGGTAGATTAAAAGGACATTAACGGTAGGATTGACAGTGAGTGCTCAAACATGACACAGCTGTGACAGAGCAGAAATACAGTTCCTCTTCTACTTAAATCAGTTCTTGTCAAATGCTCAGATTCCTTTGTAGGCGGGTCGTCTGTCTGTCTGCTCCACGCTGCTCTCCGGTTTATGTAACGTTATGGGATCTCGGTATAATGCACACATGTCTGCATCGATGCTAAACAGTCTGTTCTGTTCTGAGTGTGAAACAGGATCTGTGCATGAGCAGAATCAGGTTTCCAGTGGAGAGCCGGCTCCGGTCTGCTCATTAGAGATTCATTCTGAACAGCTTGTTATTATCTGTGGCCTCTGGATGTGTGAATAGATTTACAAGCATTAGGACCGAGGCATTGTGCGGGGCATGTGTGGAGGAGGTCCTGGCCCCTTTGTGTTCGCCAGGGCCCTCAAATCAGCTGCACACCCCCCACCACTTTACCCCAACCCCCCCCTGCCCCACCCATTACCTCAGCCCTGTGAACAAAAGCTTACAGAACACCGATGTTCTGCAGGATTTTGGGAATTACAGAACAGACGTGTGCTTTCAACCGCAGCAGATGCAAAAATCTGTTTCTCAGTTTCCACCGTGAGCGTCTGCAGGGCGTTTGTGCAGCAGAGTGCAGACAGCAACAGCAGCAGCATCTGAATCTGACGTACCTGCAGCCTGGTGCAAATACACAGTTTAGTGTGCCGAAAACAGACTGAGAGGAAGGGTTCAGAAGATTTAATGAGAGAGATTCAATTTCAGCCTGTGGTCTCAACAGCATATCTAGAAGAAAAAAGATACCTACATACTGCTCTCTGGATATAAAACTGGATTATATTTCTTTTTCAGTGTCTGCCGAGTTTCTGAGTGGCCAAATTTAGACAACGATAAACTTTATGAAGGACACAATGAGATAAAACTCTTAACAGTCTCTATGGAGAGCAAAAGCAGGAGGAAGACAATTTGACTCCCATGGTTGATAATCTGAGTTGGTATCAAGTCCAGACTGTCCATTTCTGCAGGAGGCGCACATCTTCACCAAAAGGACAAACCAGAGAGCTTCAACATCGACTGTGACAGCCAAACTGAGTCTAATGCTGCAATCCAGTTACCTCGGAAGTCAGATGTCGGCGCTGGGAATGACGTTACATCCGAGTTGACGGCGTTCCAGTAAACAAGTCAGAAAACCAAGATGGACGCCTACAGCTACCCGTTGTTAGCTGCTGTTTACACTGGTCAGCTGTTGTCAGCGGTTCTAAATTGTTGTTAGCGATACCAGTTGTAAACAATGCATAACACAGTATTTTACTCTTACAAACACCATAGCACCGTGTTCACAGTTAGATGTTGGGCAGTAAAACATATACCACTTATTCAATGTCACAAAAACTAAACAGAAGTGCTAATAAATAATACAAAATGAGAGTTTTCACTGTTATTAATTATTGTTGATGCACTGCACTGCCATCTTGGATTATGACGTTGATGTCAAGTCGGGGTTGGTGAGGATCGTCCAACTTTCCGAGTCAGAAATCTGACTTCAGGAGGGCTTTCCAGATTAATTTCCGACTTCTGAGTACAACTGGAACGCAGCATAAGTCTTAGCCACGCAGTCAGAGTTTCATGAACATTTCAGTCCCTCACCTTAAACCTCTCTCTACAACACTTCATCTATTTCCTCTCTTGACTGTAAACACTGGAGCTAACCATGTCACTGTAACAGTCACGCTGCACATCACTACTAACGTCTGCTTATCCTCAGACAGAAAAGTGGACTGAGATGTTTCTATCACAGGTTTTGATGTTGGATGATATAAATGTAGATGGTGACATCAGAAACAGCAGCCTAACTCGAACCCCTCTCTGTTACCTCCCTCCCTCCTCTGTGCAGCGGGTTGAGTTAATTAGCTTTCCCACTTTGAGAGCTTTTCAAGTCAACAAGGCGATTAAGGTTTGAGCTGAGCTCTGCTAATCAGAGGGGAGATGTGTATCAAAGCCAGCTGGATCCTGTAAAGCTGATCGACGGTCATCTGCAAAGCCTGACCTCAGAAACCACGTCACCGCTGCGAACACAGCGCACTAACATTTCAGCCTGTTTACAGAGACCTGATGCTAAGACCAGACCAGAGAGAAAATGAGATACAGGAAAGGAAGAGAAGAGCTGCAGGTTAAATATCACACAGGCAGCCAAACCAAATAAAGTTATTATATTACGCACCACTCAGCGAGGATATACAGTACACTTTTGTTTCCATGACACAACCAAGTAGCACAGAGATCATTTCTACAGACTCATCGCTTTCTTTTTGTTTTTATGACTCTGATGTCTTTCTGTGCAATAATGTAATTTCCACTTCCATTTCTACTTTTAGGTCTTGAAAAAATCCTGAATTGGTCCTTGAAAACACGCCAAAGTTATGTCATTGAATCAGAAAAACATTCATAGCCCAGATGTATACCAGGTATACATCTAAAATATCCAGGTAAAATGTTAGTTTTTGGCCGAAAATGATGAAACTTAAACGTTGACGCCCTGATGCAGGGTGAGCAGAGGTCAGTTCAGCCATGAACACTTTCTAGGTGTCCATAGCTTCATTTAAATCTTCTCTTTACATGCCTTTTCTCTGTTTGTGTGGCTTTCTTCTTCTTCTCCTCGCTTTCTGCTTGTTGACTCTCCAAAACACGCCACATTCGCCTGCCTCTGACACCAACACCTGCCGGTCTGGAAAACGCCCCAGAGCTTTGTTTGACTTCCCCCGGCCCACGCAGCGAGGCGCTGAGGTCGTGTTTACTCTGTCTGCTCCTGCCCTTTCTCTTTCTTTTCCTCTTTGTTTGAGTGTGTCAGAGATAAGAGGAGGCGCGTGCAGCAGCTCAGGGAGGAAGAGGAAGAAGAGGAGGAGGAGGAAGATTCAAAGTGAGGTGGGAGAGAATATCCCAAAGATCTGTCTGATGCAACCATCAACACATCTAGACTCTTTCCTCCAAACTAAGAGAAGGTCTCCTCGGATGAGTGATAATGTGTGCTGTGGAAAACAGTGGGGAGGTTGGATGTTGCCCTATTGGACAGTTTAAAGTTAGGAGTCTGAGCAGCTGATCCACAAGTCGAACCCGAACCATGACCAGTCTCTTTTGCAAGAGACGAAGGCTCCAGAACACGGTGGGGACTTCACTGATGACTCCTAAGTAAACCACAACCAGTTCGAGCTGGATTTCAGTCTTAGCTGATAATGAAATCGCTCAATGTTGTTTGCAGCAGATGATGATGGCAACTGCATTACAACGCATGTCCACAACAAAGACTCAGGCAGATTATAGCACTGCATTCTGGGTAATGCTTACATCCCCGGGGAGGGGGTTCTGAGACATTTGGCAAGGTGCCGGGAGTTGTCCAGCATTTTGTGTTACAGCAGCCAAAGTCAGATTTACAGCACCCACCATGCATTTAGCATAGATGCTACGAATGAGCAGGAGGCCCCAGATTCATCCTTCATCAGCTACAGTTAGCAGCTGACACGGGCGACTGTCACATACAACTGAAGCATAGCTAGTCAGGACTGATTCCGGTCTCAGAGCTGCAGATTTTTCAAGTTTTAATTGATACAAGATCAATTAAGGTGACCATATGTCCTGTTTTACCCGGACATGTCCCCGGCTGTCCAGGCTGTCTGGCTTTGTCCGTGGAAGTTTACAAAATCCTTCAAATGTCTGTGGTTTTTTACGGAAGTTTTGAGTTTGTGTCACGTGGACTTACTGAGTTAGAAGCGTGTAAAAGACACTTGATCCGACCCGATAAACTCTCAAAATTAACTTTGTGCAACTCCCTGACTCCGCCTCTGTGAGAGTTTTCACTGTTAATCTTTGCTGTTGACGCACTGCACTGCCATCTTGGATTATGACGTTGCTGTCTAGTTGGGGTTGGTGAGGATCAACCGACTTTCTAAGTCAGAATCCAACTCTGAGGGGAGCGTTCCAGATAAATTTCTGACTTGGAGCTCAGAGATTCTGACTTCCGAGTACAACTGGAACGCAGCATAAGATGTGACTTTTATATCAAAGCAGGATTGAAGGTGCATCATTAATGTGCACTTTTTGAGACAGAGGATAAGCTATGAAAGAGGAAAATGTCTGACTGTGATAGGGTTATTTTGAATTGATGTCTACATGAAGTTGAAACCCAGTGTGTCTATCTGAAAAGGTTATTGTGGCTTCATTTGCTGTTTAGCTTCACAGTGCTTGATGCAGAATAAAGAATTCGCACTGATCAGAACCTCCCGATGTTTTTATTGGTGCTGAGTGATGCTGCTGCAAAAGAAATAAAAGTGCATTTTTTATTCTGAATCTAATGGAGCAGATCACTGAGGAATAATAAAACATCGAAATTAGAGCTTTAAATCAACAAATGCTGTCGTTAGTCTTCTGTATACGTTCACATGCTGCTGGTAAACACACACACACACACATACACACACAGGTTGTAACATTACTCCTGTCCTGAGCTAACAGCATTAGAGAGCAGTGACTGTCTGATTAAACCGGACAAATTCAATCACATTGTGTTGCTTTCGTGTCTGATAACAAGTTGTCTGACATGAAGAAAACAGCAGCAGAGACCACAACACACACACACACACACACACACACACACACACACACACACACACACACACACACACACACACACACACTCTCTCTTTCTCTCTCTCACGTACGCAAATAGTCTCACAGCTGAACCCTTTCATAAAAACATATCTGATGTAGAACATTAAGGTAATAATCTATCATGATTTTGCATCAATAAATGTGTTTGTTTGTCTCTCTGTGCAGGTGTTAATTCGTCAGGTTCAGGCTGTTTTTCAGAATTACATTTCTGCACCTATACCAGACTAATCCTGCAGATTGTGTTGATGTGAATGTCAGTTTTGCAGGTATAAAGTCATAAAGCAATGCTCTAAACAGATTAAATGAATTTAACAGGCCGATGGAGCTCAGCTGTGCAACATGTTCCTGTTTCTTCGGTCCTGCAGCTGCTGCTTTCTCTTCTTTAGACTCGATTCTCTTTATTTCTGTGGAAACACTGCAGTGGTGCTCCATTATACACTGTGTGTGTGTGTGTGTGTGTGTGTGTCTGTGTGTGTGTGTGTGTGTTATCTGCAGCTCTTATCTGCAGTCTGCTCCCCAGCTGGCTTACACCTGTCAGAGCCACACAAGGAGGCAGAATGCAGACTGATGGCCTACCTCTATGTGTGTGTGTCTGTGTTTGTGTGTGTAAACAGTTAGACACAGGGAGAAAGTAACAGTGTAATGAGGGTTTAAAGGTGAAGGTGAGAAAACAAATTTTACTCCATTTGACTTTTTTCTTTAAAAGTCCTCAATTAAAAGTGTTTCTTCATTTTACAGCTTCTACTTATAATTATTAGGGGAAACCGGGGACAATTATAACTTCCTCTACACACCAAGCGTGAGTAAAATCACTCGCACAAATAAATTACATGTCAAGTCAATGCAAACACACGATTAGACACTCCTACTACTCTGGTGGCACAAATAACGCGAATTGGGCAGGAGCTGTAAATGTCTCAACTTGAATGGATATTTGCATCGCCATAACATATGAGCAGAAGGTTGCCGGGTGGCCAATGAAAACAGATGTCGTTCACTGTTATCTAAAATGGAGGACAAACTATTGTGTCGGTGTGTGAGTGCCCCGAATTGTACGATACCTTTTCTTTCAATTACCAAAACCAGAATAAAAAGGAGCTCGTCTGAAGGAAAGTGAGTGAGGAGGTCGGATTACCTGGTAAATTGTAAAAAACCTTCGTCTATCACTTGATTCCGCTGGTTGAATTGGCAGTAGGCCTGTCGCGATAATCAATAAATCGCCTTATCGCTCGGTAAATAAAAACGAGGTCGGTCATTTTGCCAGCCTCGATAATTGACGTGCGTTTGTTTTCCTCCTCTCTCGCTACCAAACACGCTGGATGAGAGAAGAGGTCTCACTCTGCGCATTGTTCTCGGCACCTGGGGGCGTTGGCTCTATAGCGGAATGAACGGAGTTAGTGAACCCTCCTGTCAGTCATTCAGTATCTTTGTCACGGGGGGGCGCGCGCACAGGTACACGTAGGCGCGCACAGGCACACAGACTTTTGGATAAAGTGCTGCAAGTGAGCGTCGTGAGTGAAAAGCAAGCAAACAGAATGAACACGACAGCTTTGGTGTCTAAACCGAACGCAACAGCCCAAGTGTGGGAATATTTCGGCTTTAAACCAGTTTTGTTTTCGTCAACCACAAAACTCCACGTGTGTGTGTGCGCGCGCGTGTGTCTGTGTGTTGGAGGAGCACAGCAGGCTGATGAGAGCTGTCAGAGCGGACTGAAGCTGCTCCTATATGTTCAGCGTTTAACTGACTGAGTTTTGCAACTCTGTTCGTCATTTTCGTCTCGTCCCATCAACGTAAACGCACTTTCGTCTCGTCACATTTTAGTAATCTCCGACTTATGTTTAGCTCGTCAACGTTACGTCTTCGTCGTGGGTGAAATTAAAGTTTATCACTTTTGACAGGGTGTACTCGCATTATTATGCCATTTAATATCATTATCTATAATTTGAAAAACGGTGTCAATAATATCGTTTATCGGCAATAATTTGTAGCACAATTATCGTCCAGCAAAATTTGTTATCGTGACAGGCCTAATTGGCAGGGATTACCGCTGAGGTGAATGAAGCAAGTAAATATTAATCATTCCTGCATCTATACTCGTGCTTGGTGTGAACGCCCCATTACATTTGTCACATTTTCCCTCATGATACTAAACACATTTTAGTTGCCAATTTAACAGCTACAAACACAATACATGTGTATAACAGCACATTTGGGGGAATTGGTTGTTTGACATATTTAACATCGTCCTGCCACAAAACTGAAATATCTAAGCTTGAAAAATGTAGAAGTACACTGAGTAAGAGTTTAGATAGAGAGTGATTGTTAGTGATACCTGCATTCCAACAGGCTTTTCTTCTCAGTGATCTTTCTTCACTAAAATGATCAGCGAAATGGTTTTGATCGGAAGTCATAACCCGGTTTGAATCCCTTCAACAAAGCCAGTGAAGAAATGCGGTCCTACTGTAAAGGCGCTACAGAGAGGGTGACCTCTGTGCTGCTGTCGGCAGTATATCAGTGTTTGTAAAGGCTGAAAGAGCAGCGGGACAAAGGGAAGAAAGACTGCAGGAATGTCTTTCAGATGCAGAAATGTTCTGTTGAGTGTTGACCTGCAGCTGACTCCTGACCTGACCTCTGACCCCTGTTAAAGACAGTGGACAGTATCTGCATTATTGTAGGAGACCAAAAAGCATCAGAGACTGCAGGAGAAGCCGGCGATGAATTTTCTATCAGATTAAGAAATTATGTAAAAGTAGTTCTGTTCATTCTAACAGCGTGGACACGAGCGTTGTCCTGTTAAGCAAATATTTACAGTAGATGGTGGAAACCAAACTTTATCTGTTCATCTTTAAGTCTTTATCATGTTAATCTGTATGCCATGGAAATACAGACACTGGCTGTCTATATTTCCATTGCATAGTTTCCATTTGTAAAAAATTACCCCCCCTCTCCCTATTGCACTATGATACACCCTAGATGTAGGCATGTACAACATCAACACAACGGCTTTCAAGATACTTAGATATGGTTTTTGAGTTATCGTAGAGAGTGACCTCTTTGGCTAAAGCAGGGTTTACTAGAGCAAAGGTTGGCCAAGATAAAATCTGCTCATGGTCACACTCAACTTTTCCAGCTGTTAGTCTGTGTGTTACGGTTATCTGTGATTTCCAAAAAGAATGTCAAATTTTTATTTTGACAGTCTAAAGGACAGTTTCTTCTTCTCCTCAGTCCATCTTCAATGGGCTCTAAGAGGTCTCTGGCTTTTTTGGATGATCTTTATATTCAGTTACAAACAGCATCCATGGTTTCCAAGAAGAATGTCAAATTTTGGTTTTACAGACTAAAGAACAGGATCCTGTATCTACCTGGTTTTCTCTTTGCATTGGTTCAGTTCTAACCTCATTTGTGGATGCAGTGATGATCTGTGTTGATTTTGAGTCAATGCAGTGATTTCCACTCCAGAGTCCTGTCTGTTTTTAATGCAGTGCTGCCTGAGGGGCTGAAGATTAGAACCATCCAGTCGTGGTTTTGGTCCTTGTCCCCTATGTACAGAGATTTCTCCAGATTCTCTCAATCTTTTAATGATTTCTAATGTAGATGATGAAATCCACTCATTCTTATTCTGAAATTGTTAGCTCACGCAGTCTCTCACAAAGTGGTAAATCTCTTCCCATCTTTCCTTCTGAAAGACTCAACCTCTCTGAATGTCCTTTTTATACCCAGTCATGTTTCTAACCGCTAACCTAACCTGGACATTAACCACATTAATTGGAAATGTTTATCTAACATTACACAACCTTTTACCTGTTTGGTTGTTTCTCTAAGAACTTTTTAGAAACATGTTGCTGACATCTAATTTAAAACGAGGAGATAGAACAACTAAATCTTTCACTTTCAACATTTGATCAGTTGTATTGGCCCTATTTTCAATCGAACATGGGCTTTTTAAGTACAATACAAACTGTTGAAATCTGTTTTATCAGTGTTTTAAACAGTATCTCTTATTAGATTTCGGTTGTACATGGGAACTTGTTTTTGACACTTCATTTCTTTTCTAAAAAGAGAAATTATTTTAGCCCCTAAAACAAATCCAACTCCACATTAGTAATGTGGAGTTGGATTTTTTTTTTGGGTGTTTATCTCCAGCTTGAAGTTTTATCATCTTTTCGTAGTTTGTTTGGGGGTGGGCTAGGGAGGTTTATATCTAAACTTTTGGATGAAGTCCTAGTTTATGTGATCTTAGCCTTTTTTTTGCACAAGTCAAGCTGTTAAACTAACTCTGTTTGAACATAAAGCTGAAATCATCTAGAAGACAAAATCAGGACAACGTAAAAAGTGTTTCTCAGTTTGGTTTATTATATTTGGACATTTAGCAAAATACTGCAGAAACATCCAAAGCAGTATAAGAGCTAACAGTTACAAAAATCAGAAACAAAATAAATACAAAAAAATGAAACAAAACCATGATTGCATTCAGTTTTTATTATTCAAGAGCGGCTGATAAAACTCATCGATTGCTATGAAGTCACTTTAACACGCCGTCCTCTCGCACACATTCATATCCAGACGTTTTTATATAAATTAAAAGGAAATAAAATTTGGCTACATGTGAAAAAAAACAGCAACAGATCACTGAGAGCACACAGAGCAATAATTTACACAAATAATTTAATAAATACATAAATAAATAAAAGAGCAGAATATACTGTAAAGTGGTAATACAGAAGGCTTTGTAGAAAACAATAATAATAATAATAATAATAATAATGAACCCAGCCTGTGATAAATAAGAACAATCAGTGAGTTTAAGGCAGTTTTACAGCAGGAGTTTCTAATCCAAAGGCATTACCGGCTACACTAGTTTTTATTTTACTCTGTTTTCAGAACAGCTACCGATCCACAGATCCACCAGCTAGTTTAAAGCTAATCAGAGTGATGAGATACTCGCTCCTCTCAGGCCTGCCAGGTGGGTTCACCTGCTGCAGGCCGCCCCCTCTCTTAGGTCTAGAAGCTAATAGCACTTGTGCAGAGATGCTAGAAAAATAAATTAACAGTCTAAGTGTCCAAAACATGATGTCAGAGAGGATTTAAAGGAGGGGTGAAAGGTCATCAGAGGGCCTGCTGGAGTGTCTACAAGAAAAGCACTGCAGCTGCAGGTGAAGGGGCTGACCTCTGACTTTGAGGGTTAATGCATGAGTCATCTGTGTTTTCGGGAGGAATTACACTGCAAAAACATTTGTACAGGTCATCTTAGAGCACAAAAGCTAGTCTTGGTTTTAATGTTCTCTGATAATATTCCAATCAATGAGCAGTCATTTTCCAAGCTCTGCTTTTTTTTATCTCTTGACTTCAATTAGTAGCAAAATGTGCCAAAAAAATAGAGTTTATCCTTTGTTAACTTTGTGCACTTTGTGCAAATGCTCCAACACTGTTGAATTGGAGTTTAGAGTCTTCAATCTTAAAACAACAACTGCTGGGATAATTTTATGATTCTTCACCAGAGTTGAGGAGTACAGTCAGAGTAACAGATTCTATCTTATATTTTTCACCTCATTTAAAAAAGAGTGTAAACTTGAGCTAAAACCTTTACAAATGTCATCAGTAGTCCGGTGTTTTTGCAGTGTAACCCTAAATTCAGTCTGGACTCTGCTGCCTTGCTTACTGAAGGTGTAAATGGAGCCCATAGTCCCGGATCAGCACGCCGGACGGAGCGGCATCTGCAGCAGGATCACCTGCCGGTTCTCGGATGGGTGGCATTTGTTGATGTGTCTGGTGAGTCCCGGGGAGCTGTAAAAGATGGCGGGGCAGTATTTGCAAGGGTAGACCTGCGAGGAGTGCAGCAGGCGGATGTGTCGCTCCTGGCTGCCTCTGTTGGAGAAATTCTCCCCGCAGACCGGGCACAGGTGGCAGGTGGAGGCGCTCAGGTTGAGCGGCGCCGCGCTCTGCTCGCAGCCCGGCGCGTCCTCGTCCTCCACGGGCTGCTTTGGAGAGCCGTGTTGAGAAGCCAGGTGCTTCCGCAGGTACGCTTGACGCTTAAACTTTTTCCCACAGTGGGTACAATCATACAGCCCCTCCTCTGAGCCGGACTCGGACGGTCCCGGGCTGGGTGTGTCCCTGTCACTACAATCCTTCGCTTCGTCCGCTGTCTTCACGGACCCCGCAGCCTTCTCGCTCTCCAAATGCTGCGCCCCGGAGGAGCTGCTCTGCTGCTTCGGTTTGTGCCACCGCCGGTGAGACGCCAGGTTAGCCGGGCAGCTGAACACCTTGTCACACTCGGGACACCTGTACTCGACCCGCACTATCCTCGAGCACTTGTGCTGCGCCAGAGCAAAGGGATCTGCGTACGCCTCCCGGCACAGCTGGCACACAAACTCCCCCAGAGGGTGGTTGTTGTCTCCCCCGGCCGGCTGCGCCCTCACCGCCTTCTGCTCCACCGGCGCCTCTTTGATTTTGAGCCCGAGCACCGGGGACGTGGTGACATCATCCTCAAAGTGCAGTTTCCGGATAGCTTTGGTTTTCTTGGACGCGGGTTTGCCTTTGCGCTCCGAGTCGCTGGAGGGCCGTTTGGTCCCGGCTGTAGGGAGCGTTCCAATGGATGAAGAGGCGGTGCTGCTGGTGGTGCCGGTGCGGTTGCTGTTGCTGGAGCCGATCTTCAGGTCCACGGGGGCGTAGAGGTGATCCAAAGCGGTGAGCGCTGCTGGTGTGGGGAAGGACTCCGCGGTGACCGGTGAACCGAGGTTGAAGCGCCTCTCGAAGTAGGAGCGGTCATGGTCCTGGCTGACGGGGCGGGTGGGGCTGTAGAGTGCTTGGTACACCGCCTCCGGGTTTCCAAACTGCACCGGTTTGGCGTCCTGCTCCGGAGCCGCCGCCCCGCAGGTGGGCGTCGGCGTCTGTGCGCGCACCGGACCGTAGGAGAGAGGCACGGCAGAAGAGGGCGGGAGCGCATCAGCCGCTGTTGGCTCCGCGTCCTCCTCCTCTGAGCGGACCCGGTAGGACACCGGGTTGGTTTTCTTGTTCCTTTTCACCAAAAATCCTCTCGGCATGTTCGCGCTGGACGGAAAGCTGAAGGCACTTTGGAGGAGGAGGAATCCACGTTCAGCCGCGCGCGCTCACAAACATCTGAAGCGTCTTTTGTTGTGGTTTTCCTTTCTGCTGCTGATCCGCTTTTCTTCTCCTCTGTTCTGCTTTCACCACCACATAGCTGCACTCTTTTTAAGGCGACATGATGACATTGTTCCCGTCCCCCCTTGTTGCCTCATCTCTAACCAATCAGAGGCTGCTCAGGTCCCTGGTGGATTTGGGGAGAGGGTGTGGGAGGATGGAGAGGCTGATGGAGGGGAGGAGGAGGAGGTTGGAGGGGGGGATTTGCAGATTGCAAAGCAGATGTACCTGAGGGTTTTATTGTATTTCACCCTCCCTTACTCACTCACACACACACACACACACACACACACACACACACTCTCCCCCTCACCCCCCCTCGTCTCGACCCGGGCACACGCCAGGAGCCTCCTGCTTTTACGGTCTGATGAGTTTGTATAGAAATCTACACGTGCCTCGGCTTTATGTCTCCTTTGGATGGAGGGGGCAGTGATTTGTCCAAAGGAAACATCCGTGGAGGAAAAGTTATCAGGGAAAAATAACGAGGAGGAAAAGTTTAAAGTTAAAAGATGAAAAATGAAAAATGAAATGCAACAGCGAATGGATGAAAATTAGATCCAGTTATTGAGAAAACTGGCAGAGAAGCAGCTTAAATCCTTTATTTTACTCCTAATTTAACTTCTTCATGGCAGATTTTAAACTCTAAACATTAAAAGGCTTCTATGACAAAAAATAAGACAAGAAATTTTGAACTAAAAGTCGTTTTTACGCACGGAACAATGGGCTCCAACGCGCCAATCTCCAGCATTCAATATAAACAAACAGTTGAAATAACAGTAACATCTCCAACCTCTGAGGCCGAGCAGCATGTGCGCTGGCGTGACAGTTAACTCCGGACATATGAATCCGTCATTTCGCGCATACATAATTAATAGCGAGAGGAGGGCTTCCTGCTTTGCATCACAATGGCCGCGCTTGTGCAAGCTGTAGAGCCGCCGTGATTGAAAAGGAAATTGCACAGTTGAAAAAAAAGGGGGGGAAGAAGAAGAAGTGGGGGCCCCTAAAAAGCAATCTGGCCCCCAGATACCGTCGGCGCGTGCTGTGCGTAATCAGAGCGCCTTTTTCTGAGTCTCCAAATGGGGCAAACCGAGATTATCTGCGGGTTCAAAACACAGAAAAACCCAAATCCTGCAGGTCACAGCTGACCCGGGTCAGCAGGAGGTGAGTCTGTCCGGACTGAGGAGGAGAGTGTCTGCAGGTTTCAGATGTTATAACCTCATATATCTGACAAACTGATGAAACTTTTATTGTTCAAACTTTGAGCAGAACAACAACACATGACTATTTTATCCATTAGTTGAAACTTAGATGTTTTTAAAACTGCTTTATCAGTAAAGAAGTGTACGCTTAATTACAAAATAATTTAAATGACCTCCAAACTGAAACGAGGAAGAACTTTGTATTTCTTTGACAAGGTTTATTAGAGATATTCCTCAAACATGCAGCATTTTGTCTAAACTGAAAAAAATCTTGATTTTGTCTGGACTCCAGGAAGAAGTTACAGCAGCTTCTTCAAGTCAGGGGATGTTTTATTTGAAACCTAAACCCTGTTTGTAATTGTGTAACTCAAGTGCTTCGGTTTTTACCATTTCAATTATTTAACATAAGTAAAATTTAGACTTTTTGATGGAGTATTTTTGCTCTGTTTGTAATTTAAAGGCCCTCACTGAGTCTGGTTTTTGTTATTTGATTTGTGTTTTTCATCTTTTGGTCATCTCTGTGAGTGTCCCAATAATATTTTAAATGAAGGCTGCTATCAATTTATTTTTGGGGGTTGGGGATGGTTGTGATTCTATTTTACATATTAAATTAATGATTCATTTCAATTGTAATTCAACCTGTTTCTGGCCCCAAACAGGCTTATTTCTGAATAACATTTTATCAAATGTGATATTCCTTCATTATTAAACGACAACCTTCTATGTCACACATTTATAAAAAGTGCCAAAATAAGGAGGCTTGAAGAGGCTGGATTAATCTTGGTGTGAGAGGAATTTTTTTTAGGATTTCTGTGAAAATTGAAGGATTAAAAAAGTGGAATCAGAAGTCGAGGAGAAGAGAGAGGAAACTGTTTAGGAGCAAAATGAAGAAAAAGCACTTTGTGACTTCAGTCGGTGAGACGTGCCGTATGAATAAACTGCACTGACTAAATCTTAGTGAAAGGTTAATTACTGTCAGACACTCATTACTGAAATGAAGGAACAGACAGAATTTCAGGTTTTTAACTGTAATGAAAAGAAAAAGCTGAAACTGAAGCAGGTCTGTGAGGACTTACTGTAACGTCTTAGTCTACGCTCGCCTGGTAACTTATGTTAAACAATTTTTTTTTGTCTTTATTTGTGCTGGTTTCATTCTCTGTTGAAGACCTACATTTATGCAAACGTTTATCTAATTACATGTTTCAATGGTAGCTGTAATTTCTGTTTTTAGTTTAAGAAATTGGCCAAACTTGTATTAATGGGGTCAAACCAACAAGTAACATCCTAATTAAAACATCTTATTACTCATAAAATAGAATCTGAGAACATTATAGCAGGATTAAAGACCAGGAGGTGCAAATAAGTTACAGCCTATCCCTCACTTATACTGGAGAACACTGTCACAGATACTAGCTATCAAATGTTTTTAATTAGTTTCTTGTCCCTTCTGGGAAATTTTCTTTCACAGATCCTGTACATATACAGGTATGAAGCGCATTATTGATTCACAGGGGGAAAGGAAAATGTTCACAAAACACAAAAAAACACAGCATTGACTTCCAGCAGTGAGATGAATAAAGACAATCAGCTCCTATGATATTAACTAAGACTTGTTGATTAAATGATTGTTGATCTCAGCTTTAAGTTTCAGTTTATTTCAGATCTAAAAGTCTTTGGGATAAATCAGAGTTTGGGTTTAGAGCTAAGGCTCATTTACAGTCTTAAATTAATAACCTTTAAAATCCGACCAATCAGGAATCCAATATTATCTGACTTTACACTCAGACACCAGCGGGACGTGTGTTCGTGTGTGTGTGTGTGTGTGTGTGTGTGTGTGTGTGTCAGCCTGTTGGCTGTTTGTAGGTGCAGACATATGTTGTTGTGAGTGCGGTTATTTTCCTGACAGGCCTCAGCTCGGCCTCATTAACATACAGCTGTATAGTGACACCCTCCCCCTCCTCCTTCCTCCCCCCTCCTCTCTGAGCTTTCATCTCCAGCCGCTGTGAGCCCTGTGATTGGTCACGCTGCTGCAGAGTCACTGAGGGGAGAGTTCAGACTCAGTTACAGTTGGCACATTATAGAGAGGATGTCTGCGCATGTAAAAACACAATAAACTCAATTAAATTTTTATTGTGCTCGTAATGAATGATCAATATTTCATTTTAATTGGAGTGAGGATGGATCTTCAGTACAAAGAGACCATATTCAGTCAGAGTAAACAGGCTGTAAAGTGGCCCTAGTTCTGGGGATTTCCCTGATTTGTGATTGATATGAAGAGCAGAAGTTTGTGCTTTGCCCACAGAAGTGCAGCATGAATATGAAGTTTAGTTTTGGGAGCTGTTAAAAAACAAAGTTTGGTGGTTTTTAAATCATTGACAACCTGTGTTTTTATTAAAAAAGCGCACAAACAAACAACAAATCTTGAAACTGAAAAAAAACCACTAATCTCAGTTTAAATGCTAGCCGCACATTTAAAAACTGTAGATGAGAGACTGTAAATCTGTTACTTTGAATATGAAGTACTCTAATAACATGTTCGTGTGTAAAAGCTGTGTACTGTTCCTTTAAAAGTACTCTGTTGCTGTACTTAAGGTTCAGTGTGTAGAAATGAGAATATTTTGAGATATCAAGCGGTCAGACATAGGTTGACATGCTTCCTTTTTTTAACTGACTATGAAGACAAGAACCTCCCGTGATGCATGCTTTGTAAGTTTGATCCTCCATTTGTCAAATTTTCACAATTAAAAAAGTCGATCAATACTGTTCTCGTAAGCCGTGGCTGGTGCTCCACCTGGTTATCCCGTTCATCTTATTAAGTTTCTCTAATTGGATGATGCCATATGCTCAGATACAGCACCGTAACCCATTATGGACCATTCCTTTAGTATTACTTATCATTGTTATTATAAATATTAAATATGCTTATGAATTGAAAACTGAATAAATGAACTCCACAGTTTGCAGTGATGTACTATCTTAAAATGAAAAACTGAAGCAAACTGCGCAGAGATGGTCTGAGATGTCCTTCACTACAAACCTGATGTCTAACTTGTTTACATATTAGAAATATGAAATTGTCACAGCCAGTCATTGAGAGCCAACCTCAAGGTTTCCTGGATGAAATCACACAGAAAAAGGACCATCTATTTTAATTATTATGGAGAGCATCCTCTGAAATGTACCCTTGACTTTGTGCCATATGAATTAACAGTCTATCATTAATTGATCAATAGTAAATAGATATTCTGAATTTGTTTGCGAGACATAAAACATTTAGTTATTGAACTCAACGAAGACAGACACTCAGTTTTGATGGACCCGCTTTCAGTTTCACAGTTTAATCTGGTTTTCACATACTTGATGATGTCACCTCTGATGTCACAGCTGTCCCGGGCAGGCGAACATCGGCAGCAGGTTGCGGTTGTAGCTCAGATATTTGACAGCGCTGCTCCTCAAAGCTGCTCGACTCTCAGCGTCCTTAAATCTTTCCTGAGGAGGAGGGACGTTACTGTCGTCTTCATCCTGCCTCGACTCTTCATCCTGCAGCGACACACAGGCAGAAATTCAGGAAATACACTCAGACATCACAATCAAACCTGTTGCTTTGATGAGTAAAAATGAAGGTGCGTACTTTTGCCGAGGTGATCTGCAGGAGCTCCTGCTCAAAGTCGGAGAATCGGTCGTGGTAAATAGCCAAACACCAGCTCTGTCTGAAGAAACTGTAGAAACACAGATATTTATTTTCACTTTGGTGCCCTCCACAGGTTCATGCTCATGGATTCTCTCAGGACCTCCTCAGATTTATCAGGTGACCTTTCAGAGGACACAACCCCCAGGTCCACCCTGCTGGACCTAACTACATAAAGTCTGTATACTGAGAAGCTGAAACTGTCTAAAAGTTGGGCCATGACAAATCAGGTTCTTCTCTCTTTTATTTTGACACTTTTCATTCTTACTGTTGTACTTTTATTGTAACTTGTATTTTTTGAGTCTGAAAAAGCATCCTCTGTTCTGCAGGGAAAGTAGGAACCTCTGTAGATGGGATTTGTACAGCAAATTCTTAAAGGAACCAAACACACATACACACACATACACACACACTGAACCCCCACTCCCCACCACCACACGGTCAATCAATTACTTTAACGGCTCAGGACGCTCCGTCAGCCTCCACAATGACTTTACGAGTCAGCTGAGTGAGCGGCGTGACGAGGAACCCGTCTCTGCAGCACTGAGGCTCCAGCTTTGTCCTGACCATCCACAGAGACAGATTGGGGAGCTGCATAAACAGATTAGGAGGCGGGGGACAATAGACGTCCATATCTGAGGGTCATTTGTGTTGAAACCTCAGAAGCAGGTCACCCGCTGTTTGACACACACACACACACAGAAAAACACACACACACACACACGCTGCAAAGTCAGAGCTGCAAACACGCAGACGGAACGAGGACAAAGAGTGACGGCCTAAATCTCTCGCCTGCTCAGACTTCTGTCTCATTTTGACGTGTGAGGTCATCAATCAGCAGATGCATGATGGGAAACTTTCAGATTTCTGAAAACTGTTACCTTTCAAACTCGAAGTGGATTCAAAACACAGGAAGTGTCTCTTCTTTACACAAAATTTGGTTAAAAACAGTCATTTTTGAAAACTGACCACCTGCAGATTTCTTTATCTCCAAAATCACAAAAACATTTCTCTGGAAGTTCATCCTACCAACAGAGAGGAAAAGACAGATTTGGTAAAGATGATTGTTTGTTGACAACAAACTAAAAGCAGACATCATGTAGCTCACAACGCTCCATTTTCTAAAGACTTTTGTCCTATCAGCTGTTTGTTTTGGTGTTTGTTTTCCTCCACCGTTCGAGTATTATAAAAGATTCCTGCAAGAAATGATGTGGAAAAAAACCTGTAAAAATGAGGCTGCATGTTGTGTTTTTCAAGCAGCTTTTCAAACAACAGATTTCAACACGCACATGGCGTCCAAAAACATCAACAACATTTTGGACACAAAAGTCAGAGGATTGAGTTTTTCTCCTTCCAAGTGAAACTTTTTCATGTTGTTCTTAAAACACATAATTCACTTTACAAAGACAATAAAACAAGTTTTAAGCCACGTTTTTTTTTACTGTTTTATCACTTGAATTTGAAAATTTGATAAGTTGAGGTTCCTTGTCGTCAATGGACAAAACCTTAAACAACATTTAGGTGCACTAAAGGACTGGACTTGAATGAAGTATAAAAAATGAGGGATGAATAGATAATTAAAGCTCTTATTGTACATGATTATCTTGCATAACCAGGTTAATGTAGCTAGCAGGGGTTTTATATTTGCTATGATGATTACTACCATTTAATTGCTGGTTACTCCACACTCTAAAAACTCTTGGGTTATTTCTTCAACCCAATCCCTGGGTTTTATGTGTTGAGTTAAATTACTGGGTTATTTTGCAGATCCATACCCATTTCTTGGGTCATATGGATTCTATTGTAACCCAATTTGAGGGTTATTTTAATGGGTTAATAATAATGGATTATTTTTCTCAGAGTAACTCAAAAATTTGGTCATAATGTTGGGTTTGAATGGCTCTACATGGTTTCTAATGGCAATTAAAGTGACCTGGTGACCAATATGTATTGGGTGGCTGGGGTAGCTCAGCGGGTAGAGCATCCAATTCCCAGTCGGGGTGTTGTGGTTCGCATCCCGCGTGAGACACATCTTTAAGAGACGAAGCACATCTACCCATGTGGGTCCTTAGATAAGACCCTTGCCACTATGGCCTACCTCATAAACATGCGTGTGTACCACTGAAAGCCATACCGGCTCAGACGGTACAGGTTGTAAAAGCAAAGCTCCCAAAAAAGCTCCCCAAATCCCCAATGCATGTTTCAATTTAACCCAAGATAATGAGTCAAATTAACTGAAAGCTTAGGATAACTTGACCCTTCAAAAGAGTTATCGAGTCAACCCAAAATTTGGGTTAATTTGAATAACCCAACATTCTGGGTCAAAATAACGCAATAAGTATTCTTGAAGACTCCAAAATCAGGCAACTGGACTGTGTAGAGTTGAGAACAGTCCAGTTGCCTGATTTTGGAGTCTTCAAGAAAACCATAACCTGGATGAATGAGAATCAACATGGACAACCCAATAAGTAGTCTGTCCCTTTTCAACACAAGCTGGGTTGTTTTCAATCGAGGGGTTTTTAGAGTGTGATTTACCTAAGGCTTTATTTTGTGTGAGTGATAGTGTTTCCATACACTTAAGTACCCCAGTCATGATCCTGATCTTGGTTTTGATCATACAGGGATAAACTGTAGCGTTTACATGCACAAAGAGAAACCTGGTAATTCATGTCCCTGCATGGACATGAGAAAGACTCACATCTCAAATGACCAATCTTGATCAGGTCTCACTTTTACCACTGGATGCAGATTAAACATACAACTTGTACCTATACCATCTTTGACCATTAAAGTGTTCAAATTCAAAGAAGCAAAATAAAAAAACACAGAATTTCCCTGAAGTGTTTTTGTCTCACCTGTACAGGTCAGGGATCAGACCCTTGTAGTAGAAGGTGGACAGCTGGCCCAACAGCTGCTGGTGTTTCCCATACAGACTCAGGTAATTGGAGACAGGGAGGGGCTTCAGGGACAAACAGGTGAGTGACTCCACCATCTCAAAGCTGTCCAGGTGAATACAGAAATAGTTTCCTGTGTCTGCTTGTCCGGTTGCAATTCCTCTATCCTGTAACTTTGATGGATAAACGCACAAGTTAGTAAGAAAAGTTGAAACTGTATACGCATGTGCACAAATCTCAAAACACAGCCAAGTATTCCACTTTTCAAAGAGAAATAACCACTCACAGACCGGTGAGCAGAAAGCTTACATGTTTAAGGGGAGCGTCGGGAAGAATGGTAGCTGACGGTTTGGAAACATGCAGGTAGTTAAATCCACCAGGTAGCTTCCCACCTGAGAGAAGGGGACAATACAGGTTAAATAAAGGGTGTGGGAGTGATGTTTGATTATCCTTAGTGCCAAAGTCTTCATCTTAATTGTAAAAAAAAAAAGAGAAAACTGTGGGGTCAAATAAAATGTCAGATTTTTTGTAAAATTATAATTGCTGTTGATGGTGTTGGTCAGTTCGGCCCATTTTATATGAAACTGTAAGCTAGGCTACAGTTTACTGCAGATGGGGTCAAGTCCACCATCAGCAACCAGAGTCTGTTTCTGTACTGAACAGTGTTTTTTCTACAGCATAATGACTCATGGACTACAGGATATCTTTGTGAAGAACACAGCGTGTCTGCGAATAGTGTGAAAAACAAACAGGCTTCCTGATGTCACAGTATAATGCTGAAATATTTGATATTAATGCATACACACCCGCCTCACCCGCAGGGCAGTTAGCACTGTGAGGGACTCCAGCCTCCCCTTGCATAGCCTGTTCAGCCTCCTGCCTTCTGAGAGAAGGTACCGGAGCCTCTGGGCCAGCTCTACATGACTAATGAACAGCTTCACCCACCAGGCTGTCAGAAAGCTGAACTCTCTCCCCTCTCTACCCCCTCATATTACTCTCTATTGTACTATTTTGTATGTTTTTTAAATTATTCTCTTTATTTTTGCACTGTGGGTTGGAAAGAAACATCTCTTTCAAATCCTGTGTACTGCAGAAATCGACATGAAACTTGAACTTAAAAATACACGTCAACAGAAATGACTTGGTCAGAGTTTCTAAATTAGCTAAACTGCATTGCAGAGTCGCCCCATCTGCAGAAAACTCTAGCCTAACTTGCGTACAGGTTCTCTCAGCAGTTTCTCATTATAGGGGTGGTGCTGACTGCCATCCATTGTGACCATAGACTGTATATAGAATGGACAGAGTCTGCCTCCTCGCTGGGTGAAGCTACTCTTAGAACAGCACACCCTAGTGACTGGCTGCGGTATAGGTCATAAGTCCCGCCTCCGCCAGCAATCCTTATGGAGCTGTGGACAAACTTTAGAAATTTTTTACACGTAATATAAATTTTTCTCCCCCCCTGAAGACAGCAACGCCACAGGATGGCGACAGAAGGCAGCTGTAAGCGCTGCGGAGGGCGTCCTTGACACTCTTTCAAATAAGCACAGAGGGATTTGGTGTGTGTCAGGTTATACCCACTGGTAAGACAAACACTCTTGTCAACAAATAAAGACAATCACATCAAGTTGTATATATTTAAACCTCACATGACAAAGGTGGGTTGCGCGCAGAGATCACAACATAAACAAATTCCAATAATGGCATTAAAATTGGAACAATCTGTGCGTAAAGGACGCATCGCGCTCTGTGGCCTGGCTCTTTCTTTCATTGATGTTCGTGTATAAAATGAACTTGGCTCACAAAACTGAATATTATAATATTCGTATGTGAGCTTAACTGTGGATTGAATATTTACAGAATTTTAAGACTGCAAGAACATTAGATAAACAGGTAATTTTGAATGAAAGTTTCTTTTATTTTTTTACGTAAACAACTCATCTGATCAATAAAATAAATCGTCTGGTCAGCCGCCGCAGCAACAGCAGGACGGGGAGAGGACACAAAGACATGTCCGAGTCGAGCTGCACAAGGAAGACGAGGAATACAGAAAAAGGGGGAGACGAATTAAATATCTTGTTAACTTCATCATGTGTGACTGTTTACTGGATATTTAATTTAATGCGGTTTCAGCTGTGTTAATTCGGTCAGGTCAAGTGTCCAAATGCATGCTAAAGGTGCTTATCAGTTAAGATATAGATCAGAATATATCTATATAGATCTAAATGTATGTGCTGACTCAGATACTTGCACAGGCGGAGCACAGCTGGTCGAGTGGTATTTTGGAAGACCGGCGGCGTAGTGCGGCGACGTCACCGATGCCTCACCGGCAGTTTCCACAGTGTCAGGCACATTTCAGTGCAATAAATAATCAACAAAAAACAATATTGCTTGAAAGAAATGACATGGAATCCAAATTTTAACACAGATTTGGGCTTTTAAAGGCTGTGGTCTTAAACTTTTGATCAGCTGATGACCAGCCTATTTCAGTTAACTTGTTGTTTTCAATAAATTGTCTGCTCAAAGATTTTGGTCTCTTGTTCCCATTTCTTCTTTTTGCATTTTTAAGCTCTACTAAGAACCATCTTAAGGTCCAACAGTGCTAAATGTAAATTCTTGCAATTTTTTAACTGGTCTTAAGATTTTGATCAGGTGTGTATATAAAGTCTATGATTTTGACAGAAACACTTACAAATGACATGTAACCTAAACAACCCCACTGTAATAATACTGTAATATTAACAAACATGGGAGCCAGCATGTTTATGTTTCAAATTGTACCTTTCGCCAGTGGAAATTTTTTTTTAGATAAGGTTCATTCCAGCGCTCAGAAAAAAAGACACATAGGCACAAAAAGTGTGAAATCAGCCTCATAACATGCTACTCTGTGTTAACATCCTCGCACAGAGGGAACAGAGCCGAGGTGATGAACTCAGATAGCAGGCGGTTATATGGCAGCTCTGCTCACTCTGAAAAGTTCATGTGTGTGAGAGGAGGATGAAGCAGAGTGGCTGTTGTGTTCGTGTAACCTGTGGAGTGGCCTTGGTTACTCTCTGAATACGTGGCAGCACAATGCGGCATTGTTATGCCTCGGTGCGGTTTGAGTGTCCACCACAATAACATCAGAGGACGGGGGAAAGATTGCAAAATGTTCCACGAAAGCGTAATGAAAAAATATTGGCAGATCCTGTCAGATAAAAGCCGACAAAAACATCTGCAGACAGAAGGACACCGACGACAGTATGGAGGTACAACGGCAGAGCTGAAAACACATCGATCACTGAGCTCGGCCGAAGCATGTGGAGGAATTTCTATTTGATAAACCTTCAAAACACCATGAAATGTTAAATATTTGGTTTGACAGAAGCTCAATCCGTCAGGACTTGGCTCAGGAACCAAGAGGTCATAGATTCAAGTCCCCATATGGACTGATCCATTAATACAAGCACATATGATACTGTTTGTACATGTGTGTTTGCAGCATGTTCAGCAGCAGAAACCTTAAATGCAGGAGTTAAAAGTGTGTTTCTGCAAAATTCAAACCAGACCTTGAATCTTGGCTCCTTCATACAGATGGACATGACGGTCCTCAGACTGATGCTGCTCTACAGGCTCCAACGTTGGGTCAAAGAGGGGCAGCAACGTGGCCGCCAAGTCCTGGCCAACCTCCTTGGAGTTGAAGTTGGCGTGCGACCATTCGTCTGAGTGGTAGCAGCGAGAGAATTTGGTGAGAGGCCCGGCAGCAGAGATGGATGGATCTCTGGTTTGAAACTTGGTGTTTATGACAAGCCTGCTGTCGAAGACCAGGAAGGAGTCGTTGATGCTTTTGAAGGCGTCGTAGTCGACTCCTTTATTAGACAGATTAATGAACACCTGAAGAGAAGAAATGAAGAACAGCGAAAGATATCTTTGTTGAATTTCTGTTAAATAAGAACTTCATCTGCATCGGATTAGAAGTAACACAAACACTTGCCCTGTCTGCTCACAGTGCTCCTGAATTGCTTCTGTGACATCTTTGTATATGCCTTCATTCATACTGACAGTATGACATTGCAGGGCTGTATATATCATGCATTTAACTGGCAATAAGAAGGGGTGATATTTTCCCTCTTAATCATACTGCCTGTCCTTGAGACCTAAAAGATACACTGCTTAAGTTTTTGTGTCATAAAATGTTCATTTAATGTTGAATCCTGGATGACCCATCAGGATTTGGCTCAGTGAGCAATGCATGAAGTAGAAAACGAAAATTATGCATCATCCATGGAGTGTTTTTTGCTTCATTTCAGAACAAATGGAGCCAGCAGAATCCTGAAACAATAAAAATGGGACAGAAACACCAACATAATGTTGTATTTGACAAACAGGGTCTGCTTCCAGGAGGAAAATTAACTCCTAAACCAGGATCCATAAGCCGGAGGATTCAGCCCGTTGTTTGTGAGTTTTTCAGCTCCACCAGAGTCCTGGCCAGCAGCCCTCGATTGTTTGGAGACTGTTTCTGTCTGTAAAAACCAACAGCTAATCAGGAGGTAGTTATTTCAAAAGCATCATGAACTTACTCCACACTGCAGATGGAGAGGCTCTGCGTCCGTGGTGAACGACACACGTGTGAGAGGATCAGGATGCTCGCCGTTGTTCATCTGAGCCAGCAGGCAGTTATGGTGGACCTGGACTTCGGCCTTTTGCAACGTTGCATAAACAGCCTCCTTCACCACAGGGTCACTGAAGATGGGGACTCGCGGGTTCAAAGGAAGAAGCACAAGATGGATAAAACGTCCCTGAACACCAAGGCCAAGAAAACTTTCTACAGTTGTGAAGACATCAACGCTGCTCCCGTAGATGATGACGTTATCTGGAGGGACACAAAGAGGTAGATATTAGCGGCACTTTAACGACTATTATCTGAGAGTTTTCAGGTTTGTCCAAAATGAGTCAAATCTGTTTTGTGTTTCAAAAGCTCAGTGTGTAGAGAAATACTCCCCACTGTTCCACTGGAGAATAAACTGAACTTTGGAAAAATATTTCCAGCTATTGTCAGCCCAGCTTTAAGTTGATTATGACAAACTCAGAATAAAAAAACAAGCTCTACGATTCAGGGGAGGTGGATACAGACTGAAAAGCACTGATGTGAAAAAAAGAGGCTCATCATTTTCTCAGCAGTCATGAGACAAATTATTTCTATTTCCAATCAACAATAGACTTCCAAACAGCCTTGAAAGAGGAGCAGCAGCAGTGTGCAGCATTTCTAAGAGGCCCTCAGATTCCTGCAGCATGAAGCCTGATGTACGGAGCCGAAATCAGACAATGTAAATCTGAAGATCTGAAGAGTTTCTGCAGAGTAAATCCTTTCTTTGATGTATGCTCTTCAGAGAAACCGCCTCGTATTTTACAGGACATACGGGTTTCTATATAATAAAAATGAAAGCTCCTCGGCTTTCTGATTAGATGAAATGTAAGGGGCAGACCCTGAAGCAGCAGGGTCATCATGCTGATGGTATGTTGGACAAAAACGAAAACTCTCTTTTCAACTAAAGTAGAAAAAAATAAATGCAAGTGATGCTCTTAGTTGATAAAACCAAATGCGAATTGTCATTATTCATTTTTCGTTAGTTTATATATGGCCATGGTTCACTCTTGGCTTTGTCTGCATGTCATACGCAGCAGTTTGAATAGACCAACTAAAGATGGTGACGGTCATGAGCAGCTTGCGCATGGTGCTGCTGAGTGTCTCTGTCCGTGGTGCTGAATGAGAGGAACCAGCAGAAACACGGCTTCTTTTCAGTGTTTCTATTCTCCGTCACTCTCCTGATCTGCGCACTCACATTAATACTGAATAAAGGACCTGAGGTGGGGGATTCCAAAGTGAAGATGAACTGGCGGATTGTTGCACCAACTCTGTACAAATAGTGTGTCAAGTTAAGGTGCAAAGTCCACACTAGACCTCTGAGGATACCTTCTATTACTGGTAAGTTGTTATTTGGTTTTATTGCAAAACAATAACATTGATCTGAACTCGAAAAACACAACATCTAAACTATCAGAAAATTGTGACAAAATTTATGTTTTTACACCCTCTGGCCAATCAGTGAAAAACTCTTTACTTAACGGAGTGTTTCTAAAGTCTAGTGATCAGATTTTACATTGAAATGAAGAGATGATAGGTTTCAAGGACAAAAAGCTCTTGTGATGCATGATCCTTCTGATCTCCAAATTGTTTTGTTTTACTGTTTAAAACCTCTATCGATACTTACTCTTTTGCTCACAACAACTCTCCTCTTCTTCTTCTTTATCAGTGAAATTCACACAGCCACTCACTAAACACAAACACCTGCTATACTTGATTCTAATGCTGTTTTCTCCAACGTTACTTTGTACTGATTTTTACTTTATGGTTTCTTTGTACAACAATCTATCCAGTAAAGTTTCTGTTTTTTAGCCTAAATATTTGGACTTTGGACAGCCTGTTGTTTACAAAGTGTGACATAAATGATGATACCTCATGAGCACAGAAAACTGATAAGTCGTAGTAGTAGTATTCCTCTCTAATTCTTTGATCAAACTTGTATTTACCTGATCACTATCTTAAAAAAACTAAAATATAAAGTGTGTTATCACTCAGTAAACCAATGAGCTTTGACACAGTGTCAGGAAGAAAGAGACTTAACCTGACTGTGATGTTCTTTAAGGGATTTGTTGTAAATAAATCATCCTGAGAGCTGGTAATGAGGTAAGACAAATATATTCTGCCTCAGTCCCTTTAGTCTAAAACTGAAATTTACATTCACTTTGTATTCTTTAGCCGTGGTTATTAAAATATGGAAATAAACATGGTATCTGCTGGAGTAAATTAGCATTTATTAATGGTTTTCTTTTATGACTGGGATCAACTAATTAGCATGTAGAAGAGCCTCCCTCTGGATGCAGACTCGATTCCTTCAGAGGGCAGATTAATTGTGTTTAATGACTCTCTGTGTATGCTCTCCTGCTCTGAACAGAGCAGCTCTCACAGACTGATATGATAATGGAAAATGGATGGAGGAGGCCGACCTGATTCATAAAGATGAAAGATTTTTCTGCAGCTAATTAGCTGCTAATTATACCAGGGCACTTCAGCGCTGACTGGCTGAGTAATGACATACTGCTACACACTCGTATTAGGCTCTCTGTCTGCGTATGTGTGTGTGTGTGTATGTGTGTGTCTGTATAAGTGTGTGTTTGAGCGTCAAACCACTCACCCTCCAGCTTCACAAAGTTGGCAGAGATCCAGCGGCGTGCAGCCCTGCAGTCATGGAGGTCATTGAGAGTGAAGAGGTTGGAGGGGACTGGCTGGGTGTATCTGCAGTGAGTTTGCAGCTGACTGTTTGAGACGGGCTGGTTCAGATCCACGCCAGTAGGACAGGGAACCTGAAGTTTGGAGTGATGGTGTTTATACTTCAGAAAACGATGTCAAACTTGTTAAAACAGGAAAAACAACTCAGGGCCTAAACCTTGATAAAAATGAGTAAAGTCTGGGATTAAAAATAAATGAGGTCATTGATAATTGAAATAACACAAACCCTTTTTGCTCAGGCATGAACCTCATACAAATGTGCTGAAATTTTCAGGGTGGGCGGCATATATGAACACAACCAACGGTATTCTTTCTCCTGACTTGACTCAGACTTTTACCAGCCAGCTCTCAAAACATTTCTGCAGGAATTTGCTCCTGTGCCCGTGACAAAGCAACTTAATACTCTTTTCTTCACCCTTTTCTTTAGTGGAAGTATTGTGGTGTTTTGTATTGTAACCTAGTGTACAAAATCATACTATAGTATATAATTGACAAGATTGAGGAATTCTACTGCTGACTGCAGAGCAAACCTTTAAAAATGACTAACAATAATCTCTACATTGCAAAGAGACTAAACGAAAAGCACAAAGGCTTTAAGATGCTAATTTGAAGAGCTAATTATCTTACCTGATACTGCAGGCCTGTACAGAGTACCAGGTGATCATAGGCAACCTTCCTCCCACCAGAAACAAGGACGTACTTGGACTTCCTGTTGATGCCCACCATTTTCCCAGTTACCACATGGATGCAGGATTTGAAGGGCTGCTGGGCCGAGTCTCTGCTGCTGTAAGCATGACTGCATGAGTCCGAAAAAGAGTAAGATATGATCAGATTATTTTGGTATTTCCTGATGATTCCTGCTGACTTTTCATTTGAGGAAAGGTTTTTGTTGGTATTTCCCATAACTGCAATCAAAAACGATGTTATTGAGCAAGGCCCACTTAAGTAATGTGGTCAGGATTGTTGTGAATGCCTCTACCTACACGATATATTCAATTTTACTCATTTTTAAAAAACTTATTACTAACATTTTTGCCATTTGGAAACAGGAGAGACTAACTGAAATGTCCTTGATATATTTTTCACGTTATAATCCCAGGATCATTCAGGTTACATTTACTTCATGTTGTGTTTTGCAGCTGTGAGTGATGACTTGAGTTCCCTGTTCAATGTAAAGTAGCTACAGAGGTTGGATGTTCTTTGAGGACTGTTATGATACGTCTAATACGTCTATTCAATGTAAAACACGCTTTTCTTTTTGTTGCTGCAGTCCCTCACCTTGTGGAGAGAAACCCGATGTCGTCGTGGTTGCTGAGGAGACCATGTGTAGAGATGAGGGTCAGGTTGTTGAACTTGAGGTGAGGGCTATGAGGAGAGAGACAACACTGGAAATTATGAGTGCTTTAACCACAAAGTGAACTCAAACAGAGCGCAGAGCGTGAGGAATGTTTCACAGGTAAAGACAACTTTGTTTATCTTCATGAAGCAGTTCGAGCCCGGCTGATGCGAAGAAAAAAATTAAGACCTTGAAATAAACCGTGAAAGTTACTTTTGTACCTGAAAGATCTTTAGAAAACACAAACTGATACTTCTACAAAAGATATTTGGCCTTTCCACTCTTAACCAAAAACTTGTTTGATATAAAAAAAAACACACAAGCTCATTAAAAAATCCTCAGTATGGATGGAAGTGAGATCATAGTTTAGCTCTGTAGCTCCGACGGGCCAGAAAGAATCAGATTTATTTGATAAAAACTCAGGGTTAGAGGGTGATTATCCTTGACAGTCAGTTTTTACACCTCAAGTGTTGTTTTTCTACAGTGTTTTAGTCTTAAAGTGGGAAAGCAATGCAAACTGTGAATGAAGTGAAAAAAAAAGGAAAAGGAGTGAAGGCTCTGCACATATAGCCAGGTTATGAAACAATGTGTCCCTTAAAAATCCTCCAAACCCTCTGACAAAAACACAAAGACTTAGACTGAGAAGAAAATGCCTGTGGGTATTTAATTTATGTTTGAGATAGCCTTGTGTTCACTTTTTAGTTCTTTTCTCTTTGTTGAAGTGCATTTCTATTTCGTAGGTATTGTGTCTTTGTTGAGGTATTCTCTCTCCTTGCAGTTGTTTTGGCTCTTCATAATGCCATGCATCTCTACAGAGTTTTTATGTCTCTTTGTAGTTGTGTTGTGTTTTTTTATTTTCATTTTTTTTAGCTTTTTTTCATGTGAAGTTCAGTCTTTGTTTATCATTAAAACCTTCATCTGAGTCACTCTTTATAGTTCTTGTTCAGGTGTTTTGTGTTGATTTGTAGTTGTTCTTGTTCAGGTGTTTTTTGTTTATTTGTAGTTGTTGTTCAGGTGTTTTGTGTCTCTTTAAAGTTCTTGTTCAGGTGTTTTGTGTTTATTTGTAGTTGTTTAGGTGTTTTGTATCTCTCTGTTGTTTTTATTCAGTTGTTTTGTGCTTCTTTGTAGTTGTTGTTGTACAGTTGTTTTGTGTCTCCTTGCAGTTGTTTTGAGTCTTTCTGTTGTTACATGTTTTTTCATTTTGTCACCAGTGTGAACTTTGTTGGCAGCTGTTATAAGTGTTTCTGTGTCTTTGGTATTTGCTTTGTTTTTCAGCGGTTGTTTGGTCTTTTGAGTTGGTTTGTAAATCGTAATTGTTCAAATCCTTTTTTGGCTAACGCGTCTACCTTTTAGATGACTTGGTGTGTGTTTTTATCTTTTTATTTCGATCAGAAATGTAAACATTCAAACTAGTGGCGTATACAAACTAGAAATCCTTTCAGGCAGCTGTTTACTTTCCTCCAGCTACCGATGCATCTGTGGATCTGTGGTTGTTGGCCATGAGAAATCCTGAGCTGCTCTCCTGTCCCTTGTGTGTTTACTTCGCACAGTGTACACTGTCTTTTGTGATTCAAACGAGTTGCTTTGTCCTGGCCTTCAGGACATTATGCAGCTGATAACAGCAGATCCAGCTCCTTGGATGGTGAATAGCAGAGCGTGTACCTCACAGTGTCCAACCTTATCGCAGCGACGCCTCTGATCGCCTCCTCGCCGCTCTTATCTCAGCTTCCTGCTAAATTAACGCCCACCGGTACAAATCGCCAACACCAGGCACCTGAATGCTGCTAAACTGACCGGGACCACTGGTGTGTTACAGAGCTCGCCAGAAAATGAACAGATTTCTATCCTGTGAGTGAGATTACTTAAATCTGTCATACTTTGCTTGTTTTTCTTTTATTGGACTCTTGGAGACAATTCTAGAAAAGAAGTCGAACAACAGCTCTATAATTTGTTTGAAAGAACATTTTTGTAACAACCTTATGAAGTACTCTGTCAGACAATTTAAAGTGGTTCAGTATGATTTTTCCACTTCCAAGAGGAGCTATGTGAGACAGGATGTAGCAATAAGTGAATATACATTACTTTGATTACAATTAAAGAGTTTATTGTGTTACAGAAATATCTAACAGGGTGTAAATCAGTTGATGGAGTTTGGACAGTTAGGACTGTAGCTGATGATGGTTTTTAAAGTTCAATAAAATGTTGATAAATTGATTTCTGTAATGGCTAAAAAGAGATTAAAATACAATCAAACTCTAAATTCTGGGCCTGAGCCTATCAAAGATGGACTTAGCTGAAGTGAAAAACTGTTGATGGTCTGATCAATATAAATCTGACTTTCTTTTTGGAAATCACGGATGCTGCATCCTCTACTGGAGAGAGACCATCCGGCGTCAAGTCAAATTCCAAACTTGTAGAGAAAACGATGAAATGGTGAGTTTGTTTTCACAGAGAGGAATCTGTTTATTAATCAGTGAAAGAGGAGTACTGGTTATATGTCCTAATCTGTGGTTTCATGCTCAGTATCATCTCTGGTTTTACTGTGATTTTCATGTCAACATGTAAATAAGAGCATCAGTCCCATGGCAGACAATGATTATGGTCAAACTTTCTTTGTTAATCTGATTCAGAAGGAGGATTTACGGCGCAGCTCTGAGGCTTTACAGCCTGTTATTGCTGTCTGGATGTGTCTGAATCAGAAGTCCTAGATTTGCTCTGTTATCAGGCAGTGACAGACGGCCATGGTGACCCTGCAGCCTGACCATGGCGAGCAGAGGGGCGAGCTGCTGCAGAGCTCTTTATCTGTCTGACCCCGTCCTGAACAGTAATGGAGAAAAGGGGAGGGAGGGTATGAATCAATGAACACAGGGAGGGCTGTGTGTGCCGGGGGGGGGGGGGCTGGACATTTGGGCAGGGCTGATAAGGGGGGCCCCAGCAGGCCGAAGCTGACCCATCATTCACCCTCTCAATGCGCGGCCTCCACACCGTTAGTCCAGCGACACTAACTGCCTCATTAGTCAACTCATTAGTGACAGCAAACACAGATCGCTGCAGCAGATCCCTGACGGGGAAACACTGGAGTGGCTAATTAACGGGGGCCAGCACTGACCCCACTGAATGCCAGGCCTCACACAGCTGCGTGCACCGGCTTCGCCATCATCGCCGTGCCAGCCGTGGCGAGTTTCAATGAGCCGCGAGATCTCCTGACACAGAACAACGGGCCCGGTTGCCTGGCAGCTATCACCAGGTTCTGAATCAGCAGCTCAGCGCTCCTTATTATCTACCTCAGCGCTTAATCTCACAAAGACGGCGGAGCGAACAAACAAAACGCCAAAACTGGAGTCAAGTGACATTTGCAGAGATTGGATTCTTGGAATAAAAGGAGATAAAGAAACGACAGAGAAGCTTCATGGTGAGATTTCTTTCCTCTGGGTCGCGGGCTCTGAGGAATCTGGAGTATTTCTCTACACACTTCAGTACATAAGCACTTAAATACCTCTACTTTCAGCACCTGACACCATTTTTACACCGCCTTGATCACCTCTGTGCACTTGACATTGACATGTTGATGCACATCACTTTGACATGCAGCGTAGTGAAAACTGTGAGATACAAATGCAGGTCTAACGCCTCTGAGAGGATTAATCAAAATTGGGTGTAAACTCTGGATAGACGAAGAATTTAAATTAAATAAGCATACAGTGAAGGTATTTTATGTCATTCCAAGAATTAACAGAGATGTTTCACCTTCCCAAAGTGACAAGTTAGGAGTTTTATAAAGTATTAATAGCAGCTTTCAATGACAAATGTCTCACGCATTTAGTAGAATTGGAGAATGATCTGAAGCTCAGTGCAGGACTGGGGAAAGACATGCTTTCTGGACCAAACTCAAAACATAAATATTGAAAGCAAATTGTCACAGTATTCATTTTCCTATAATGTATTCTTGAAAAGGAGAGTCATCATAACCAGTTCAATGAGGTAACACTGAGCTGTGCTTTACTGATGCTCTACAGTGTGCTGTAATGATCAACTGTTGCAGAATTATTTGGTAGAATCACCACAAACTCATTTCAATCTTAAAACTTTGGAATGAAGGATTTTCCTGCTTGTTCAGGAAAACAGGTCAGTGTCCGACTTACAGGGTAAATATTAAAGCTGCCAGCTTCAGTCTGCTGTGTGTTTGCTCTTAAAGAGCTCACACACACTGCACAGATGGTGAGGTGTTTGTGTGTGTGAGTGTGTGTGTCTCTAATGGGCTCTAACAGGGATGGTTCACCCTGCGGCCCCTTAAGAGGTTAATCCTGTTGACGTTTCGGAGGAGAAATTGTGACTTTCACTGCTGTTCTTTCTGATAGTTATTATATCTAAGTTAATGTGCGTGTAAAGTGTGAAACATATGACACAGAGGAGACCTACCAGAAACAAAGCACCTCCAGGAAAGATAAACCTGTGTCTGACGCTCCTACCACGACGATCCGAGCATTGATGGTGACTTTTGGTTCCAGGGTCAACTTCCTGCTGATCAGGCTGAGAGCAAATGGAGCCTGCGGGACAATCAGAAAGAAAAGAGACAGAAAGAAAGATGTGAAATCTGCAAGGAGTTTGGAGCTGAAAATAACAGATGCCACTTCTCCTGATCTTTTTGAATATAACTTTAATCTGATTTTATGCTTTGCACATGTTGGTCCACCTGCTTGTGCATTGATCAGGTGTTCCCTCTTTGTTCGTGTGTTGAAAAATGAGTGAAACTTTTATAGACAATAATAAATGCAGCAAAAGAGTGTACAGTTATTTAAAAAAACAAAAGGATCAAATCTTTGACCTGAGGAACATTTTTCCGAGGGTGACTAAAGAGTCTCTCAGGACTCAGAAGAACAGCGTTCTAGTTTTCGCATGTCGTCTCCGGTCTCCGCCCTAAGCTCTGACGCCACTAATGACTCCTTCATCATCTATAATTAGGCAGATTGGCCCCACAATGCACCTTGTTGGATGCAAACAGTGTTAAACAAAAAGGAGGAAACCCGAGGGTGAAATTAACCTTTGTGTGATATTCAAATTATTTCTGAGGGCGCATGTGCCTGACATCTGTCACACGCTGAGAGGGTTTGGTTAGCTGGAAAACAAAAGGACATTACTTATTAATGTCTGCATGTATTTAAGATATAAGTCATCTCATAAAAAGTGTGAACTCCAGCAATGACAAAGCAGATTATTAGTCATCTTTGGAAACAGTTGGGATTCTACTTTTCTATTTATAGCAGATCAAAAGCAAACTTAAAAGTAAGGTCAGCGAGCAAGTTTAAAGAGAGAGATCCTGGAGGTAATTTAGCCCAAGGAATGACCCGAGACAATTTGACTATAGAAAATATCATGTTGGACATGGTTTAAAATCCTGGATTCTAAGTGTATTTACCTGTGTGGCTATTATCTCTTACAGACTGACACTCAAACATATCTGTAAATAGATTTGGACTTAGGAAAAAGAAGTTGTGGACTGTTTAGACAGAATCTCTTACTTGTTGGATGAAAGTTTATGTGGTTTCTGGTGATTTTGCAGCCAGCCTTTAGTGGTACACAATACAACACTGACAAACAAGCAGCCATACACTGTAGATATATGAACTAACAGCAAAGCAGACGTAGAACAAGAAAAGCAATTTATTTTGTCTGTAACACATGCAGAGTTTTTAAATATAAAGCAATACTCATCTTGATAAATGTGAATAGACATGAACGATTGAATCATTAGCATATACAGTATGTAGCATCAAACGCCTTTGTAGCCATTTAGCAGCTGTATATCTAATGTAAAGGCAGAAGAGATGACGTCCCAGGATAGAACCCTGTGGCACACCCAACTAACAGTTTTGAATTAGTAATATTGAGCTATTTATTTTAGCACACTGCTTTCAGCACATCTGATATTACTGAAACCAGACAAGGTTTCTTTGAAGAGGTTTAGCTTTTAGAGTTTATCAGAAGATATGGAAGTGATTACAGCCTCAAAGGCCATTTGCTGGTCCAAACTCACTGCTCCTACAACTTAACCATCTACTAACATGACATTTATTTTTAAGCGTTATCTCTGTAAACCAAAACTTACCAACAAACTGGGATAAACACATCATTTGAGAAGTGAAAGACATACAGGGAAATTTTGATCCAAAACCAGCAGTTAGCCCAGTTATGTTTCAGCACAGATATTTTTACAATTCTGATCAGAGCTACATTAACTCAAGCTAAATATATTTGACTAATAATTTAAAAAATTCTTTGTCAATTTGATGTATTTAACATGTTTAAAAGCACATATACTCCCGAATACATCAATGAGATTGTCCATCTTGGCTTGAATTCACCAGGAAACTGAATTAAACTGCAGCAGAGGGAAACGTTATGGTTATCAGTTTTCACAACAGTCAAATACGACCTCTAAAATGCATTAGAATAACAATGATTTGTAATTTATGTGTCATGCAGATGCTGCACTCTGACATTTATTGAAAATCAGTATCGCATTCTCTGTAAAAACCCTGTGTATGTTAGGGACACACTGAATACGGGCATGCATCTGTCTGAATACTGCAGGAATTAACCAGATGAGGCATTCACCGGAACAAAGCTGCTGTCTCATCTGCATGTGTGGTGCAGCAGGTGCAGCAGGTCTTATCATACTGCAGACGCCTCACCTTCCCTGCACACAATGACTATGGCTCTGTGTAATATGATCCTGAGCATATTGACAGAGAGGGAACAGGTGCTTTAAATTTGATTAATCATCCTGAAGGCGAGGATCTTATCTGCACAGAGTCTGGAAATCATGACTTAGTGAGGTGAAAAGGGTTAGACTGGGTTTGATGGAGTGAAATGAACATAGAAGTTAACACAGTGGGGCCTCAGGTCTAAACTGCTCTGCTGTAAGTCTGATATTTATCTAATGTGCAGGAAATAAAAGTAAATCACAGCCACAAGCAGACTAACCGTTTTGAAAAGAACTTTAAACAGTATATTTCTCAGTGGCAAGTAAAGAAACCTCAACTGCTATTTTCTTTTTTTCCCCAATATCATCATTCAAACAGAAAACTTAAACTAAAGCAAACCTCAAAGTAAATCCTGTCTTTAGTAAAAGGAGATAAAAGGAGGGAAAGTTAACACACAGAGAGTCAAAGCTCAATGGCTGCAGTCTAAAAGTCAAAAGTGTTTGTCTATTCTGCCTTTGAGAGAGGGGTGAGTTATATTTACCAGTCAGTTAGGGATAACAGCACATATTTATGGCTTATTCCTGACAAAATTACCAGCAATGCAAAAAAATGTCACCAAAAAGTAAACATTGAAAGGCCCTGAAGTGACCTGAAAAAACACAATTTTCATTGAAGTAGTTTCTGCAGATGAAACTTGAGGCAGGTCTTTTTTTTACATAAGCTAGTAACTGCACACTCTTTGTAAGTAGAGCTGGGCAATGAGTTTTGTTTGTCTGCAAGGTGTCAGTGTGTTGTGTCTGTTAGTTTGAGCCAAATTAAAACAAAGAAACAACCAAAAAACTGTTTTATCTGTTACTTTAGGCTGCTGTGGCTGTTGCTTTATTAACTGTGAAATATTCAGCGTTTATTCCATCACACTGGAAAACTTTGTCATGTCACTTTTCCCTTTTGAAACAGCACCCCCTAGTGGCTCCACTAACACCCTGCTGTTCACCCTCTGTAAGCAGCTAACCCACACTCCCTGGCAGGCTTCTCTCTGTCAGCCAGCTGCCACCATGCCCACCTGGTCCTCTGTGATCTGCCTGGAAGGAGCGTTGATGCCAAGCTCTTCCAGCGGGTAGATGATCTGGCGCCGCGGGCGGACGGGGACGGCACAGTTGAGGACTGAATCCAGATGGTGGATGCAGGAATTCTGAGTGCAGAAGAAGAGGGCAGGATGTCAGAGAGTTCAGAGAGATTTAAAAAAAAAACTCCCTAGAGGTTACACAGCATCAGGGTGAGGGTGAGGGAGGCGGTGGAGTGATAATGAGCTCCGGTGAAGAGGTTAGATGATGCAACCCTTACACTGGAAACCATCAGCCAGAGCTCCTCCAACACAGCTAATTCTCTGCTTATCCTCTGCCATTATTCTATTTGCACGTCATCATCTCCCAATCTGGAGCTTGTTTGTGAGGATAATTATCAGAGGAAGTGGAGGCCTCTACATGTCGAGGAAATGTCTTATTATGGAGTGGAGAGGTGGAGCTGGCAGCACCGTCAGCACCTGCTGCCCTGACCCTGGAGACATCAGCCTGCAGAGGGCCGAGCTCTGCAAAAACTAACCTGAAACTTTAAACACAGAGAGATCTGCCTGGTCTGAGCAAACAGAGCAGTCTCATCTGGGCTGTTCTGGACTTACTCTCTAAAAACAAGAGAATCAAACTAAGACTGAGTGATGTCTTTCTTTGTGTTGGATGAGTAGTTAGCTGCTTAGTAGTTCTTTGTCTCGTTTCTTGATTCTCAGACTGTGGCTTTAAGTTTGCCCAGAAAACAACAAGCAGTAGAGACACTGAAGAACAAACTGCGACTTTACCTGTGCTCCGTAAAGTCATGATGCAACACCAACACAAACACAAACTTACACCAAAAACACCTGGCTGCTTTAAATACTCTGTGCTGCAGGAACTCAGCTGGACCAGACCAACTGGGAAAGATCAAAAGCAAGTAAAAATAACACTTATCCCCCAAACATATAAACAGTATTAAAAGATAATGCATGAAATGAACATTTGTATGATACAAACAATCATCCATAAACCACAAACACACACATCATTTGCACCCGTTCCTCCCCTACTTTTCTTAATGGTTTAGTCCTGCAGCTCTTAAACTAGTGCTACACCCTTCTGACTGTTTCTATGCCCTCTGGTGAGGAGACAACGAGGAAGAGGTGAGAGCTGGATTTATTCAAACTGATTCTTTTAGTTCAATAAGTGGATTTTAACAGTGTGGAACTCATGTGTGGCCTTATGGAGCTTTGAAGATTTCTTTGAATTTTGACAAAAAGATTCATATCTTTGAAGACTCAAACTCAGCAAAAGTTTTTATCTCATTAATAAAAATTATGTCAAGAGATGTTTGTCAACAACTGAGCCTGAACCCCAAACCCTGCAGAAAGAAGATCAAGTCAGTGGAAACAAATACAACCACAGTAAAAGGACTGCCATGTTTTTGATATGCATTAGAAATAACTCTTCTACATCAGATGGAACAGCACAGCAGCATTGCACAGAAGGAGAGTCATACAAGCTACATTGTTCAGAGGGTGAAACTGTGTAAAATCTTGACTCAAATTTCTGATTGATCAATTGAACTAGAAAGTCTAAAATGTAATGACTTTTGATCAACTGAGTAGATTTAGATTATTCAGGAAAACAGTGACCAAACTGTCACTAAAACTAAAATATAACTGTCAAAATAAGCCCTGCTCTGTAAACACAGCAACATCTGGTGGCTTTAAAACTTACTGCAGCCCTCTACTAACAGTCTGAGTGTTAACACACCTCTTTACTATCTTTAGTTTTAGTGTCTGAGTAGCCTGTGTGTTTTGAAGCAGAACTAGTTGCATACTTTTGTTCTGATGTTTTACATTTAACCTTTTTTTTCAGACATTAAACACATAAATTGATCCTTTGTGTATTTTTGAGCCCAGGCTCAAATCTTTTGGCTCCATGGCTGATATTTGTCATGTAAAAGTTGTGATGGGATGGAGTTTGCTGATTAACTTTATTATATTGTCACTTTAACCCTGACTCCATCTGCTGCTCCTCTGAGTTTGACGGATAAAGAATATTTTTATTCTGTGTATAATCTGGGGTCATTATGCTAATGACAGTGTGACTAAGCAGACAGACACAGAGGCTGGAAGAGGCCTGGTGATCAGGGGGGCAGTGGGGTCTGTGAGCACCCACCTCCTGGTCCTGGTCTGAAGGGTAGACTCTGAGGCACAGACAGGACCTGTGAGCCAGCCGGAGGACCTCTTTAAAGAAGTGTCTGCAGAAGTGCTGGAAGGAAGGTCTGAGGACAAAGTGTCGTATCTGAGCGTGCTCCTCGTAGCGATGGTGGCTGAAGTAGATGAAGTTCTCGATGTTGTAGTGGGCACGAATGTACTCAATATCCTGAAGAAAGAAAAACAGAGTAAATCAAAAGGAGCCAGGAGGCACAGTCATTTATGCTGTGACTTCAGTTTCTGATATGTTGTTTTTTTCTTTTAATACTTCTGTGTTTCCATGAAAACACAGAAACGGTTAAAAAAGACCACATAAGCATGTCAGACTAGTAGGAGGTAATGATGTAATATAACATTACAATAATGTAATGTGAAGAACACTGTGCTTCTTGAGAAAAATAAATGGTAAATGGCGCTCTTTAAACTGTGTATGGAGTAATGAGTTAAAAACTGGTGAGTGTGATGTGTTTATTCACCCCGAGCTGCTGTTTAATGATGAGTTTTCTATGTAGATATGCAGTTAGACTGAACACTGCAGAGCAAGAGTAATACAGTACAATAGCTCCCTTTCCCCGCACATGTAACATACAAGTAAAAATCCAATACAGCAGAAGTGAAGGTCAATCAGCATTATGAAAAACTTCATTTTTACTGCCCACAACAATACAGACCAGAGTGTTGGAAGGTGTTTTCCAAAACCCCCATGTACCAAGTTTTCTGAAAACCCAACATTCCAGGTCCCAAAACACCAGAACCCAACATCCAGAACCAAGCATTCTGAAAGTCAACATTTCATAATCTAATATACCAGAACCCAAGATACAGAAAACCAACAATCTAGAAGAACCACGCACTCAGGAGCCTAATATACCAGAGCCTAGCAGTCACGGGCCCCAGATTGCAGGTACCCACATTCAGGAATTTATCATTCTGGAAACCCAACATTTTCTGAACCCTAGCGTTCGAGAGCTCAGCATTCCCAAACGCAAGATTCCAGGACCCACTGTTCCAAAAACCCAGCTTTGGGCGAGAACCATAGACTGTAAACAGAATGGACGCCGTCGCCGTCTGCCTTCTCGCTGGGTGAAGCCACCACGAGAACCCCCTTGCTTACGATGTTGACATGTAGTTCCTGGTTTGTGCTCAAGTCCTCTTTTTTCTGTACAGCTCCATTTTTTAAAAGTTATCAGGGGGTTCATGTTTTCTTTGATTGACACTTAACACAGCCTATGTGGCGTACTTAGATTGCGTAGCTCACCTGGGGGATGTTTGAGCCGAGCGTCATCACAGCGACTCCCGACGACTCTCCCGCCAAATGGTACAATGTTACTGCGCATGCGGTGGAGGGCGTACGACGCTACTGCGCAATGTTTGTTTCAGGAAGTGGAGAAAATCGTGGAAATACCGGGAGCTTTTTTTTTTTGAAGTATGGCCATGATACAAACATTAAAGGCACATTTGTGATTCATAAAGTGTTGAACCAGCTATCTTGATTAACAAATGAACAACAAAAAGAGAATGTGAGGGTCTTATTGTAAGATAGTAAATATGTCCAGTAAAGAAAACAGTTTTAGGGCTTTTTTTTACCATGTAGTGCAAAGAAAAACTCCTAGCCTGCAGCCTCACCCTGGGATTACTCAAACATACTTTAACCTCTCAGCTGTAAACTTTGCCCACATACTGTTAACACCCCACAGTTTAACTTGAGAGTTCAATACTTTTGAATCCTGAGGGACAAATATGAGTGAGATGGATGTTCCAGTTCTCGTTCAGTGACTGGCATTTTGTAACCCACCTGCTCGTCTCTGATGATCAGTATCCCCACAACCTGACTGTTCACCTGGACTACAAAGGCCTGCAGAGTGACCTCATCCTGACAAACACAAGAGCAGAAAGCAACATAGATAATGAATATTAAAAATGTGGGTTGGATATGATTTAAATACAGCGTCTTGCAGCAGTCCAGTGCCATGAATACACATGAAGTGGCTGCATCCTCAGTCAAGAAGTAATTATCAGAGTTGGAGCTGCAGCAGTGACAGCTGGGGCGTCAGTCAGAGAGGAGAAGCCGTTCAGCTGAATTCTCACCAATCTGTTCGCTGGCATACATGAGATAGTCCTCCTTTCTCCAAGACAATCACTGTCAGCAGCTCCAGTCACACTTGATTGTCCAAAACAATCAGCATTTTTTCATTTTCAAATCTGAGGGGATCCCAGCTAGAATTTGTAACCTGATGTTATGCTAAGGGAGATGATTTTAAAGAATTGTCCATGTTACCTCCTGTATTTACCTGAAATTTTCATGCTTTAAAATTGATATAAGTGAGCCATGAATGAAGAATTAAGTTTGATATAAAAAGAAAAACAAAACAAGCAAATGCAGTTTATTCTCTAAGCTAACACAGGAGGGAATTTCAAACAGAGACCAAGTAAAAAACATTTTGAAAAAATGATGTTTGAATTTAGAGTCTTTCAAAATTAACTAAGTACATAAAAGCTCCTGTAAGGAGCTCTTAACTGGCTGCAAATCAGAAAAAAACTGACACTGATGTCTCTTTTTGACTTGTAAAAGCAAATCAGACCATTAGAAACAAAACTGGAAAACTGTTATGAAGTAGCTCTATTTTTAATCATTCAGAACACTTACATTGGATTTTCTTTGCATGACTTACACCTGAAAAAATTCAGATGAAGAAATCCTTTTGTAAAACCCTGTTGAGTGTCTGCAGTTTTCCTTTAAAAAGCCAAAAGCCTTTCCACAGGGCAGCATTGCCTGAGAGACAAAGCCCAGGGATAAAAAGACAAACAAGCGCAGACTGCTGTTCATGAAACTTGTGCTGAAAGGGAACATTTGGTTTGGAAAACACCTACTTTAAGAAAAGACACAAAAGTAATAATTCTGTAGGTTTTGATACATAGTTTACCAGTTTATCATCCAGATGGAGAGGCAGGATTTTACTGGGATCAAACTGACGTTTAAAGGAACACACACACCCCAATGAGAGGCTGATTTGGTAGCAAAGGGAATAGACTGACCGGGTCTCTCCTGGTCTGGTAGAAACAGTCCAGGTCCTGCAGCAGGGACTCACTCAGGCTCAGGCCCTTCACCAGATCAGACACAGACTGCAAGTCTGCAGCCACAGCAGGTCTCACCTTGACATCCCTGCAAGAAGATACACAAACTACACATTCACAGAACTGTCAAGGCAGTTTTGAGGCGTGCAGTGACAGAAAGAGTGATCCAACTGTGATGCAGTGATGCTGTCTTAAAGAAGCAGACAAAACTAACTCCTGACCCACCCCAGCCCATCCCGGAGGAAGATATAGAGTTCTTCTCCCAGCAGACTGGCTGCATGGCGAGGCACTCTGTGGAAGCTCTGCAGCAGTGGGAAGTCAGGGGACACTGTTGGTACAGTGATGACACAGAAGTCCAGGTCCTGAAAGACAGACATGGAGACATCAGCCTGTAATTCATTGCTCTGCACACAGTTTAAAGAATTCTGTGTACAATTCATGCCCCTGCAGCAAGACTCTCAACAGACACAGTGTTCTTCTACATTGTTTGATATGAAGGACTGATGAGATGTTATCACTGCCCTCTTTCATGGACAAGATTATTTTCACCAGCTGGTGGAGTTGCCCTCTGCTGGCTAACAGGAGGAGTGCAGGTTTAAGGAGGTCATGCTTTTCAAGCATCTTTGACATGTTTTTACTCTGAGTAAAAAATAATACAAACTGTAAATTTTAAAGGAAATCTGAAAACTTTCAGCTTGGAAATCGTTGTAATTAGCATCTAGCTTTTCTGTTATGCAAAGGAATCTGATCTTTCACAATATTTAGGCCTTTTTCTTTTATTCCTTAATAAAAATCTTCTGATTTCATCCCTCAAGGATCAGAGAATATTCATGCCAACCTTTTTTTGCGAGAAAACATTAATTCTTGATTTATTTCTTGTCTGTGCAGCTCTGAAACAATGATTTATTCTATTACTAAACATCAGACTGCAGCAGACAAGATGATACTCACGGGAAAAAGGTTGAATACATACGGGATAAAGTCTGCTGATCTGGAAGAGAAGAAGAAGAAATGGGAAGTTAAGTGAAAATATGTGTCAGTGCCAAAGTGTGAGTGAAAGCAGAGCTGCTGATCACTGCGGTGGAACAACTGGCCGACCAGTCTGCCCACAGCTTCCAGCTCAACTTCTGGCCTTCAGCTCCACCACGCTGTCACTTTAAGCGCTCCTCTCATTAATAACATGCTCACTCTCAGCGGGACGCCACTCGACTTCATATTCAGCAACAGCTGGGAGGTGCGGAGGCGGAAAGAGGAGCTCAGCGGGAGCCAACTAACAGTCACTCTCTCTGCTCTAACACGGCATATGACTGATGGAGCTCTGGACGGCTGCCACGGACGCTGCTGAAGTCCCGTCTGAAATAAGCAGGAGTCTAGAGGTGAAAACTTCACTTCTCTGATATGATTTATGTATTTCATCCTTTTAATACAATACTTTTAATCTGTCCAAATTGGGTCTTGGTATTCTGTGTGATGTTAGAAATTACATTAATACTGCTCTATGTAAGAAGGTTAAACCCTTTATAGATCTATTGCTTCTCACCTCAACTAGGAATCCCCTTGAAGCCTCTTGTAACAAAGTTTAATTCTTCTAAACTTGTGTCCACTGACAGCCCCCACGACCTCAGTTTCACAGTGCCTCCTTATGGGGAGTATGGTGCATTTCTAAGAAGAGGTCTGGTCCAGTGCAGTTTGTTAGAGTTTGGTCCAGAAAACGCTGATCTTGCTTTTTTTCACAGCTGACTAACATACCATGAGGCTTCATGACAGCTGTGGAACAACTTCACTTTTGGCGTTCTGTTTAACAGATTCGACTGTTCAGATTGCCTGAGGTCTGTATCCTCTCTGTACCATGTATGTTACTGTCCCAAGCATGAAAAATATATTTTTGTAACACTTCTTGGATTCATTACAAAGCCGAAGCCTGACCTTTTTTTCTGTTGAGAAACTTCCCCAGTTTTCACACAATGCTTTTATTTTTGAAGTTGTGTCCAGGACAGAAAAAAGTTGCATTAATCATTAAATAGTATCAAGTTACAGGAAATAGTTCATTTTTTTGTAATCTCCCTCTCCCTTTGCAGCATCTCTGAGCCCCTCTCTCTGCTCAGCTGATGTCTGTGTGTAAATAAAGCAGCCTTTGACAAACCCCAGACAGCTTATAACACCTTACAGCATCAAAACATACGTAAACAATGAGCATGGTCTAGACCTGCTCTTTTTGGAAAGCGTCTTGGGATAACAGCTGTTGTGATTTGGCGCTATATAAATAAAAGATTTATTGATTAAACTGGGAAATGATGCATTGATCAAATGCAGTTCAGGGTGTATAAAAAAGGTCTAAACAAACCTATGTGCCTGTGCACAGTTTCATTATAATTTCACTCTTTCATTGTTGTTACCAAATTTAATAACAGAAGTCAGTGATTAAGTGTCATTGAGGGGTGTGGCAGTGAGCCATATGTTTGGATATTTTCAACTCAAAGCACCATAAGAGCAACAACAAGATAAAAAGAAGTATTAGGGCCTCTGTCACTAAACAGGTTCCAGACATATTCTGAAAATCTGCTCATCAATATCCTCATTCAGGTGTGAGCTGTCTTACCTCATTTCGTGGCTCTTGTGAACACCAAAGAACTGTATACAGAAAGCATTTGATTTCTTTGAGACATGCTGATCTGACGGTGTCTCCTCCTCCTCCTCCTGCTGCTGAAATAAACGTCATAATAACAAATCACAGTCAGGGGTTTAAGACTCCAAGATATTTAATGCACAACTGAGCAGTGTAAAATGACCCCTTATTAACATGACTATGTGTTTTTATTTTTCATATGACTTTATTGAACCAGGCAGTAAGTTTTAGAAAGAGAAGATCATTGAAAAGTTCCCCAGCTGTGTCTAAGCTTCATCATTTCTTCCTCTGTTTAATCAGATCAAATAAATGACTGAGTTCTGACCTGCTGTGACTCTGATTTGTGGGTGTGTCTCTGTTCCTCTTCATTGCCTCTTGGATCAGACTGAGCTGCAGGTTCTTCATCTTGTATTTTCCGAATTTTGTACAAACCGTTAAACTCACGCAGATCAAAGTTGTCGTTCAGACAATTTAAATCCACATCAGAGGTGACGCTGATAAAGCCGATGACGACTCCGTCAATCTGTGGAGAAAAACCATAAACATCACTGAGGTGCACCCGCTTATCTTTTTACTTTAAGTATGTAGGTATGGTGGTTGTTCCTGAGAGAGCAGTGATGGGCTTTAAATACATCAGGGTCTCTAACAGATTGTGAGATTGACAGGTGGATTGGTGTCAGCAATGCAGGCGTAGAACTGGACTGTCATGATGAAGACAGAACTAACCTAGAAGGCAAAGCTTCAGGTCTACTGGTTGATCTACCTTCTAGTTCTCACCTATGGTCATGAGCTGTGGATGGTGACTGTAAGAATAAGTCTAAGTGCACAAGCAGATGAAATTTCCTCTGGAGGGTGTCTGGGCTCAGTCTTAAAGATAAGGTTTAGAAGCTCGGACATTTAGTGGGAGCTCAAAGTAGAGCCGCTGATTCTTCAATCAGATGGACTCAGCTAAGGTAGTTCAGGAATATGATAAGGATGCCTCCAGTATGGCTCCCTTTAGAGGTATTCAGGGCATGTCTAACTGGGAGGACACCCCGAGGTAAACCCCGAGTTTGAATGAGGAATGATTAATCCCATCTGGCCTGGGACATATTACCCTTGGGACTCCAGAGGAGAGGCTAGCCAGTGTTGCTGGGAGGAGCTTAGCTAGCTTAGACTGCTGCCACCATGATCCAATTTTGAGTAAGGGGACGGAAATGGATGGATGAATAGTCAAGTCTGTATTAAACCAGCAAGTAACTGACTGAGATGAACATGGTTGTTAGATTACGGAATAATGAACCACACATAACTTTGATACTTTCACCCACATATTTACCTTATATTTTAATCATCACAGATGGTTAGACAGATATAAATATATATAGATATATTTGTGGGGGTATTCAACTTAGGAAATTAATGATTATTCATTCAAGTTCAGCTACTTTCTCTCTCATTTGTCATTTTTATTCTATCTTTAAAATTCATTAAATGGATAACATACCAGTGTGGTATTGGGGCAATATATCAGCTGACCTGTTCTACAACAATTGACATTTGCCATTAAAAAACATCAATCGACCACTAAAGCGAGGTCTAACCCAAGAAATATGTACATGTGAAATTCTGGAGCTGGAGTAGGTTTATAGTTGGTTTTGGTATCCTGCAGGGGGAGAAAGCCGAACCCTCTGGGGCGATGTTTGACTGTTTGTTCTCTGAGTGCTCAACACATTCAGACAAAAAGCCCAAAATGCTTCAGATGTCTGGACACAATATGTTCAGTGAGAGCACGTCTTGGCCGAGTATCAGCTTGTGTCTGCCATATGCTGCCATGAACACATGTCAGCCCGACTGGCAGAGAGGAGAGGAGATCTGTCAACTCAAGATCTCGAGGGAACGGACCGCAGCGGGGAGTCTGACGGTCAGTCACAGTGTAAACCAGTTAGCAGCTTTTACTCTACACTCCTTCTGAAATGAATCGAGACATATTAAAGAAGTCCAGAAAGAGGGATGAGCTGCAGGAAGTTTACCTCAATTAAAGCTCCAGACAAATATTTCTGAGTGTTTTAAAGAGATATTGGAGGAAACTTCAGACAAACCTCACAAACAGCTGTGTGATGTTTCTCATTTTGTGTGTCTATGAGCTCTGCCAGGAAGTACGGATGGTCATCTGACAGCTGTTTGGTCTGTTCTGTAAATAAGGGCATGACGTCATCATGATCTTCAACCCTGTAATAAAGAAAAAGATAGTCTACACCTTTTCATCTCAAACAGTGTTAAACAAACCAAGTCAAATTAACCACAGTTACAAAGGGGCTCTTTGAATTTACTTAAACCACCAGTAATTCAAAACTGTTCTGCAGCTTCTCTGAATTTCTGCCATGCTTAAATCATTGTTTGGATTTTACAGCACATTTACTGGCTTGTGTATTCAGTAGACTTTCACTAACAACCAAAAACAAGCTCAGTTTCAAAAAGCAGATGGACAAAATTCACAACCAACTGGTGATAAAGCAGCTAAACAGATGAATACTCTTTCAGAAAAGGGTAGCAACTAAACCAGGGCTAGGAGACAGTGGACCTAAACTTAGTGGGTGGATTAAAATTTTTTAAATTGGCCTCAATTTGAGTGCGTAAACTTGTTTAGACTGCCCCCAAGTGGTCAGTAAAAGCATTGCATGTAGTTAAATTTTGCAAAGTTCCAGCACAACAGGTAAATGTGAGCACAGCACCATTCATTTGAATGTACCACAAGTAGCTCATACTTCAAAATAAGAGTTCAGTAAACACAAGACAGAAAAATGTCAAAATAAAAGCATGAGTAACAATTGTTTTATGAAGTTATTTCAGCTCAGAAGAAGTTTCTGATATCTTAACGACTCTAATGAGAAGGACTGTGCTGAACTCACCTGGCTGGACGGATTTGAGGCCTTGGACAGAGCTCTTTACTGTGACAAATTAAAGCCAAACACTGAGGGCCAGGGTCATTCAGGCACTGCAGAGGCTCAAACGTCTCCTTTAGAGCTGGCTCTGAACACAAAGTCGCAAAACTCAGTCTCTGCAAAGGAAGTTCATGAATCTTTGCTTAACATCACTGAGAGTTTGAAGCACATCCTCACCTAAAAGACCAGTGTGAGGGCTGAGCAGGCAGACATGTTCAAGCTCGGTGACGGCATTAAAAACAGCCCTGTGAGGGGTAGAATGACACCAAGGGGGTTATAACTCTGCAGACATGAACTTTCCTTTATGAAACCAATTTTCAGAGTTGATCTAACTCATAACTGCTGAGAAACAATGCTGACCTCAACATCTGTGGTAGCTAACCATTTATCACAGGTAACCTATTTTTCTCAGATAGTTTCTTAAAAGTTATTTTATACTTTATTTTCATACCTCAGTATTTCCTTTATGCTTGCTGAGGCAAAATCTGGATGTGACACAAAAAGGTGGAGGAAGAGAGTGTTCCAAGGCTGCAGAAGCAAACAAATAAACTGTCAGATGAGTTATGTTTGGGTTGAAGATGTAAAACACAAAACCAGGCACATGCATAATCTTTATTTTGAAAACAGCTGCTTTCTGTGCACTCTGCAAGCTGGTTTCACTCGATGAAGGATACGCACTGTGCATGATTCAGCCTTGTAGTTTTTCTGCAGGAAAGTTTCCCACTGAGTCTGATCCACCAAACCTCCAATAGGGTGATCAAAGAAGGAAGCATGGGCAAGGATGTCCTCCTTCTCATTGGCCAGAGTCACCGCCAGATTAGCTTTCTCTCTGGGAAGGGATAGACAATCTCACAGAATCAATCAAGTCAAGATAAAATAATACTCACATTCAACAAAAAGTTTTCTTAAGAATAAAATTATTATGTTACAATTACTCAGACAACAGAGGGAAAATAGCCGATTAAAAATCTCTGGTATCTATAAGTTTTTTTCCATGATTTTTTCCCCTTTTTAAAAATATTTTAGAATTTCATGAAATGTACTCAACATTTATCATATTCATGAAATGCATGTGCAGTTGAACCTTTAGGGCCCCTCTAGAAATAAGATAAAGTAGCTTGTTAAACACACATCTACTGTGCCTTGTCACAAAATACTATGAGGGGTGACATAAATCATCTCAATAAACAGATAAAACTTTCTTTTGTTTAAGTTTTTTTGTTGTCACTGACTTAATTATCATCAAAATAAAGAGACTAGCTGCTAAACACAAACATGTTTTAGTGTTTCTTTATAGAAAAAGCTAACTGTCATTAAGAAGCAGATAAAGTGATAAATTCCCTTACAGCAGATGAATAATGTTGACTTTTCCAAAGATCTCCAGAGTATTGGGGTTGATGAGTTTGCCTATCCCCTCAGCATCAGCGGATTCACTTCTTTTCACAGTCACAGCTTCCTCCAGGCCTTTGGCTGAAGTTATGATCCTCATCTTTACTAGAAGTTTTCAAAAAGCGATATACAAATCTTTTCAGAGTTAACATTTTCGATAAAATAAGTCTAAAAATATCAATAACGATATTTAAGCTAGCCTAGTCGGTTAAAAACGCAACAGGAAATATTAAAATAATTGTTAGCTCACATACCTACTAAATACGTATTTCTTGAACAAACTGTAACTTTATTTAACTTTAATTATACCTTGTAAAACCACAGAAAAGATGAATATCTGATTAAAAAATGTCGGTCAATGTTTCGTCCTGATGTTAGCTCGCTCGTAAAGGCACTGTAACTATAGCAACAGAACGCTGAATTGGCGGTTGTGCTACGTTCACGCACCCATAGGATGCTCGAAGTATCACCACGTTCATCTAACTACCATGTGTTCACAAGCCTCAAGAATATCATAGCCGCCGATATATAGAAATATTCATTTGTAAAGAGTTTAAAAGGGGAACTATAATTGTTCTTCCAATCATGTTTCACTTTGAACCAAACTGCGATTAAAAATGAGCAAAAACAATCACAATTAAGCCTATATTTACTTTCGTCTGCCATGCGAATGACGCCACATTGAGTGGCGTCAAACTTCCCTACTATATAATCCTCATAGTAAAAAGTAGTTTTCTTTTCCTGATTAGTGAGCATTCACGTGAACACTGCTAGTTTGAAGGCCATTTTCCTACTGCATCTACACCCCCTGAATGCGGATTTGAGTTCAACCCGCACTAGTGATGGGAATTACGGCTCTTTTTAGTGAGCCAGATCATTCGGCTCATCTTACCAAGAAGAGCCGGGTCTTTTGGCTCCCAAACAGCTCTTTATTTTACAACTTATACATTTCCTAGTTCAGCCAAATTTAGTGTTGCTTAGCTAATTATATATATGTACAGTATGTGTACACATACCTCTTAATCTTTGTACTGAAGTATTCACAAGAAAAAAACTACATTTTGTGTTTGTGCTCATCCGTCTAATGAGCACAAGCACATGGCACATCCCATGAGCCGAGCGTCATCACAGCGACTCTCAGCAACCCATCACTAACCCGCACTGCATTCTGGGTACTGTCATGGTGGCCCGCGTCTACTGTGAGCAAAACGTTTCGTCAGCTGTTGTTGTGTATTTCCTGCGCTAAGGTTTGAAATAAGTTTTGGGCATAAACTTGAATTTACCAAGACAGTAAAAATGGCGTCCACTGCAGCCGGTAAGCAGCGGATACCGAAGGTGGCTAAGGTAAGAAAAACAGCAGTTATTGTCCAAACCTACCTTGGCTGTAGCGGCTAAGCTAACGCTAATACATAGAGCTAAAGTTTATGAGAGTCCACATGGACCTTCAAATAGAGCTCTTTTTTACTTTCACCCAAATCAAGGTGAGGATTAAACTTACATCTGTTTGCTAAATCACATTCAGCCAATGGTTGCTCGAAGTTAACGTGAAATATAACATTAAACGAGCAAGCTAGGAGCATAATATTCTCAGCCTGAACGAGTAGAAGTAAGTCAGATTTTGTACCCCGAGTTCCACTTTTATCCTGTGGAAGTAGGTTTAAAGTCTTTAGGACTAGACTGAATCGTTACAAACACACATGACAATGAAACTCCTGAATGAATGATGTCAAAGTTTTTCACAAAGACAGAAGAAACTGTAATTTATTAATAATGCAGTATGTTATGGTCTGCAATACACGACTGTCATCTACACAGTACAGGCTTTATTACACTGTGGACACTGTGCTGTTGCTTGTGTGCGCACTGCACAATGTTAACTAACTGCTTCTCTTATTTCAGGTGAAGAATAAAGCTCCGGCAGAGGTTCAGATCACTGCAGAGCAGCTGCTGAGAGAAGCTAAAGAGAGGGAGCTTGAACTTCTGCCACCACCACCGAAACAGAAAATCACAGATGAAGAGGAGCTCAATGATTACAAACTGAAGAAGAGAAAGGTGAGTACTAAACTCTGTCTGTTTTAACCACTGATGACATTTGTTGAATCAGCTATTTGCTATCTAACTAGAACTCTGAGGATTTAGATATGGTATTCAGCATGTAATGAATTTTTAAAAAGTGAGATTTAAGGTCATACTTGTATTTGAAGATACAAATTCAGACGGATGCATGTTTGACAGACTATCTGATAACTTTGTAATTTATTTCACTTTGTGCTGATGGTTCTGCATTTTTCTTTCAGGGGTTTGAGGACAACATCAGAAAGAATCGCACTGTTATCAGTAACTGGATCAAATACGCACAATGGGAAGAAAGCTTGAAGGAGATTCAGAGGTACTGATGAAAAAAGCAGACACAAGCTGTAAATCAAGCCTGTTTTCTAGTTGCTTGAATTCATATATTCTGTTCTATCTTTTAAGTAACACTCATAGCTCCTTATTGCTTGAGAACGTGGTGTGAATGCTTTGCAAATGCCCCTGTAGAGACATAATGATTAATTGTGAACCTGTAACATTGACTTTTTTATGTTGCAGATGTCAGTATTTTGAAAGAAATCTTTTAATTCCTCCCATTTTTGAACTTTCACCTGAGTTTTAGGTGTTTGCTAGAGCAGTATCTTAAACAGACCCTCACATACATCTGTTGAGCAGTTTTCTTCAATCGCTGCCTTTTCTTGTTTCAGGGCTCGTTCCATTTACGAGCGAGCGCTGGACGTGGATCACCGAAACATCACCCTGTGGCTGAAGTATGCCGAGATGGAGATGAAGAACCGCCAAGTGAACCACGCCCGCAACATCTGGGACAGAGCCATCACCATCCTCCCACGTGTCAACCAGTTCTGGTATGAATCATGCTCATGTATCTTAATATTTGTTGCACAGTGTCACATGTTGATTGGGCACATTTGTGGCAGTATAAATATCCACACTAGCTTTATTTATGATACCTGTTTGTCATTTTAAAAGGTACAAGTACACGTACATGGAGGAGATGGTGGGGAACGTGGCTGGCTGCAGGCAGGTGTTTGAGCGCTGGATGGAGTGGGAGCCCGATGAGCAGGCCTGGCACTCATACATCAACTTTGAGCTGCGCTACAAGGAGGTTGACAAAGCCCGCACCATCTATGAACGATATATCCTTGAATGCTTTGTTTGCTCAGAATGTTCATTATTCATTTGACAGTGTAGTCATGCTTTGAAACTCATTGCATTGAGATCTCAGTCAAAATCCCTAAATTCTGTCATATAATCAAAACCTGGCAACAGTGTCTTGATGAAGTGCCGCCTGAGTTTATTGCTTCATGAGATCTAATTAATCCAGCTCTACTTTGAACATCTCATATTTCACATCTTAACTGCTCTAAAGCATCTGTTCATGACCATCTGTTGTATTTGGTGAGCTTGAGATGACAAATCTTTGTAAAAAGTCCTTGACTCCTCTGTACTCGTCATGGTCCACCCTGAGGTGAAGAACTGGATCAAATACGCTCGTTTTGAAGAGAAGCACGGCTACATCGCTCACAGCAGGAAGGTGTACGAGAGAGCTGTGGAGTTCTTTGGAGAGGAACACGTGGAGGAAAATCTGTTTGTGGCCTTCGCCAAGTTTGAGGAGACGCAGAAAGAGGTCCGTGCAGCTGTTTGATAGTTGTGTATCATTGCTTCTTACGAGCACCCGTGGAGTGACTGTGACTGGATAAAATGTGTCTTCTCTTTTCAGTTTGAACGTGTTCGAGTCATCTACAAATATGCTCTGGACAGAATCCCTAAAAGCCAGGCTCAGGAGCTCTTCAAGTATTACACCATGTTTGAGAAGAAGTTTGGAGACCGAAGGGGAATCGAGGACGTCATCGTCAGCAAAAGAAGATTCCAGTATGAGGAGGAGGTCAAGGTGAGTACTGGGGAGAAACGAAAACTCACAAAGAGATTAAAAGATTTTATTCCGTGTAATATATTTATGTAACTGCATCCTGGATCATTTATTCTGAAGATTTAAATCTTTGTCCTCTTCACTGGCGTGTTTTATCAGGCAAACCCACACAACTACGACGCCTGGTTCGATTACCTCCGGCTGGTGGAGAACGACGCTGACGCAGATACTGTCAGAGAGGTATACGAACGAGCCATTGCCAACATCCCCCCAATTCAGGAGAAGAGACACTGGAAAAGATACATCTACCTGTGGATCAACTATGGACTGTACGAGGAGCTGGAGGTCAAGGTACCTGCTTTTCAGTGTTTCATTATAAGAGATTCATGAGAAAGAATCACATTAACTTCCTTTTTAGAAATGTTAAATCAAAAAATAGGGTAATGTAGGAGATACCAACGTTTTTATAAAGTGAGTAAAAGTAGTTGAATTAGGAGACACTGAAAAGACAGTATAGGTCCATGTTACGGGTGTAGATGGGGTCAAGGGTAGATTTTCAGATAACCACATTTTCTGTTGTCTGCACTATTTTCAATTAAATATGGGCTTTAAATGATTAGCAAACCACCAAAGCTTGGTTTTGATTACATTTTGCATGAAGTCCCAACTTTTATGGAATAGGGATTACCTTAAAGCTAACATTTTTACCCCTGTAGTAAAAAAAAAAAAAAGACCTGTATAAAGTTCCTTTACATTAATTCATATTCTTCTTTATCAGGATCCTGAGAGAACAAGGCAGGTGTACCAGGCATGTCTGGACCTCATCCCACACAAAAAGGTGAAATCTTTAGCTTTGTCTTTAGTTATTTTATACTTATTTTACTTATTTTATGTGCTGTTATAATTGAGTAGTAAAATACACGTTTTGGTTTGGTTTCAGTTCACATTTGCAAAGATTTGGCTGCTCTTCGCTCAGTTTGAGATCCGGCAGAAAAGCCTCCAGGCTGCCAGAAAAATCATGGTGAGATACATGAGGAACAGTTTAAAGATTCCAGAAAGTACAGCTTTAAGAGACCACGGCTAAACACATTGAGCCATTTTTTAAAAGAATGTTTTCATTTTATTTTATACCATATTTCTCCCGACCTCTCATGCCCAAGTAAAATATTCTTGTTTCAGTATTAACTTAAAGAAAATAAGAAGGCTTTGAAAAATTCAGGTAATGCAGTTTAAAAATTTTTTTTTATTCATAGACAGAATACTGAAGTTTTAAATAAAGAATTAGAAATACGTTTGAGGTGAAATAAACATGACAAAAAGTTGCACTGGATGCAAAATATTAGCAGTTTGCCTGAGAAATGATGCTGAAATTCAACATGCTGGAATACAATGTATTCTGCACATAAGAGTGCATGAAAAAAGGTGCATAAGTGTAGCATTGATAAATGTACAAAATATTCAGCAACAAAAAGACCCAGTTTTTGTGCTTTCAGTTTTTCTGCAGTTGACTCCCGTCAGGCTGTATCTGTGATTTCTGCTGCTCCTCCTCTCTCTGCTCAGGGTACAGCGATCGGTAAATGCCCGAAGAACAAACTGCTGAAGGGCTACATCGAGCTCGAGTTGCAGCTGCGAGAGTTTGACCGCTGCAGAAAGCTCTACGAGAAGTACCTGGAGTTCAGCCCGGAGAACTGCACCACCTGGATCAAGTTCGCAGAGCTGGAGACGATCCTGGGAGACACCGAACGAGCCAGGGCCATTTTCGAGCTCGCTATCGGACAGCCGCGACTCGACATGCCAGAGGTACAGATCACAGTTTCTCTATTGTCTCTTTTTTTAAAAGTGTGGGAAGATGAGCAGAGAGTTGAAACAGTTTTCAAAGATGGTCATTACTGTTTGAAACTTCTGGCTGTTTCACATTAGAGTTCATTTTTCTTTTGAAGTTAGAAACCTGGTGTTCTGGTTTGTTTCTCTTTCGCATTCATGGGATTGACAGGCAGAACATTGTGTTAGCAAGCTTGTAGTGTATCCTGGACTGTACTCTAGACTTCATGATTTCTATGAGTGAAGTTAAATTGTTCAAAAATATCAAGATTCGTTGTTTTATTCTTTCTTTACAGGTGCTGTGGAAGTCCTACATAGATTTTGAGATTGAGCAGGAGGAGTTTGAGAACACCAGGAATCTTTACAAGAGACTGCTGCAGCGCACTCAGCATGTCAAGGTGAGGACTGCATATGCCTGTCTGTCCTCACTCTCACTCAGGAGGAAACAGGAACTTCTTTTTCATATCTTACAAATATTAATGTTCTGTAAAAAATAAGCACAGTGAGACCGACCAAATGAGATCAGTTGCAGACGTTTGAAGAACATCCCCATGACTCTTGGATGTCGCTCTGGCTTTTCTCTTACTCTTCTTCCTCGCCCCTTTATCTGCAGGTTTGGATCAGCTACGCCAAGTTCGAGCTGTCGATAGAAGGTCCCGACCGCCTGCAGCGGTGCCGGCAGACCTTTGAGGAGGCCAACAAGAGCATGAGGAGCTGTGAGGAGAAGGAGGAGCGTCTGATGCTGCTGGAGTCCTGGAGGGACTTCGAGAAGGAGTTTGGCACCGACAGCAGCATGGAGAGAGTGAGGAAGCTGCTGCCGGAGAAGGTGAAGAAGAGGAGGAAGCTGACGGCCGAGGACGGGGTAAGAACCAGAAATCTCTGCTCTGGATTCAGAAACTTCTGCTCTCGTCTGTATCAGATGTTTTCGGCTTTACTTCGAGAAAGATCTTTTTGTACAGTTCAACTAATCTAGATTCCATCCAAGAGAGAAAATGGTGTAAAATTTAATTTATTATTTTGCACTTTAATAACGATAGTGAAGCAGATTTGTCAGGAAAAGTGCTATAAACAAATGTTTTTATAAACCAGTTAAAATATTTATTTGAAAAGTTAAGTAACTTATTTTTGAATACGAATCCTCCAAGAAAATTCAACATTCACTGATTCCTTCCGTTTCATATTCAGTTACAGCCGGTCTAAGGCACTAATCTCTCTCTCTCTCTCCCTGATCGTTTCAGTCGGACGCCGGCTGGGAGGAATATTACGACTACATCTTCCCCGAGGACGCCGCCAACCAGCCCAACCTCAAACTGCTGGCCATGGCCAAGATGTGGAAGAGGCAGCAGGCGGTGGGGGAGGACGCTCCAGAAAAAGCTCTATCGGCTGAAGAGGCGGCGTCAAAGTCCTCCGACAAGTCTTCTGAAAGCTCACCAGAGGAGGAGGAGGAGTCGAACAAAAACACTGAAGCTGAGACGGAGCAGCAGGAAGTGTACGATGATCGAGACGACGACAACAGCAGCAGCAGCAGCAGCAGCAGCAGTGAGAGCGACAGTGAGGAGGAAAAGGAGGATGGAGAGAAACAGGATAAAAAGAAAGAGGAGGAGAAGGATGGAGAAAGCAAGAGTGAGGATGAAGAGAAAGATTAGCCTGATGAGACACGTGGGAGAGACTTTAATTTTTCTACTCATTTTATAAGAAAAACAACAAAATCAGTCCTGGAGCAGTCTTTATTGTACCAAGATGTTTTCTTTGCAGCTGTGACATTATACAAAGATGAACTCAAACCTGCTTCTTCTCCTGTTTCTCCTTTTTGTAGGATTTATGAGAAATAAAGCAGAAAGATTCAGGTATTGTTCAGTTTTCACAGTCAGTGGCTCTCTGCTTGAACTCACGGTAACAGTTAGCAGATATGTACAAGGTTAGTGAGCAGGAGCTGAATGGATTCAGGTGATTATCAGGGTGCAGAGAGCCACAGTCTACTGTTATTCAATGTCCTCAGGCCTGACAGGGTGTGGCAGTGGGATGATGGACTTCTTTTCCGTGTCTCTGGATAGAGCTTTCCTCATATCTGCAACAAAAAAGAGGGATACACGGTCAGTTCTAGTGTAGTGTCTACTTCTTGTCAAACAGCGCCCTCTGCTGTCTGTAAATATGATACATAATGATTTGCGTGTGTACAGTTAGGGTAAAATCAGGAGTGTTTCAGCAAAGAGCTGCAAAAAATTTGAAGTATAGGTTATAAAAAGACAAGCTAAACTTAAATCGAGTTTATTAAAAATATCAGTGGACTGAACAGTTTTCATACAGACGGACAGACTGTTCATAGTTGAGAAAATCTCACAAACATAAAATAATTGAAACTGTATTTCCTTTAATAACTTGGTCCAGCAGTTGTAACATTTCTCACCGTAAGCATCTTCATCCGGCTCCCCGTTACTCGCCGAGTAATACTCAATGACCGTCCTGTAGACACTGTAGCCTAGACGTTTGTACATATTCACCGCCACCTGGTTCGAGACCCGAACGAAGAGATCCACAAAGAACCCGCCTTTCCTATGAGACAAGACAAACTTAACATGATTCCAGAGTTTTTAAACTTCTTACTACATCAGAATAAAGTGGAGTGTGTTTAGAGATTTACTGAACTTTAATAACACTGATGGTGAATAACTCTTGGATCATATAATGTACGGAAAGGCCATATATCTAACTCAACATAAATGTTTCCTGAGTGCAAAACATTCACAGACTTCAAGTCAATCTATTAATATCCTTTTTTATTTTGGACTGAGGTCAGGGGTGCAAATATGGAAGAGAAATATAGTCCAAAAGAAAGAAAACAGAGAAATTAGGGGGTCCCAGAAGTTCTAAAAGGTTTTGAAAAAAGTACACAGATTTTTTTGTGTCTGCACTGTAACCATGGTCTTAACAGCCCCTGATGAGTGATTTCCTCCAGATTCCGGTGGTACAAACCTCTCTGAAATCTCCTCCAGCATCTCCATCAGTTTGGCAGCGAGTCCGAGTCGTCTGAACTCAGGGGCGACAGAGAGCGCTGTGACATGACCGTGCCACTCTTCTCGAGCCACAGATCCCTCTGCCTTCCCCATGACTGCAAGAAAGCAACGAGTCACAAGTCAGACATGATGTCGAGGTGAATACAAGCTTTACTGAGAGTTTATTGTACAGTAATCAAACAAAGGGTCTGATGAGAGCGAAACGTGATTCATGAGACGAACTAACTAATCTGAAATAATGTTTTATACCCTTCTAAATAAAAGTCTGTCAAGTAGATTTTTGTAATGTGAAAAATGAATTAAAAAACTAGTTAGAATATGCATGCACTTAAATAATTATGAAAAAGTTCAATATAATCGTTTAACACAGAAATAAAGGTAACTTACTGTAGCCCATCAGCTCTCCACCTGGAGCCTCTGCAACAATAAAATACTCCGGCCAGTGAGCCAGGTACTGCAGGTAAAAGGGGATCCCATACTGGAGGTCAAAGGTCAAAGAAAAATACAAAGAGGAGCACTTTGTTCCCATAACAGGATCTAAGCAACTCTAGCTTTTTGTGCTTCAGAGGCAAATTTAACAGCACAAAGTAAAACCACAGTAGATTTAAAAACCAGGTGTTAATAACAGGAAGTCACAGGTTAAATAATAAAAACAATAATGTGATAACACCACTGCCATACACAAATATATTTATCTGTAAAAGAAGGATACAGTTTCAGTCAAAGGGTCCAAATTTCTGTTGAAGAAAGAAAAACAAGAAATCCTAAATCAATGTCTTATCAGATGTGAATACTAACATTGAAAGGGCATATCATTATCTCTAGTTGAAAATCCAAACCAACAGTGTTAAGTATAACGTAAAATTAAGATAGCCCATTATCTATCTTATAGAAAACAGAATCAGCTACACAAGACAAAACAAGCAAACAAGAAAACACTGTTGAAATAATGAATGACACAATGAAAAGGAGAGAGGTGTGATACTAGAAAAGGTATGCTGTTCAGTAAATAACAGGTTAAAATGACAAAAATGACAGTATTTACTAGCGAGTTTTATAAAAGTAGAACAATATTAACATTCTGATATGGTATGATACACTTGCAATTTTAAAGAAATAAAAGACACAATGTGTTAGCTACTACATACTATTTTTAACGATAATACGAAATACTCATGCTTCAAAAAGAATGTATTATTACTCTGCTGATGCTACCTGCTGTTGGTGTATTTTCTAGTTATGTTAGCATAGTAGCTAGCATAACAGAGCACATAAATGATAATATTTACCCATACAATAAAAAAAATAATCTATCAAATATATGCCGATTCCATGAGAACAATTTAGAGAATCAAATGATATATCAATTAAGCTTAAAGTCCTTTCTTTTCAAATGCTATCAATGTTACCACTATGTCCTCTGATTCCTTATACGGGGTTTTGCGAGGCAGTCTTTCAAGCTGGTGTTTCGATTTAAATTGTGACCGTGTTTACTTGTGGCTTTCAGCCGAGCGCGTCCATTGCTTTTCCCCTTAGTTTATCGTTACAGTCAGATTTGATCGGTATACTGTGATAGTGTGATAAGACAGAAAGTGTAAGATGCATAAAGGATGAATTCTTGTGTATCAAAGGCAAATAACCACGGAAACCACCGACTGAATTTGACCGGAAGTCACCAGTTAGCCGGGTCACTATTTAAACGGTAACACCTCTGCCCCACCTGGGGTCTGGTTAGCATGCTAATGTTGCTGCAAAGAACAGGAAGTAGAGATCTGTTTACCAAATTAACACAACATGTCTGGTACTAAGAAACTCTGTATGATACAGCTGAAAAGATTTCACTCACATATTGTTGAATTTAAATAAATCATCGCAGGTAAACGGCCGCAATGTTGTCATCTTGACTTGCTGTGTTTTGTCCTTTCACCTCATAGAGGGAGGTACTTCGGTGAATTTTAGAGGCCCGGAGGAAAGAAGTACCGACACCTGCTGGACGGAGGAGATACGACACTTGGCTTCATTAAAGCAGCTACAGGTACAGTACATCAGTCACATTTGTCAATAACAAAGAAAATGAAGAATGTTTTTCTGGCAAATTACAGTGGCCTTGAAGTTGAATGACTGAATAAACTTTTGTGTTTAAGAAGTTGTTTTGTACGGTGGCCGTGAACCGCCACTGCTGCAAATAAAAAGAATGCAAAACAAAAAAGAAGTCATAACGGAAGTAATTTTTATTTTTTTTCCAGCAGTGGCGGTTCTCGGCCACCATAGTTCTGAAATTGTTGAATGTACACATTGGCATCTCATTGAATATTTTTACATTTTGTGAAATGTTTCTATTGTGTTTGAAATATTTGCCCAATTAACCCTGAAGGCCACCACAGAAAAAAAGCTATGTATGAAAACTAAGCAGTGAAACAAAACCCTAATCTCATTATCTGTACATTTCTTATTACCAGCCAAAATGCCTAATTACACCCAATTTAAGACATACTGACAAGTCCAGATGTAAATCTTTTTTTAAAGATTTAAAATGTCTAATATAAGGATCTAGTTATTCAAAATCAGTCAAAATTATTTCATACATCAGTTATTTTAAAAACATATCCAAGAAAACTTTGTTTCCTGCGTCAGTAGACATCTTTATCCATTACAACCACTAAGTCCTTTTTTTGGTCTGTAATCTCAGAAACAGAAATAAGAAAAGTAGTCAGTGGGATTCTGGTTCGTCCCTCTGATCCTGTAGTCCTGAGTTTTTTGCACTGAAGCAGGGAATCTGGGTCTGAACCTCTTTCGTCATCAGCAGCTGCAGACGAGTTTTCTCGCTAAATGAAAGCAGATTGAATTTTGATTTCTGATTTCAAACTGGAGGAGAGGTTTTTCTTTGAGGTGTAATCAGATATTTTGATCAGAACCAGACACAATCAGGAGCAATTCGCACAGATGTTAAGCAGATCTAAAGTCAAAGGTTCTTATCTGGACTGCAGCCCAGGTCTTGGTTGGTCCATCTTTACCTCACAGAGACCTGAGGAAACCTTTACTGTCATAAGAGCAGCTTTAAAACCAGATTCCAACTTCTCATGGCAGAGGTGTGGGGAGTCACAGCAGAGCGTCTAAACTTGTTCAGAGCAGCTGCAAACTATTCAACATCGAAATTTAAGACTTTTAAAGACCGTTTTAAGACTCTTACAAAGACAAACATGTTCAGCCTTTGCCCAGAAAAATACAGTCAACACAGGCGTGACATATTCAACTCCATCTGCCAGGTTTAAAAGCTTTTTTTGAGAGCTGTTATCCTGTAAGTCCTCTCACAGTCTTTGTGCTCCTGCCATTTCCCAACTCCTTTCCTTTTTTAACTTCCTGAACTTAGACTTCTTCATCTTTCTCTCTACAGTGGGGGTGGATGGAAGTGTCCAAATTAGTAAGAAAGCTGATTTATTTCCCCCAAAACCCCTACACAATTTCAATGCAGCCTGTGAGGTCCCCCTCTGCTGGCTGATACTGAAATAATGAAGGCCCATATACTCAAGACTGGCGAAACATTCTGAACCAAGAGGCCTCTTCCACCATTTTATACAATCTATGAATCTAATGGAGCTTTTGTCTTAATGAAACCGACTCTTCTTTAAAGTAAACACTCAACAACAGACATACAAAAACATAAATTCATCTGTAAATACAATATGTAGAAAATTTAGATGTAGTTTTGGGGCCCCAGGTTTGTAGCTATGGTTAGTTTTTTTATATAAATGACCAGTAGCTGTAAATCTGGGGTTCTTGGACTCTACCCTGTCATAGTGATGATTCAGAGGCTTATTATCCTGCTCACAAAAACATCTCTGACAGTGAGTCGACCTGTCAGATCTTGTTGATCAGAGCGTCTGTTAACCTGCAGCAGCTCCAACACAAACAGCAAAAGCTCAAACTCTCATATAAGTGATAATCATCTCCTGCTCTAGTCCAACACGTCCTGATACTTCCCAGAAGTCTTAGTCACAACCCTCCATTGTGTGCTTGTGTGTTTGTGTCCATCTGTCCGGGCAGGCCGCAGGACTGAGCCGCCGCTCTCCAAGGCTCCTCTCTCCTGGTCAAGTCACATTCATCTTCTGACCAGATGTTATAGAGCAGCGAAGGAGTATCAGTGACAGCTGTATGAATACGTAAACACTCAGAAACAAACAGATTGAGGATCTGATAACCTGAGAGCTCCGACTGAAACCTGGAAACAAGCAAACACCCAAGAGCTCTGACTGAGCCAATGATTTACTTTACGAACAACAAACACAACAGCTTCAGCTTGTTTTTCCTCTGGATCACTAAATCACTGACTGTTTGTCTCGGACCCATTTCTCATTCTCAGTATACTCCACGAAAAATGACTAAAAGGTTTAGAGCAGTGCTTTCAACAATAACCGTCTTTAAGAATAATCTAAAAAATATTGATTTGATGAAATCCAAACAAGAAACTCCATCTTTAAAGGTAGATCAGTGTATGATCACGCTCAAGTTGTCTGTGATCCATCTTACCATGTGAGAGCAGCTATGAATCCTTCTTCTTTCCGGTTTGGTAAACCCAGGATGCATTCAGTGTTGCTCCAACTCCTGAAATTCCAATCAATCACAGTGGTGGGAAGTTTCGCATAAATTTCCTCCTCTGCATGATCAGAAAACATGTTACAGATGTTTGTCATCATACGACTGAAGCGTCCCTGTTGGTCAGCAGAAGTAAAGTCCAGTTTTTAGTTTTTGTCTCACTTTTTTTCCACTTTTCTTTACGATTACATTATAAATTTTCTGACTTTGTATAACATCCTAAAACCTGCAGAATCAATGCTCTCTTCTTGTGCATGAAAAGCTCCTTTAAAGCCCATTTAAAGCTGATTTTCCATTCAAAGGAGTTAAATGCTGTTCTTAAAACTGAGTTTTTGACTGTTGGTGTGATTTATTAAAGATTCCTTACCAAGAAATCAAAGTGAAACCTCTACCAGATAAACGTGTAGTTTCTGTTTCTGACGTGACGTGGCTTTAGAGTGGAATTAGAACACATGTGTGCTCTAACACACAGATTATGAAGACCAGAGGAAGTTTCTTTATCTTTGAGGAGGAACACATATGTTCAGAGTGAGATTTGTGTGTGGAGTAAGGCGTGTTTCCTGTCTATGTAACAAGGGCAGACATTTAACACGTTACACACGTGTTCAGCACGTCCTGCAGCACGCTGAGGTTAGAATTTCCTCATGTTTCTTGTGTTTTTATATTTCCTGTTTTTAGATATTTATATCAGTATGCAGTGATGTTCGAGGTGAACTGTAAACGGTCAGCAGTGAGGAGGAGGAAACTTGCACAGAACCAGCTGTTTTCAGTTCTTCATGTGATCAGAGGAAACACACATTAGAAAATAGACTCAGGTCAGAAAACAGCAGAAAATCCAGGTGAGTGAGCAAAGAAGGGGAATACATAAAGACAGAATGAAAACAGGCTCCTGCAGGAGGCACTGCAGCCCTTACATGCAGAATTGAATCAGTGAAATGAACTCAGAGTCATGGAGAAACTTACATAAATGTATGAAAGCCACATGGAAAACATGGACAAACCTCAAAATAAGCAGGGCTGTGATTCTAACAGATTCATCCAAGATTTGACCCATGATTCATACCTGGCATTATATTCTGAGTGATAAACTGCAGAGCGAATTCAGGAGACATTCAGACATCTACAGGCTAAACCACAGACCTAAACACCAGCTGCAATTTCATGGGCAAAAATAATCAGAATACATGCGATCGGAATAAAAATGCGTCATTTAAACCTGTCGATCAGAATATTCCAATTCGGCTCAATCGGAAAGCAATTGCATTCCGATCGAGAGGGGTGGTTTATACCGATCGTTATTCCGAAATGCGTGCACGTAAACACTTATTCCGATCGTGACTCTCTTACCTGACTCGATCTTCGCTCTTTAGCCTTTGTCTTATTTATTGAGGCCTGTACAGGAGGTTTCATTATTAACACTCTGGCATAAAACACAACCACAGGTGCCGTGTCTGCTCCTCCGGTAAGCGATATCTTTTTGTGGGATGGTAGGGGAAAGTCCCGCCTTTTTTGCCTCTGATTGGCTAGAAAAGCTGGAAACGTCATCACACACTCAGGCCAAACGCGGGCTGTCAGCTCTTTACATCGAACAGAACATTATCGCACTTCTGAATCTCCTAACCCTAACCCTAATGCTAATCCTAACCCGAACAGCCATAAGGAATTACCAATCGGAGCCCAGCACTTCTAGCCAATCAGAGGCGAAGGAGGGCGGGACCTTCCCCTACCATCTGACAAAAAAAAGTTACAACTAAATACAACTCTTCTTCTGCTGTTGTTTTAGTGAAATCAGACAACTCTGCGTATGTCCAAATACTTCTAATCTGAATAAAACCTGGTGCATGTATAGGCACGTCATGATCAGATTATTTAATTTTGCACCTATATAAACAGTGGATACAGATTATCGGATTAAGAAATTCTGCACATGTAAACGTGGCCACTGACACTAACAGAACCTAATGTCTCTGCCTTGACAAGCAGACGTAAAATATGCTGGAAGTATTTTCTGCGGACTGATAAGATAAGAAGAACTTTACCCTAAGGGGAATTCAGTAATGATGTGATGTATGATCTGCTCTTGTTATAAAGTGTTTCATCAGGAGGTTGTCTGGGGGTTTAAACACAGCCAAGAATATCTGCTGTTTCCGTCTCTGGTATTTTATTACCGGTCGGCAGAGAAGAATCTCTATCTGTGTCAGTGCAGCAGCAAACTGTGGCCGCCATTAGAGCATCTGGTGACTAAATGGAAATGAATGGCACGAATGGACACACACAGTCACAAACATGCATGACAGATGCCACAAGAAAACAAAAAGAAGATCTAAATACTGTGTCAGGAGCTACAAATACAGTACGTCTACTCAAGCCCAACAAGGTTTTTCTCAG